TATCAAAGTGCTGTAGGTACCAGAAACTCGACGGCAGAGTCAGGGACACAGACTTCTTTTGGTCACCGCTGTGCATCCTGTCGGCCAGGGACTTCATGAAAGTGACAAAGTTCTTGAAGTCTGCTCCCTTTCCAAAGCGATCATCGGCCACTGGATACTCCCTGTTGCGCACCCAGAGGTCAGCATTATATCCTGGAGTGCTGTGGCTTGGTGACTTACCAGTCAATGTCGATACCATCAAATCCATACTTGTTCATCAGCTTGATGAGAGAATCAATGAACTTCTTGGTTCCATCAGTCGAGCCAGCCATGTCACTGAAAGTGGACTGCGTTGGGCCGGGGTCATTGAAAGCCCACCCGCCGACGGCGATCCAGATCTTGATATCCGGCTGGATCAGTTTGATAGCGCTTATTCTTTGCATGAAATCCGCTGTCTGCGAGTCGCCAGCCTTAATCTCAAAGGTACTGGGGTCGATCGTCGCGAAGGAGAAGATGATGTCGGTGTAATATCCGAATGGGATTTCCTCTGGCAGCATACCGTAGCAAGGACGATTGGTCGTAGACCAGGCCTCGTAGTAGCCGATCACACGGGTGATGGGTGTATCGTTGACAGCGCATGATGGCCGCTAGATTCAGCATGATTAACAATGGTCAGCCCGTTGTTCGAAGACAGATCTCATTCAATGTCTATAAGTCCAAGAGGTGTGAACCAACCTTGACAGTCTCGTCACCACAGAAATCTTTTGTAGTACCGCAGAAGCCAAACTTGCTGCAGCAGACATTGAGAGGGCATGTGTCGGCCTTGCTCCATTTGGGGTCATCCCATCCTGGGTTGCAGTCTGCCTTGAAGTCGCATGTACTGACACAATCCGTACTAGACAGCGCAAGTTACATCAGTCACTGCGTTCACAAAGCGTCTGCAAGCTTTCCACTAGCAACAAAAGGCTCCCACTTACCCGCAATAATCAGGCCCCGTACCACAGACTCCATACTTGGAACAGCATCCAATGGGACACAGCTGTGTGGCGCTACATTCAGGGGCTTGCTGAAGAGACAGCTGCAAGAATGAGACAAAAGAAAAGAGAGTGAGTAGAAATTTGGCCATAATGAAGGAGCCAATCTAGAAGCAATGACAGAAGTGTCAGTATAGAATAACCTACTAGACCAAAGTATGGCGAGTTGAGTTGCGCATCGATCAGACTTTAGATATCTATCGAAGCAAGCTCTTTGATGCCATAGTCGACTCATCACCTCGTCGCATGTCAAATCTCATAGGCGAAACTCGGGGCTGAGAGCCAAGAGCCGTTAAACCGCAGGTCCGAGGCTATCTGACATCTAGTCCCTGGCCCCTGACCCCCGCGTCTTGCTGCCTCTGCCTCTTGGGGGCAGAAACGCAGGTTCAAATTCCCTCAATGGAAGATCATGTACGCATGGGGAGAGGGCTCCGAGAGTCCCTTGCTGTCAATTCCGCCGACATGTCTCTCTCGGATACCCAAAGCGGCCCTAGGGCTGACAACGTTGCAGTTTACAACTTGATTTGGTTCCGAAGGACCATCAACCCGGTCTCGCGTTCGCCATTCGATCAGGAATAAGACCGATAATTGCGGAGACGGAAGTGGCAATTAGAAATATGCATAAGCACAAAGTAACGGGTCCCCGATCACCGATCCCTGTCCGGATCCACTTCCGATGCGGCCCTGGCCGTCCCACGGGACGATCCTGCACGCGATTCCTTGCATTCTCGCTGAATCGCCAAGCAGGCACCATCGTCTCTCTATCAAGAGAGCTCAATTTCAACATTCACCTGCCGCTTTCAGGCACAAAATTGCCTCTTGTCTTACCATGCGGACTTCAGGAGTCCAATTTGCCAAGGGCGGCTCAGCAACGGGCTGATGGTCCAGCCTCCTCGGCACTTACAACTTTTTGGACTTTGGATAGAAGCCTGGCCCGGCCGGCGAGGTAAGAGATGACAGAATCAGTCAACGCAAAATTGTGCTACATGAGTGGGCAAAGGGAGCAGTTGGAATCACCTGCAATCATATCGTCAGCGGCATGGTTAGAAATTCGCGGTCTGAACTGAAGACTTGACGTTGGTCTTCTCGTGTCCAGCTCAAAGCCGTTCGGCCTTCTCCTCCTTTCATCATCCACTCCAGTCTTTATCCACAGTCACTCGTTACAACACCAGCAAGACGTCATGGCTTTTTCAAACTCACGTCGCCTTGCGAGCGCCCTCTTCGCCCTATGCCTGAGCTCTGTCGCTGTTGAGTCCAGAGGTGTCCCCCAGTCCCTCGCGCAAAGACAGACTGCCACTGGCTTCCAGCTCGCCGCTCAAGGCACCCTCTCTGGCTTTGGTCTCACTTCCGCCTGCGAGGCGGTCCTCTACCAGACGATCAACTGCGATGTCTACGTCCGCAACCTCGGCGAGAAGGTGTACCACGGGACGCCAGGGGATAAGGCCTTCACGGACACGGTCTGCTCTGCCACTTGTTCGACTGCCTTGTCCACGGCTCGTCGGCGCATCGCGGGCTCTTGCGCCTCCACACCCGAGCTGTTCCAGGGATATCCAGTGCTGTCTCTCATCGACTCCGTCACCTCTGGATGGAACGAGACTTGCCTGAAGGATACCGATGGCGCATACTGCAATGGTGAGCTATAGGGCAAAACAGCCTCTGAGAATTTCCAATACGCTACCAGACTTTCGGTTAACACAACATGCCGCAGCTAAGATCGAGGCCTTTGATGATGTCGAGGACCTCGCTGATATGCCCAAGGATCAGCTTTGCTCCTTCTGTTACGGAGAGAAGCTCCGGCTCATGCAGCGGTCGCCCTATTCCGCCTACGATAGCTTGCACGCTGAGAGGCTGCTTTACATTAATGAAAGTAAGTGCTCAAGCCCAACTCACGATTCACATTCTCCACCAGCATCTGACCGAGACCCTGTTCAGACTGTGGAGGGGCTACTACGCCTACAGAGCCCCAACCACCCGTCATAAGCCCCAATGGTACTGTGCCAGATAGCTGCGTGACGGGAGTCAAATACACTGTTCAAAACGGCGATACTTGCAACAGCATTGCAAAGGCGAAGTCCATCGTAAGTACAACATGACAAAGACAGAATGGTGATGATGAGCGACAGCATGATGCTAACGAGCCTTTCGACTTCAGTCTGCAGCAAGTCTCTATTACATCAACCCAAGCCTCCTAGACTGCGATGCTCCTCAGACCGGCTTGGAGCTCTGTCTCCCCCTGACTTGTGAAACCACGTATGAGGTCAAGGAGAAAGACGACTGCGTCGCCATCGGGGTGGATCAGGCGACCACATGGCAGAACATCATCAAGTGGAACGGCGGCCTGAACGACCGGTGCTCCAACGTCTGGTCTTCCAAGACCTCGCCTCCGTACTGGGGTAACATAATCTGTGTCAGCGCGCCCGGCGGACTTCCCGACGGTGGCCCTGGTTCCGGGAACGGAACTGACCCGGGCAACGGAGGCATCGGGGGCCCCGGTGGTTCCGGCGACGGCTACGCTGACACCAGGGTTGACCCTCCTGCGACTGGCACAGTCGCTCAGGGCACCACGGATCTATGTGGTCAATATGTTCAGGTCCAGGAGGGCGCGACTTGCTCGACAATCATTGCCGGCAACGCTGTGACTATCAACCTGTTCCTGAAGGCCAACCCCTCCTTGCGCAATTCCGAAAGCTGCTCGCAGTACTTGCGTGTCGGGCTTTGGTACTGTCTTCATCCAGTCAGAGACTTTGACCAGACTCTCTGAACTGGATCACATGAGTTGGATTAGGGCAGCTTATTGCTGGCCTTTGGTGCTATTATACTTTCTATTATCTGGCAGGAAAGAGGTGGTCCTTCCGCACAACATTGTTTCTCTTTACATTTCACGACACTCGTTAACTTCATATTCATTTATCTGTGTAATTAAGATGTCTCGGCCTTGAAACTGTTAGAATCTGCTTTCCGTGATTCTGAATTTAGTATGAGATTTCCAGAGAAGCTTGATTCGAGCCCACTTGATGCATGTAAAATGTACCCTTTTCGGCAATATCATCGCTCGTTTCTGGCCCGTCTCAGTTGGGACATTGAGAGTCTTAGTTATCACGTTATGTCTGATCTTACTACACTCTTAGAGAGTCCAGTATTCGTCAAGTTCGATTAGTCCCTCGGTTACGTGTATGGATCCCTGTCTCTTGGCAGAGGAAGCCTAATGCAACCGTACACACCCCTCGCATGCCTACCAAAATAGTCTATCTTGGCAATGTAACGTATTGAGTAAACCATTTTTTCAGCCTGAACTCGCCTCGGGATGGCTCTCGATTGCCCTGAGTCGCCACCAATATATGCATGTAGGCGAGAATCCTATAGATCAACTGTCTAGAAGTTGTGGCTCCTAATACAACGCTTACTGGCCAGATACAGAAATCTCACGCCGTTGCGGAGATGAAGTCAGCATTGTGCCTTGGCCGGAGAGGAGTCGGAAATTGCAGTCTTGGTCGGGTTCGTTTAGTTCGATGCGGTACGAGCCTCACATGATTGACCACAATCATGTCACGTTCGCTGAATCGAGCCTTGCATGGGTGTCTAGACTTGGGGACTTTTGGTTGAAAACGACGGACCGAATCAATTTGCTATCATGATGTTGTATATTTATATGTCGTATCATGGTCCATCTTACAACCATTGAGCTTCCCCTTGTCATCAGCGCAACGATCAAGTAGACTTGACCAAACAAATTCGTATTAGACAGCAAGCTTCCTGTTTCCAAGATGAAGTTCATGCTCCAGTCAAGTCTTGTTGCGCAGCTCCTGTGCCTCGGCGCTGTCGCTCAGTGGGCCGAGCCACCACCCTCGACTGCGGATCCGGGCACCATCACGGACTGCACCTGGTGGTTTGTCGCCGGCGCATCTGATACCTGCGAGCGAGTGACTGCCACTTATGGTATCACTCAGGCTCAGCTTGTTGCATACGTAAGTCTACTCCCTACAATCTGTCATCATGTTTCATGATAGAATCATGTCGATCATACCAAATTGGACTTTTTGGAAAATCAATACTACTTGAATATTGCTAACACTCATCCTCACTAGAACCCCATCTTGTCCACCTCCTGTACCTTCATCACAGGCAACTCGTACTGCATCGAGCAAAACTGGGGAGCGGCGCCCGCGCCCCCTTCCACTACCGCTCCCGGTGTGCCCACGACGTTGACAACCACCACCAGAGCCTCCACCACCACAACGACTCCCGGGAATGGCGTGACCACTCCTACACCGATTCAACCCGGCATGGTGTCCAACTGCAACAAGTTCTACTTTGTCGCGTCCGGGGTCACCTGCAGCAAGGTCCTCAGCGACGCGAACATTAGTCTCGCCGACTTTGCTAAGTGGAATCCCAACGTCGGCGCTGAATGCACGGGCATGTGGGCCGAAGTCAACGTCTGCGTTGGTGTCATCGGCGGAACCACGCCCACGACGCCGCCGACAACCACCAGCAAACCCGTGACTACCACCACCACGACCCCGGGCAACGGCATCCAGACGCCGCAGCCGACGCAGCCGGGCATGGTAACTAACTGCAACAAGTTCCACTGGATTGCCCAGGGCGTCACCTGCAGCCAGGTCCTCAGCTACAACGGCATCAGCCTCGCCGACTTCGCCAAGTGGAACACGGGCGTGGGCGCCGACTGCAGCGGCATGTGGGCCGAGGTGAACGTGTGCGTCGGCGTCATCGGGGGCGCCGCGACGCCGCCGACCACCACGACGAAGCCTCCGGTCTCCACCACGGCCCCCGGCAACGGCGTGACTACGCCCCAGCCCACGCAGCCGGGAATGGTGACCAACTGCAAGAAGTTCCACTATGTATCCGAGGGCAACACATGCGACCAGATCATCAGCTACAATGGCATCACCCTCGCTAACTTTGTCAAGTGGAACACGGGTGTGGGCGCGACCTGTCAAAGCATGTGGGCCAAGACCTACGTCTGCGTTGGTGTTTAAGCGGCGAATTGCTCTACCCAGGCCTTCCGGGTCGTAATTTCTCTTCTATGTACATACTTTCACGGCGGATTGGAGGAGGCATTTCTGACAGGCATGTCAAGATGAGGGGGAACTTAATAATTCATCTTTCTATTCAATGAAGCATCACATGATTTTGAAGACAAGATCAAATGATTTGACTTTTTTTCGGTAGCAAACAGGATTCCGATCCGCTCTGTGTCGTTAATGAAATTTGACGGGACGTTCCTTGTCTTGCTGGGAAAATGCATCTTACAAGCTCCGTAATTGCGTGAGATGTGATACTCGCCGAATTCCTCTAGCAAACTACCTGGGATAGAATGCACTCAACAGTGTGATTAAGACCAAGTTATGTACTGGAGTATTTAATCTTTACCGGATGAACAGGATTACCTCGGAGAAATATGTACATGAATACGCGATGTTTCTCTATCGAAGAGGAACAACACGAGAAGACCATCTCAAATGGTGCCAAAAACAGCAAGACTATCGTAAGCCTTTCCAGTACCATCAAACATGACGTTGCTCTCGCAAGAGGAACCCAGGACGGCGTTGGAAATCCATGCAGCCTCCCAGTAATTAAGACCGGTGGCAGAGGGAATCTTCTTCAGAGTATCCGCGACCATTGTGATGTACTCCGTCTGGCCTGCCGTGCTCAGTGGAATGCTAAGCTGGTCCGAAGGGAATGTGTAATCGGGTGACGTGCACTTGGTCGGCCAGTTCGTCTCGACAACCTGGACTTCCTTGTTGTACTGCGTCGCGAGGCCACTGAGAGCAGTCTCGAGTGCAGAGAATGTCGCCTCCGAGCTCCAGAAGGGGTAAAAGGACACCGCGATGACGTCCCAGTCCGCGGTGGTGAACTTGCCCGTCTTGACGAGCATGTCGTAGTACCAGTCCTGCAGATCGGCGTCGTAGCCGTGGGCAAGGTGCGTGACAATCTTTGTAGTCGAACCCAGCGCAGAGGCGCGGATGGCGGCCGAGCCAGCGTGCAGCAGGCGGGCGAGGTTCTCGGGCTGGTCATACTTGCCGGTAGGCCAGAGGATGCCTCCATCAATCTCGTTGCCGATGGTGATCATCTCGGGGTAGAGGCCCGCGGCGGCGAACGCCGCACACACCTCGGCGGTGTAGTTGGTGACCTGGGCCTCGAGGGCGTCGATGGCCGTGGGCCAGCCGGTCGGGATGTCCTGCAGACCCGGGTTCGTGAAGCTATCGCTGTAGTGCAGGTTGAGGCCGAACATGAGCCCCGATGCGTTGGCCCTCTTTGCGAGCTCGAGGTTGTACGAGATGCCGTAGTCGCCTTCGACGGTCCAGACGCGCTGGCGGACCATGTTCACGCCGGCGTCGACGAGAATCTCCTCCAGGGGCTTCGCGACGCCTTGAGCGTTCTTGTAAGTGACGCCCTTGTCACGCTCCTCCACGATGGTGGACGACCAGTCGATGCCATGGTACTTGAGGTTCGCCGCGGCTGTGGGAACGGATGCTGGTTAGGGGTCGTATTTGTATATGCAAGGGGGGGGGGGGCTCAACAGGGCAACCTACCAGCTGAGCCAGCAGCCAATGCCGTGAGGAAGAGAGCTTTCATCATGGTTGCGATTTGGTAACGACCGACAAGTTACAGATGAATCGAAGATTGGCGGCTGAGCCGATCGTTTTGTTTTCGAGCCAGCGACTATTCCACAGCGGCATGCCATCCCCTTTCGATCCTGCTCCGACATATCATTGCTTGGTTCATTTCAGCAGCGCCTCGGCACGGCTAGCCTAGTTGCGGATCAATGATTTGGACAGGGAGCAGCAGCGTTGTTTGGCGGTAGCTGTCAATGTGCCATCTGATGGTCCAGCCCGATGAAAGGGGCTGGACTGGGGGCAAACCGAAGGGATCCCGGACGAGAGCGCACATCGGCACGGCAGATGCGGCGCCTGTCAAATTTCAGGGACAGTTCATTTATTGGGTTGACGCAATTCGTACGATTGGAGCCGGTGTTGGTGGGGCCTGTTTAACGTTAATGGGCTTAGAACTTTGCTAAACGCACAGCCGTTTGTTTGAAGTAAGCCAGGGCCGCCGCTTATCTTTGAGATGTTGTGGATATCGATTTTCGGGTGAACGATTAACAACAACCGTGGGACTGATGATTGTTCCAAAAGACATGTTAAAATTAAGTGAAGACGAATGTTCCGAGACCGAGTTTCCTTCACTGAAGTTCGTCGTTATTCTTCTCAGTTGGTTGGGATAGTGAATAGGTAGCCCAAGTGCTTGTGTTCCCAGCGTCTATTTGAAACAACGCTCCCCTCAGTTCCCTGTAGGCCTCATTCCCATCCTCAGCCATCGATATGACAGAAAAGCCCTTTGCAACAGAGCAAAGGCTGGAATCGCGTAGTTGAGTTAAACAGCTGAACTCGCGACAAAAATGCATTGGCATCATCAGAAACATATAACTGTCACGGCGACGCGGGAGCTTCTTTCACAACTGTGCACATCCACGCCAATCTGCTGCCCACCATGTGGATATTATCGTCGTCATCGGGTTCGCTCAAACTCAAACCAGCGGTTGTGGCCCCTTGGGCAGCGAAAGCACATTGAAATTGATTGCGTTGATTCTCTCAACCTACTTATGGCCATATTCTTTGCTGGTACACTGACACATGTCTCAAAGGGGATGTCGCGCAGTAACTCGATAACACGATTGACCGTGGTATAGTATAGTTGACGACTAAGTCATCTTGACCAGGTGACTACATATGACGCACTTTTCCCCATTAGCTGGTGCTCTTGCTGTCGTCCTCCGGCATATTCAACGCAGCCACACCACTCTTGATTTCGTCCATTGGGATCTCGAATTCTCTTGCCACACTCTCCTTCCACTCCTCAACTGAGATCACCTGCCCACCATCCTTGGCATACCGAGCTCGTAAAACGCTGGCATCGCCATCAACTGGTTCCACGCCCAATGGCACGGGAACAGTCTTTGCTGCCGGACCAACACAAACATCCTCCCCCTGTCGTGGTCTCCGAAGCCACTGATGTTTTTCACTGCATACCGTAATCACGTCGGATTCGGGGTCACGTAACCGCGCCAGACATTCTTTGCAAAAGTCTTTGTCCAGGCAGTAGACACATTGGTAAAACTCCTGTTCAAAATCACCTGCCTTCTCGCACTTTGTGCCCTCCGAAGTATAACCATCGCAGAACCAATGCGTCTCAACATCAACCGTAGGTGTGTGTTGCTTCAGCAGGTCCGAGATGCGCGACTGGAATAAGCGATGTGCAATATCGTTTGGAGAGCCAGTGTTGTCCGAGATAGTTGGCTTATCTTCATGACTTGTGTCAACTTCGGAGGCGAGGTCCGATTGACTTGCCAGGACAAGAGAGTCGATGTGTGTTTTGGCGACCTGAATGCGTTCTCGTTGAGACGCACTGTCTGGCACTTGAGTTCTCACGAGCTGGGTAGTTCCCTTTGCCAGTACCGCAAGAATCTCAAGAACCTTTTCTTTGTCTGTAACTTCATCCTTGATATCCTCGGCTGCAAATTTCAGACTACTTGTCACAAGGTCTGGTTGGCCGCGCAAGGAATGGGCGATGAACACGCCCTTGAAGTCTTCTTGTCGATAGCTCTTCATGACTTGCTGGAGGAGGAAGAAGCCATAATGATCGTTATCGGGCATCTCATCAGAAAGTATCTGAAGAGCCTGGACTACCCGAGGTCTGAGCACTAATCTGGCCTTATCCTTCTCTCCACGTAACGCATGGAGCGCGGCTAGGAGTGCCGCTAAAGAGTCGTCGAAATTGTTTGATTCCTCGTGGACGAGTTTGGACAATGCTTCGAGGTTTTCTTCGTCCTTCCCCTTTCCTTGGTTCGAGAAGTAGTGGTTCGCAAGAGCCGAGGTGGCGTTTGACCGCGCAACGTAGGCGTTGCGGCCTCCCACGTTGGCGAGTTGGTCTCGACTCTCAGTCCAAAGACGTAGAGCTTCGCTCACGGAATCTTTTTCATCCAGTGTGATTCCGAACTTATAGGCTGCGAGGCCGAGGTCAAAGAGAAGGACTCCTCGGGCCTCCTCTTCCTCGTATTGCGCGTCCAAATTAGAAGACTCTGTGTGCCGTTCTTCTTGCGCGATGGACTTCTGCGTGGCGGCGTACATCGTGTGGACCATCTTCTTCAGCAGCTCTGGATCGCTTTTGGTGGTTTTGAACATGCTTGAAGCGAGAACGTCGTGCTCACAGTCCCTTCCTATCTTTTTCAGGATTTCAGTCATCCTACTTTCGCCGCCTTCTGCAGCGATCATGGTCTTCAGCAATTGTGCAGCCTCGGTGACATCTGGGGACATGAGCTTTGCCTTCAGAAGTCCCAGTTGTCCGGCGATCGCCTGTTCGGTATCGTCGCTTTGAGACGCCACCAAGTAGTGCTTTGCTGCAGTGGCCATGTTCTGCGCCTCATAGGTGTACTTGCCCAGCAATAAGTGTAACTCGACGATCTCCTTTGTATCTGGCTTTGGAGTAGTCTTCTCCGATTCTGCTTCCTTCAGAGCAAGCTCGACTTGTTCGATGGCCTGGACTGACTGCTCCCGATTATAGTACGTCATACCTAGACCGTGGTAACACCGCCAGCTTGGGTTTTCAAGTTGAGCGGCTTTCTGATAAAGCGACAGAGCTTGATCGGGGTTGTTCCCCACCCAAGATGACGCTTCAGCGAGTCTTTCATACCACAGTGAATCAAGGTCTGCGTCTGACAGTCCGAGAATGTCTTGGCACCATTTGCTGGCAACGTCCCAGTCAATCTCGTCGCCAGAACCAGCGGATGAGGATGGGGATGATGAGCCCTCTGGATTCGCGTCATCTCCATCGGGGTTTGAGGCATCTGGAAGCTTCTCAATCTTGTCCTTGTCCTGTAAAATACTCTTATCAGTACCCCATGCTGAAAGACTTCAAGCGACGTTTCTCAGGAAGGCTTACCGCGGCCATGAACTCCTTCAGCCACCGGCAAGCGTTCGGGACACTCCAGCTCCTTTCTCTTAGGAACCCTCGTACTACCATATTAACGAAATCCTTAAGATATCCTCTTGGGGGATATCGTGCACGCTCCATCTTGGCACGCCATGGCTTATCGAGCTTCCGAACGACTGTTGGATCGGTTAACCACTTCTGAACATCTGTCATCTCGTCTGCCCACCAATAGACCTCTCCAAGAGATGCCCGGTGCCGTTTGAAGACCGCATCGTCTTTGAAAAGGTTATACAGATTACTTCCAATCTCGGCCCTTTCGTTTGTTGTCAGTTCTCCCTTGCCCTCGTCTTCGAGTTGTCGAAGTTGGCCTAGGTGGTAGGGAAGCCAACAGACGAGGTACTCTCCAATGATTTTCGTCTCCTCCTGGGGATTGCCTTTCAGGTAGTTGAATGCTCGGGTTACAATCGTCTGGTTGGATTCAAACTCGTCTACTGAGATGATACGCTGACTGCTGTTGTGCAGAGCATTTGAGTTGTTGAAATCGAATTTGAACTTGTCTCGGATCGCCATATCCGCAAGATCCCAGAGAAAGTGCCCACAAAGCTCTTGGTCGACGTTGTTGATGGTGATAGTCATGCTGATCGTAGGGCGGTCTTTCGAGTTGGCCGAGCGATTCGAAATTTCTCTCTGCTTCTGTAAATACTCGACGACACCGTCTTGAGGGAAGACACTACCGTCTTCGATCATCAATACAGCCGAGTACTTATTTCTGATAACGTACTCGAGAGACGTAAGAGATTCTATGCCTGAAAAAAGCCTCTTTTTCGCACTTGATGTCAGTCTCTGCAAAGCCAAGAGCATGCCATAGGTTGCTTACCATGGCGGACTCAAGTTGCTCCAGGGTAAGATAATAGTGGCTATACAAGGCCCATTTAAGCATTTCGTTTAGCTCAATAATCTCATCAGCTGTCAATGACCGCTGGAGATCGTTGATAGCCGCCTCGAAACTGCTCATTGACTGATCAAGCATGCGGTCCAACTCTTCAACAGTAGCCATACGTGTGCTCAAGAGACGTATGACTCCGTCTAGCTGAGGCTGGAATGTTGAGTATCTTCCGTTCACATTTTGTGGAAGCTTTTCCAGAATCTTGTCTCTAGCCTTTTGCTGTTGCGAGTTAGTCCCAGCGTTTGGAAGCACCCCCTGCTTGTTCAAAGACTCGATGATAACGAGCCGCATATCCTGCTCGTTCTCCTTCTCCATCTGGATTTTCAACGCATCATCGAAGTTGGGCTGGTACGCAGTCTTCAACTTCTCGTCTGTGCCGCTCACCAAGATGCGCACCCGCCGAGTTGGCTTCTCTTTCGACCGAGAACCAAAGACAAACTCAAGGAGCATCTTCAATTGATCTTGATGAAGATTCTCAATTCCATCAAATACCAAATAATATGTGGCTCCCGATCCAGACGCTCCAATCTTGAGGTCTGACCACAGCTTCTCCAAGTTCTCGGTGCTCGATGAGCGACGGAATGCGGCAGGCCCGGCGTCACACGCCTTGCTCAAGGCCTTTCGTACCGTGGCATCGACGCGGGCAATCTGGAAAGCCATGTACTTGAGCGCTGTCTGTACGGGGTTCTTGTCACTTTCGGACTTCTTCGTGCTGACTGGGAAGAAGTAGTGGGCAACGTAGGTGCGCCCCTTTTGCTCCTCGAGGCGTTTGGTGATGAGGGCGGTGACAGAGGTCTTGCCCGATGATTCAGGACCGGACACAACCAAGATATCTTTATCGTTGGATGCTGTCCAAGAGGTGTATGCCTCATGCGTCCAGATCCACGAACCTGTGCCATTGAAACATTTGTCCGAGATGGTGGTGACTGTCTGCGTGGTGTTGGTGTCGAGCCGGACAGTTGACAGCACGCCAAGATTATCACGAATCTTGGTCAGTGTCTTCGTGCGGTCAGCGTCATCTGTCAGAGACTGGACGCCCTTGTGGGTTTCTTGCGCCGCCCTTTGCGTTTCTACAACCACCGCAAGCGTGACAGTTCCTTCAACATCGCGCTGTCCCTGCAAAGCCCCTTTGAATGCTGTCATGGCACCAGCCAAGTCTGTGTCGCTGTCGAAAATGGACTTGACCCGTTGGAAGACTCGGTCACGTCTACGGCCCTGGCGATGCTTGACAACATGAGCGCAAACCTCAACAAAGCGTATGAGAACCAGATTGATCTGGTTGATCAGCAGGCGATCGACGCTGTCCATGGACTGATAGATCTGGAACTGAGACAGCGCCGACGACACTTCGCTAAAGACTTGATCGACGGCATCGTTGTAGCCTTTGATAGCTTGAGGGATGTCGAACACGAATGAGAGCGCACTGGCTGTGATATTGCTTGCCACGGCCGGGATCGGGATCTGGTTGCGTTAGCGGTCAAGTCGGGCAAAAGAAGAACTCACTCAGACTCACAAATGAAGAGGCCTGTGAAGCAGCTCCCACGAGCATTTTGAGATACTTGAGAGAACTGAGGCCGACACTCTTAGCTGTCTCCCAGCTGTCTTCCGGAATCGGGCTCGTATTGACTTTGCCGCTGTTCTCAATCTGCCTCTGCACGTCTTCGAAGCTCTTCAACTCGCCTTTATTAAGCGACTCGCCGCATATCTCCTGGAAATGCTCGGCTGCGGCTGCCCAGATCTCATCCATGGACCTGTCCCCATTGGAGAGTTTCTTGCCCGACGAATCTGATGCTTCATGTTCCCTCATCGTGGCGCGATTCTTTCAAGGCAGTACTTGAGAGGGGGGTAATGAAGCAGTGACGGATGAAGAGATTCGCTCCGCCAGGTAGCTCTGTCCTGGCGGTGTTTCCAAAAGCACTTGTGCTGACACGATTGCTGATGCTGGCGTTCCAAGACGAGTCAAGAAGATGACATATCCACGCCACTTCTGATGACTATAGTACTTCAGTACTTATGCAAACAATTTTGCGGTCGGGCAGATGTTGTGAGCGCGTGGGCGGAGAACTCAGCAACAATTCTCGCTAGCAATCCTGCAGCCTGATCCGACGTTACAGGCAGCACCAAATGCCTCGTCTTCGCAGCAAATGGTGGGGTGATGGGCGACAAGGGTTTTCAGTCGAGTACGAGCTACCACATCAAATTGCGGCTGAACTGACATGGGTACAAAACTACCGAATAGCCGCTACATGCGTCGAATCATTTGCATCTGCACTAACGAAAATGTTTGATTACTGTGTCACATGAGCTGTTGGGAAAGGTCCAGAGCTACTCAATGGGTGTGATCTGATGTCAGCTTACTTGCCCCCTAAGTTCTAGCCTAGTCACTCAATAAGGAATTCGCAGCCGCTCAAATTGTAGTTGCTGAAACATTCAAGAATGAAGACATTATCTTAGACCATTGATACTGCTGTCGAGCTCCTGTCGCTTTCAGCCTCCTTGTTCCTCTTCTTCAAGATGCAGAAATAGAAGATTGCCATCGTGCCCAATGTCAACAAAATCGCAGCGAGTACGTAAATCCAAAAGAGACTTGACAGTGTTCCACCTTTTGCTTCTTTGGGAAAATCGAAGAAATCCATAGAGAAGAACGCCTGAAATAGGTCAGCCCAATATCCATGTTCATTTGGGAAATTGAATCACGCGCCGTTGCGAAAGAAGCAGGTAGGAAAATCATGCCTAACACCGCAATAGATTTCATGATGCTTCCGTCTTGACGGGTCATTTTGGCAACATCTAGGTTGACTCGTGATATCTCTTGATTCGTCTTGGCATCGCTTCGACCAATCTGGCTAATTTCCTACTCGAAAGGGATTAGCAAACGGTGCGTCGCTGCGACGAGCTACGGACTGTGATCAACTTACAAGCTGAGTTGCCAAGCTGAACCCATCCATTATGTGTGAACATTCTCTGATGTACTCATCATACTCATCAACTAGCTCTTGCAGCCTGTCTCTGATTCGCTCTCCTGTGAGGGAGAACTGTAGTCTTTGGTCTTCTCGGTATGTGCTGTTGAAAGGACCACGAGGTGCGAACTCGACGCTGTTGAGATCTTCGATGTGAGAAATCATTTTCAGTAGCTGTCTCCTCCAGTTGCTCAAGCCAACTCTGAGACGACTTATTTGCTGCCAGAGCTTGGCGGTAGGAAGACTTTCTTCGTCTGGAAAAGTACAAGGTGGGACAAGACCCGTATCCTTAATGAGGGTGGTTGAACCTGATGAAGTTGACATGCCCTGCTGAAGGTGATGGGCACCAAATGGATTGGACATGGTTTTCTCGTCATCACCGAGAGTTCCCATCTCATTGCGGACCATCGCTAAAGTCTTCACAGCGGGCTTCGTGAAGGCAATGCGATCGATTCGTCGTCCTAGTTGCTCCAGTTTTTCTCGGACAAGCTCGATTTGTCTGTCTCGTTCGACATCTGCTAAGATGGTTGGTAACATCATCGGATGAAACACTGGGGTATCTGAGTTCTTCAGTCGACTAGTAATTATATCGGCCAAGGTCATACGATCGTCGTACATGTCTGGCTTCTTGAGATCACATCCGAACAAGACAGCATTCGTAGTCAAAGTGCTGGGCATAAAAGTCACGGATAAAGCCATGTCTCCTGGCCACGATGCTGTCGTCCTACAGAGGTATACTATCTTTGGTGAGACACACAGTACCGGCTATCTCATCGTTCAGATGGGCACGTACCGAGTGATTTCTCCTTGGAATCATTCAAATTCCATTCAAAATTCATCTGAGAAAATATGCAGCTCGTGTTACGATTGATCGTCCTCACGATACCACTGTGAACGAGAAAGCGTCGCTGAACTTTTGAGAAGATTTGGTATGACCACGGTAGCGTCGAAAGAGCAGATGGATCATGTTCCCAAGGACACTCCGCCCGGCCGCCTAATATCAGATTGAGCCTGCTGGATGCGAGACATCGCCTCTCCGACCGATCCTGTCGATTAAAAATATCAGCAAGGGCGGTGAAAACACGATCGTGGACTTATACTGTCTCCAACCACTGATTCCAATCCGCGCATGTCTTAATCTTGCATGACTCTTCATAATCAAGAGCCTTATCAATGTCAGAACGTGAACTACTTGCTCATCAAAAGTCGGCTCGGAAGAATTTATCACACATTATGTTGGCGTTCGATTGAGATCAGTTGACTTTCTGTCGGTTCAAAGTCAAGCACTTCTAGATCTTCCTCGAATATCGTCGGATCTCGGCATAGCCAGGACATGGCGGCTGGTAGGTTAGGCCCGACGAAGCTTCAGACGTTGAATCAAACTTGAGTGAGCCTTCTGGTGTTTCATGAGAAACAAACTGATGTTTGTGATCACAAGAGACATCAAGTAGAAGGTGCATGTGAGGTAGGCCGCAGAGATCAGATTTAATCCCAACCCCTAAGTCGAGCAGCAAAACTCCTCTGGCTGCATCCCATCATGCCAAGTTCGAGGACCTCAGACAAAGCAGAGCTCACTGTCAGCATCATCTACTCTCAATATTCCGGCAAATTCCCAAAGGCTTACCCCGCTCGAGGGGCGCCTTGCCTTGAATATTAGCGGATGCTCTGGTTGGTGAGGAACAGGGAGCGTGGGCAGGCTCTTCTCACCTCCCGAGTTGTGCGGGTCGTCTTGGCTTCGATTTGGGTAAATGGCGGCCACCGATATGCAGCGACTTCTTGATACTAAATCAGCCAAGCAGAACGCCTAACGTGGTAGAATGGAACATCATGCCTACATTCGGGGCTGTGCGTGGGTCTGCATATGCAATGAGTGCATGCATGCAACTTGGGCATCGCTGGGCACATCCTAGCCGGGAGGTTCGTCTTGGACAGTAGCGTGATTATCGCCCATATTTCATTTGCAAAATGTCGTTCGGTGAGTCCTCAGCCTCTTGGGGTTCGCATATGTACTTATTTAAGAGTGAGGGGATCACGCGTATTGTCAGTCCACGTAGTCAGGTCTGTTACGTCCTGAGTGGCTTTCCCACCTTGAGATCAAAACGCCTTGTCTGAGGTGAATGCTTTATAGGCAGTATGTACACTCAAACTCTGCCTATACAGTATGGTAGTCAGAGCCGTTTAAACAAAGCTCTGACCCAATTTGTTGGAGACGGCAATTTTACAATCCATGGGGTTGGTACTCTCAACTTCGCCAGTTGCCTTCCTTTCATCACTCACTGACAAACACACAGTACGTTGATAATCAATGGTACTTCCAAACCACAAGATTACTGAGTTCCGTGAGTCAGAACTGAACAGCTATATCGGGTTTGCGACGTTCTAAGTAATAACCATTTTGTACCAGGCCGAAATCGCAGCAGTGAAGCTCAAAATGAGAGGTCATGCAAGTAAGAAGAGATGAGGGCGGAACACAGTGACCAGTGATCAATGTAAACTATCATCATAGGGCTGACTATTCAGATGGCCGCTCAGTACTTTAGGTCATAGTATCTATCCATCCATGCATTGTCGAGCCTTTAGCATACTAAGTATATCTCAGTGTCGAAGTAAGAGTTGAACCTCATAAAGCCCGTGGCACCAGTGACTGTAACAAGCAGAGGTTCTATGTGATATGCCGGCGTACGGTCTACGTTTGAGAGTGACGGGCATAGCCAATCGCCCTGCGAGTAGAGTTATCATAAGGGATAAAGAGTGCTCTAACAGCGCCTTGATAGATTTGAAATGAGAGTATCAAAAAGCTGATTGTAGTATTATCCTCAAGAGGAGCCATGATCAAAGTGTCCAATCTCCTGGAAAACAAACACTGGCTGCAACCACCTAGAATGTAGGGGGGCTTCCTGAGCCTGCCCAAAGAACTAAAAAGTACCCTTCCACTCCTGAGATATCGATACAAGGCTCCTGAGCCACACGCGTGTGGCTTTAACAGTTTCGTTTAATCTCTTCGGCCGTAAGATGATATGGCGTGGTGACGCTATAGAAATTATTGCGCATCTGCTCACTATTAGGACTCGCCCACAAGGAATTGGGATCAGACCATTGGAATACCTCTACAGTGTAGTAGTCGTCAAACTTCCGGTCAAGGAAGCTTTCCAGTTTGGCCGGATTCACAAAGCGACCTGGGATTTTTGCTGTAAAGCGAGCTCCCGACCAGGATTGATAGGATGTCGGCGAAGACCTCATTGCCGATGATGATGAGTATGCTCTCGGACTGGGCATGATATCAGAGTCGATTCCAATCGCTCGAGACTGCTAAGGATGATTATTACTTGAGGGGAAGCCCCCTGGGAGAGGTGGAAATGCCGGGTTTAGACACTACTTATAGGATGCAGAATCTGTAGCCTGATGTACCTTTTTGAAATTCGCCGAGAATGTGCAAAGGCGCGCGGGGCGAACCATAACAAAATGCAACTTGATGCATCAGAAGGCAGCCAGGCAACCCGCTAAGCCACCCCCAACCAATGTGCGCATTCATATTCTGCAGGCTATCACTCGCCGCTCAAAGACATGCCAGGGGGCGCAGGGTAAGAATTGGCACATCGAGTCGATCCCGGCAATGCCTCAACAACGTATCATTAGTGCCACTGGGAAGAATGCCTCGCCGGACTCCCATGCGCTGATAAAAGTGACCAGACTCCGAAGATTTCGGGGCCTAATACGTGTGTCATGTTATCAGTACCTCCCACCCATTGAGCGGCCATCCAGGACTCGGCAACCTCACTGTCCAGGCCCTTTTGCCTCTTGTTCGTGATTTGCCGCATACAAGCTCGCGTAGGCCAAAACGTTGAGTCAGAGTCACCTGTCTGCAACACATGCTCCAACTATCTTAGCAATCGGTGCCTACCGCACCTAACAGTCATCACGGGTATTATCCAATCATTCCCGATCCCTTTATAAAGGTTTTCCAAGATGTCTCAATTCGATTTTGGACGAGTAAGTCGGCTGTCAATTCGTCTAGCACTACCTACCTACAAAGACTCTCGAACTAACATCACGATCAAAGAAGTTTCTCGATAACTTCAACCCGGAGAGAAGCTTGGAATTCTACCCCGAAGGCCGTCGTCCTCCAAATGTCGTCCGCGAACAATCAGATGTTTCGATTACGACAAAGTCCAATAATTACAACTACGGCATAGATCTAGTCGAAGAACACAACGCTGCACTCCTCTATTCACAGCCAGATACTATGTTCCCTGGCTTTGTGGGCGGCGCATTTGAGCCACACGATGAACCAAGCAATACCGAAGCAGATCTACAGCTAGAGAATGAAATCGGAATGGGCGCGGCAGAGGCAATGTGTGAACAGATCCACGAAGCTATGCATTCCACTGGGCCTACGCACTCGAGGCCTTGGCTTCCCTCTGGTGACTTGCACGCTATCAGCCACCGGAGTCGTGTCAAAGCTGTACTTCGACAACACTTCTCTGAGCCAACGTTGACTAGCCTTACTGACTATGTCTGCGGTACTGAAACAGCGACACACAAGGGAGGTGACACAAGTCAAAGGATATTCGTCATTTTGGTTCTGATCCGCAGAATTGTGACGTTACCGGCGCTAATGAAGGATGATTTGCGTGATCGTGACCTACCTTTCGAGTGGCTCAACCCTGCATCCCGGGATCAACTCATCAGTCCCAAGTCTCAGTTTGCGAACAAGGCTCTTCCTTGCTTCGAAAGGAGAGGAAAAGGTTTACTGAGAGAGTTCTATGAAAACCAGTGGAAGATACTTGCTCCTATTATTGATCGCGACAAACACGGAGAGGTGACCACCTTTCATTTGGCTGAAGAAGTCATCATGCCCTGGACTTTCATTGGGGATGAGAGAAAGGAGGGAAGTTTCTCTATGGTCCGCAAAGTTGAGATACACCAAGATCATCATTCTTTTGTGAGTATTGCCCTCAGCTATCTGGAGCCCTCGCAATTAATTCGGAATTGACTAATCTGGATCAACTGTAGCACACTCACAAAGCATTCGCACTGAAAACCCTGCTCCAAACAGACCCTGACCAAGCAGAAGATGAGTTCGAGCAAGAGCTCAAGGCCTTTACCAAAATGATACCGGGAGACCACATTCTTGATCTTCGCGCGACTTTCAAGATTGGAGACAAATACTCGTTCTTGTTTCCCTGGGCAGAAGGGGGCAACTTGAAACACTTTTGGAATAAGTGCCCTACGCAGGTGCAAAAGCACGCTCACCAACCCGACGTACTTCTGCGTTGGGTGGCCGAGCAATGCCACGCGCTAGCAGCGGCTCTGCAAAGCATCCACGAGGTTCGCGTAAAAGCACTCAAACGAGCAAATCGGATACCCCAAAATGAAGACGCTGACAGAGACATCTACGGAATCCACGGCGATATCAAACCCGAGAACATTTTGTTGTTCAATCACCTGGATAATCCACTGGGGATCGGCACTTTGAAGATTGCCGACTTTGGCCTCACAGAGTTTCATAGGCTTACATCGCGAACGCGGTCGTTCAATCATGGGTCCGATGCCCGACAGCCCGCGCCTACCTACGAAGCGCCTGAACTTGTACAGCTTGGGGAAGTGTACTCCAGGAAGGCTGATGTGTGGGCCCTTGGCTGCGTCTTCTCTGAGTTCTTGACCTGGGTCGTTCGCGGGCACTTGGCTGCGGGAGAGTTTGGACAAGCCCGTGCTATGGAAAGAGATTGGGACGACTCTAAGAAGCGGTTCAGATGGGCAGAAGACAAGTTCTTTGTGGCAACTTATAATGATGGCGGAGTTCCCGGAGCGGTCCGGACTTCTTTGAAACTTGCCGTGGACAATGTAAGTTTTGGTGTTACTCATCTAGAATCGACAGTATCAAGGTACTTTGTCTACTTTGTCACGACCCGCTAACCGAGATCAACGTAGTGGCTTGATGAACTTCATCAAGAATCAAAGACCGAGGAAGCAAACTTCCTCACAGACTTTCTAGACCTACTTAGACACGAGGTCCTCGTGTGCGAGAGAGACAACCGAATCAGCTGCGAAAGGCTGGTAACGGAACTGGAAAAGTTCGCTTCCAGAGCCGGCGAAAGCCGGTCAGATGATCCGTACTGGAGACCACCTTTACCATCATTCCGACAGGATTCTCTGAAACGAGGAGAGGCTTCGAACGGTAGCACTGGACGGCGGGTGGCCTTTGCTCATCAATCCTCAGCCAGCTCGGACAGCTGGATATATGTCGATGATACCAGTGCAAGATCTGGTTCAACCGAATAGCCATTCTGGAGTATGAAATAAGTTTGGTATGTTGATTGGGCTCGGCTGACAACAATCCAGTTCTACGCTAGTTCCGCTAGCGAGATCGAAATCTATGGCCTTTCCCTCATTGTACGTGCTTCAAGTACCAGCATACATATAGATGTAATTAGACAGTATATCATCGTTATTGGAGGGGTTTAGAGCAATCATCTGAAATATCTTGTCCAGCATTCCTGTTCGTTGTCTCATTGAAACACTTCATGTTGACTTGGTATTATTTAGTACTATGTAGATGTACAGATTCATTAAACATGGGACTCCCAACTTTTACGTACCCAGTGGCGTAGCTTCCAAAGGCAATAGCCGTACTATTTATCAAGCTATCACAGATCCTTCTTCAAGTCGTGTTCCTGTTGTTTTCATCATCAGCAAGTGAGAACTGTGGAAGCATAGAACATTGATGTCGCCTGAAGCCTGTGTTGTTTCAATAATGAAGAAGGGCCAAGAAGACTTACAGGTTTATGATCCGTCTCGTAGTCAACGTGAACGAATGCTCTCTCTACTCCAGGCAACTTCTCAATCTTGATCTGAAGAGCCTCGGCCACATCGTGTGCAACCTCGAGTCTCTCATGGCGGTCCATGACAACATCAATCTCAACGATGTATCGCGGTCCGCTGTGATACGCGCGGACAGTGTCAATCTGCTTGACCTCGGGCGAATGAGTCATAGCTAACATATGGCTCTGTCAGTTCTCATCCTCGAATTCTGTTCACCAGGAGTTCAGGCCAGCTTACCGATGTAAGTAATGAGCTGCAAGAACTCGGGCTCAGCAGACACTCCAATTAACAACTGAAACTCCTCATACGCAGTCCTCAACCACAACCCCGCAATCAAGAACGACAACAGGATAGCGCCCATCGGATCAATCCACCACTTGATCTTGCTACCAGCCGAGAAGGTAAAGATACCAAACCCGTTGATGAAGAGATCGTTCCGGTGGTCGCGCCAGAGAATCTCAACCTGGGAGTAAATATCCTTGATAGACCAGCAATACAGCCACAAACAGAATTTCGTCCCGAACGCAATGGCAACTGCAATGACGGAAGTGAAGTGGAACTCGTTCGTCTCCTCCTCAGATCCAGCAGCCAAGTCCCGGGCTGACATGACAATCAGCACCAGCGAGACGGAGAACATGATGAATGAGAAGACGATATTTCCCGCAGTAGAGATGCGTGATTTGCCAGACGGGTATTTCTGCGTATCAACCTTCTTCACCGCGCGGTGGGAAAGTAGCAGCAGGACACCCGAGAGCGGATCAAAGACAGAGTCAGCCATGGTGGTGAACAACGACAGCGAGCCAGACGTTATCGCAGCATAAAGCTGCAGCGCCGAGAGGATGACATTTGCCGCCAAGCTACCCTTCACAGCGATCTGGTACTTGAGGTTGTTGTCACCCTGTGTTTCCTTCGCCTCGCGCTCGTGGTCGTCTACGCTCTTGAGATAGGAGCGGATCTTTTCATTCTGGGCGCGGTAGAAGTCTTGGAGCTTTGCATCTTTGGCGCCGCCGCGGGTGAAGCTGTGGTGGATGAAGCGTCTTCGCGTGGTGTTACTGCTGTTTTTTTGAGGCTTGTTCGCGTTGTAGGCAGATTGAAGTTGGACTATGTCGGCATCGGATTTGATGTGTGTGCCAAGGTTGTAGGGGTCGTTGATCTCGGAGGAGGAGAAGGAGCGGGATTCTGGGTCGGTGCTGGGGGAGAGGTTGGTGAGGTCGATGCCTGTGCTTGGGGCACGATTGGTTGTGGTAGTGGTAGTAGACATTATGAGATGAAGTATCGTGATGAACTAGAGGTATGAACAATCACCACGAGCTCCCGATGCTGTGCCTGAACTGTTTGAGTTGTCCTGGAATATCAAAAAGAATTAAGACGAGGATGTGGGACAATAAGGCAGGGAAAGTTGAGGCGGGCAAGCTCGTAAGGGAGGGAAAGTCCAGTCGGGCCCAACCAGGGAGGTAACCGGCACTAGGGCAACTTTTGACGAAAGCGAAATGAGTGAGGGGTATTTGAAGCGAGCTGACGGCGCATCATTCGTCTAAACATCCCTCGTGCGCCGCCTTTACGGCGCTAGACAGGGATGAGCTTGGGGCGAAATCGGTTAGCTACGCAAGATGATCTCGACGAGCTCCCTGACTTGGTATGGCCTGGCGGCGAACTTTTGCCGCTGCGCCTTGGAGATGACGGGATGTTTGTTGCTGACATTTGCTCGCCGTTGATTGCCGCAACGTTCTTGCCAAGAAGATCTGCCTGTACATTGTCAATTATGTGTGGGTGGACGACAAGTGCGAAGAGAAATATGGGTGGGAAGAGAGGCTATGCCGGAGATCGGCGTAATGACGCATTTTTAGACTGATGGATAAGTTCAACTTTGACTAACGGCGAGATACGGACACTTGTCCACACCTTCATTCAGGACTGGGATAAGCTTCGACCGCATATGCCGAAGATCTTGGTCTGTTGGTCGCCTCATGACGCCTCAAGAGATGCTTCCTATCCCGTTGACCCACACGAAGTACTGCGACACTCGGTTTACTCTGCAACATCTCTGTCGATTGTCTTTGTTCGGCTCTACAGCAAATATCCCGCCTGCCGCTCAATCCAGTCCAAGTCCAAGACCAAAACCGATTTCCATTCCTTCCAAACGCCAGGCCAATTCCTAGAGAACATCAAACCATGTCCCCATGCAAGTCGTTTGTAGTAGTCACCATGTGACACAATGCTAATCCACCCCCAAAGCCCAAAAAGAAATCCTAGGAAACATGTCATAATACTGGGCGGCGGTCCATCCAACTTCAAATGGGCGAACCACGTCCGTTGGCCGCGCCGTTCGTCGGAGGACCATTGGCTCTGGATGCTATGGTGAGCATCTGCTTGAACCTAGGACCCAGCGCTTGGATGACCGCCTGCACATCCGGCGCTTCGGGCAAAGAAGACAGATTCATGTCGCGGACGGTCGCAATGATCTCGCCAGCATCACTTGACGCAGAACCCCGCTTGCCTTGCGTCGGCGCCAACCCCTTGACGTCTCTGCCCAACCGTACCGGACCGACGGGCCTCACAGGCGTAATGAGAGTGTCATCCATCAGGTTCTGCCACCGCACCAAGTAGACACCCGGACCAGCCATACTCGTCGAGTTGCCCTCGATGATGGTCTGCATGCGCGTCAAGGACAGCTTTTCCAGGTCCCGTAGGTATGCAGCGTGGGCGTCGATGATGGGAAGAAGGGCCGCTCTGCTGTTATCGGGAACCTGGTTGAAGATGTCACCCAGCTGCTCCTCAATGCTCGCGCCACCGTTCTTAGTCTTGTGGAATGCAACCAGGGAGTCCTTTGCCCACGCCCTGAACTGGTCCATGACTTCAGGGCATTTGCCGCCCACAGCGTGCAGCCACTTGTACAAGAGATGCTTATTGTCCTTGCATAGCTTGACGTAGTCCTCTACAGTGGGCATAGTCTCCGGGTCATCTTTGTTCTTTCCCTTCTTTGGTTTACTGCAGGCGATCAGCTGGTCGAGGAACATGTGGTAGTCCCTAACGTGGTCCGAGAGGTCGACTTTATTGTGTACGGCGCGGATGATGGGATCCATCCCGGCCACTGCCTCACGGACCGCCTGGGTGAGGTAGTCTGGGCTCTGCCTGCAGAGGATGCTGATGATTTCTTCCCGGTCGCGCATAGCCAGCAGTGCTGCGTAGTATTCTAGACACATTATGTGCTCGTCCTCGCTGAGATCGGAAAGCAGGATGGGGTTCGCCGTTTCGAGGATGACGGCGATGATGGACTTGTCTTGTTGCGCGCTCATGGCTCGGATCACTTCGCGCTCGGTTGGAGGGGATTGAGTGTGGGCCTTGATGGCATCTAGAGCGCCTTTACTTGGCCTATTCTTGTCTTTAGCGATTCTGTCGATCGTCTTCTTGAAGTCGGCGCAGTCCCAGCCGAGGATGACGGAGATGATCCTGCAGCTTTGTTAGTCTTGATACTTATCTAGGTAGGAGTGCCTCAGCTCAAGGAATTCGAACCTCTGCATAAGATTCATGCCATCTGCAGCATCCTTTGTTATGCCAAACCAGTTCGAAACCGACCCAACGCTAAGCTTGGCCAGAAAGATCTTCATCATGCCAGCAATCATTGTCGCAGCATTGCCGACCTTGAGTGTCTGCCGGACCATGTTGTATGGTACCATCTTGTGAACCTGCTCCATAAGCTTGACGAGGTACTGGCCCTCGGGTGAGACAACCAGCACTTGGTGGGCAAGTCCAGCCAGGCTGTAAGTCCGTGTTAGTCAGTCTAACTTCTTCGAACCGCCTTGGCACAGAGCAATACTCACTGGACAATGATGTACTCGTTCGCCGCCTGGGTCATTGGAGAGTGTGATTCGAAGTCGTCCGTCTCGGCAAGGTGATCAAGTAAGCTGTCGCAAAGGTCCCCGTAAACGAGTTCATGCATAGCATCATCCCAGGCCTGCGCCAGGTCTTCCGCTCTGTTCAGATCGTAATGCTTAAGCCGCGTTGACGGGTCGCTGTAGGGTCCGCCACCAATCATGCCACGCGCGACGGTCTCGATGACAGTGGACGAGGCGGTCGCCAGGGTCTTTCTAGTACCCAGCGCGCCCTTCTCGTAGCTTTCGGACAGCTCGGCCTCGGCAAAGTTCTTGAGGATTCCCTGAACTCGGACGTTCCAAAACTCGGGAACAAAGGAGGAGACGCCCGGTAGCTTCAGGATGAATCTGGTGAAGAGAGACTGCAGAAGGGGCGCTGAGGACTCCGGGGCGTAGGTGATGGCCTCTCCGGGCTTGGAGCTCTGCGCAAAAGGGTAGCCATAGTCAGAAATGGTTTCTGGCTTCTTGAAGTCTTCGATCTCGTGGTAGGTCTCGAAATGGGTGAGGATATTGAACAGAGCCTTAGACTGCTCGGCAGTGAGGCCTGGGGGTTGTTGGGTCGCCATGACAGGTATTCACAATGGCGATATGCCCAGGGCCGTTTATCGCTGGAGCTTCTTGTGACTCTCGTGTACTCTTGAAGATGTCGGTAATGTGGCGAGTTGTAGCAGCAACGGGCGAAGCGTTGAATTTATTTGGTCAGCAATCCAAGTCGACGATGTGAATCGTTTTTAACTGAGGCAGGAGCCAGGTGGTCGCAGCTTCCAGCTGAGGTTAAAAGAATGTTGCGTTTCTGGAAGGTCCCCGCGATCGTGTTCGGTCACCGGTGCTCCGGTTGAATTGTGGATCACGGGTACGTGACGTCACGAGACTTTTACAGTATGTCACTGGTTTGTTTTTCCTCAGAATTCGTGCAAAGGTAGGGGAGGGGCGGGGAATATTCACCACTTAAAGATCCTAGCAATGTCCTCTTTCATACGTCGATTCTCTGAATAGAAACAGTGAACAGACCGCGGGAGTCGCCGTGTCAAGTGTCAGTGTCTCCAGTGTCTCTGCCCTGCCCCTGTCGGCTTTGTCTGGGCGACCCTCCTTTCTTATTCGGCAATCTGCAGCACCTTGCATCAGTGCAGATTCCCAGATCTGACTTGACTGCTTTCAAGCATCTGATTTACTGCAATGCGTGCCTTTGCCCTATTCCTATTGTCATGTATGGCATGTGCACTAGCGATCTTCCCGAGGCATAGGAGAGCATATGCAGGCTCAGCTCAACTCAGCTCCCATTACTTGCATGTATCAGCAGAGTACGTGTCATTCAATGCCTTCTCTTACAAGTTTCGTCCGATGGGATGCCTCGTCACATCCAGCTGTCTTGGACTTGTGGAAAACTACCGCCCTAGGCTGGGAAACTTGGGCGATTGTGGCTGAGTAATCTCATTGGAGCTAAGCTTGTTCTGCAGGGCGCAGACTGGAAGCTATCGCGCATCTTAAGCATAAAGCTCAACGGACGACGCATCCTCATCGAACCGGCTGTGCGAGATAATCTCATTCCACATCATCTCAGAACGAATTTTCACCTCGTGTTCGGTCCCCCGGCCGGTATCTACCCCCGGCATGAAAAGCGACCCTCAAAGACCCCCGCAACCGAATGCGTCGGGTTTCAATCCTGTCATGGCAAAAGTCAATGTTTGCCCCCCACACCAGGAACACGTCCGAGGGCCACTCGAGTCAAAGCACGAGCTCAATGCCCGAACAGGTAATCACGCCAGTGCCAACCTCCCGATCGTTCCCGTCGCGGCGTCCCGGCTGGCTTGATGATGTGTGTCTTGGCCCGAAGAATCGGTCATAATATCGTCGTCGATGAAGACACTCACCCAAATGGCCACATGATGCCTACTAGTAAAGTGAATATATCTGTGAACCAAAGGATACACCTGGGCAATGGAAGGAAGAAGCAGGTGGCAGTATCATAGGTAAGCCACAACTAGAGGTCGCGATATGCCCCGGACTATTCCAAGAGATGATAACCATCCATTTGGAATTGACAGTCGGACTCGCAATCGGATGGCACTGAATCCGATAGCTACCCGCCTTCCCTATGTCGCAGTCGCAATCCGTCAGACTACCCATCTCTCAATGCCGAGCCGCGTCAAACTGAACCTGTCAAATGGATCCGAGGGCGCATCTGTTAAGGTCAAAGTAACAGAACTACATTCGACCTCACGATACTCTGAGCAGTTCAATACATTGTCATCAGCTTCTATTGGCCAAACTCCACGATATCCTGTGTTGATTAGGTTTCTTGACAGGAAATGACTAGCAATGATTTCGTACTCGAACAGGCGTTGAGAGTCTGCATCTTGGGTTCGTAGTGGTCGTTCATCTCCTCAGTGTCACTTCGTTGAATATGAACAAGAATGACTGCGAAGTGCCTTTTCTCAAATAATGCACGATCAATTCGAGCAGCTCCGGGTGCAGCGGAATCAATCAACCCCGGATCAGACGGACCCTTCACCGATCATCTCCCCACGGGGTCGAGATCCATCCGCCCGGGTTCACTCGGCAAACAGTCGGCCGAAAGCCTACTTCACGGTGGACTCGGCTCATGTTGGCCCGAGTAAAAATTCACCCACCTTCTTCCCACGAATGAGGAGCGCTTCATCAAACGCTATCCAATCGCTTTCCCACTCGTGCGCAAATTGAGCAACGGCTTTTTAGTATTCATCTAGCTTAGCGGTCCCGCCGCTGTGTCTTTTGCCTCCAAATGACCCCTGGATCACGCGGGGAAATGCCCAGCTTAGAGGCTTGTCAGTCCAGTTGGATGCGGGGAGACATGATGGCATCCCTGGCACCCTGGATGGCGCTGGGTGCCGAGATCCGTTGTCAATGACACCTTCGCCATGAGAGGAAGAATAAAGAAGAAGCTGCACCTTCGTTACCTTGCTCGGCGAGACAGCTCGAAGGACCTCGCTCGTGTCTTCACCATCGTCGACTTCTCGATCTGGACGGAAATAAGTTGACAATGAAGTTTTCCGCAGTTTCCCTCCTCTTCGGAGCTGGTTCGGTGCTCGCGGCACCAACGGAGCGCTCCGATGTTGACGACCGACAGGTCCTCTGGCTTGCTGGCGACAGCACGATGGCACCGGGCGGTGGACACAACGGTACCCAGGGTTGGGGAGAGTACCTACACTACTCTCTCGATTCGTCAAAGATTCGGGTCAACAACTCTGCATACGCTGGAAGAAGCGCGCGCACGTTCACAAGGGAGGGCCGGTTCCAGCGGATTATTGACGAAGTTAAGGCTGGCGACTGGGTTGTGATTGAGTTTGGTCACAACGATGGACGTATGTATCTAAACTGCATCGATCCTACCTCTCCAAACATGAACTACTCTGACAGAACTCTAGCTGGCAACCCGATCAACGATACAGTCAAGAACCGAGTTGACTGTCCCGGTATTGGAGACAATGTCTGCCCTGTACTTTTTAAGTACGTCCATGAATATTGAAAACCCCATATCTCTCCCCAATGGTGAAGATCTGATTGTCTTTAGCAACCAAACGGAAATCGTACAGACATACACCACCTACCTCCGCAACGCCTCCTCCACCTTCCTCTCCCTCGGTGCCCGTGTAGTCATCTCAACATCGACCCCCATCAACCCTTACTCGACCGGTACCTTTTCGTGGGCGCCGACCATCTACACGTGGTACGCTTGGTACGTCGTCGAATCCCTCGGTGGACCCGCGGCGGGCATCTACTACGTTCCGCACGGCAATTACAGCGCCCAGTCCCTTCAGGTGCAGGGCCAGCAGGCAGCTGTCGAGGGCTACCCGATGGATGCGGTACACATGTCGCCGAAGCTGGCGGACTCGTTTGCTGGTGCTTTTGTGTTGGGGCTTAAGTGCGGGACGTCGCCGCTGCAGGAGTATGTTGTCAACGCAACATCGAGACTGGAGGGGGATAGACTGGGAACTTGCCTCCAGGTTAATGCCACGCTGCCCATTTAACATCCAATAGAGCCCATGAAGAGAAGGGCTGTACTATCATCTGGTTCTTAATGCTCGAGTGGTGTCAAACTGTAATAGACTATATCAACGGCTGATAAAAGTTGATTAGCCCAAAGACGAAGAGCTCGATGGATAGGAAACTTGGGGTCTATGGAGCTTTAGAATAGACTGACCCAGTAACGAAGATAATACAGTATATAAGGTAGCCTGTACATGTAAGAAGTATCACTATGCTCCTATTACTTCTGGATGATTTGGAAGATAGACAATGAATTATGAACCTTCAAGTTCACTTCTGATAACTGAGTTCCTGAGAAGTTCGATTCTAGCTGCGCGAAGAACTGATACTAAACTTTAAATACAACAGCACACCCGGTTCTCAAGGACTTGAGAAAACAATTTCGAAAACCGCTCGTGAGTCTACTTACCGTTGCAACCTGTTTCCGCTACTGAGATGGAGCAAAGCCATCTTCAGAGTCGGAACCAAACTCCTTATCAGCGAAGATGTTCGGGCCATTGACAGTAGGTTCAAGGTGGTAGGCCCTCTGGCAACTAGTGCAGCAGACCAGTTGAGTGCGGCAGTCGCGCTGGATGGTCTGGCAACTGATACCGTTCCTGTAAGACGGGCAGTAGACGAAGTCGGACTGGGACGAGCTGATGGTGCGGCCGCACTGGCGGCATTTGGTGACGTTGAGGATGTAGTTGCACATGGCTGCGATGTAAAGTGAGTTGTGAGTTTGTTAGTTCGATCGATGCTTAAAGCTGCTGATGTCAGATGAAGAATCCTTGTGGAGCGTTGAGTTGAAGTTGAGAGTGTTGCGTCGGGGTGATGAGTTGAGAATGAGTTGCAGGAAGCTTCTAGGGTCAGTCCATAGTGGCACTTTTATGATTTTTCAGCCGGGAAGTTGATGCTGTCTGTCGTCTTTCACCAGCACTCATAGGTGCGAAAAGGTCTTGTTCCATCGATCAGACTGACACCTTAACCTACGCCATTGTCAACTGCTCCTTGTGAAAGAGGACAGTATCCTGGAGCACCTGGGCTGAATCAGTCTTTTCGAGTTGTCTCCTTCAGATCTTTTCTAAAAGTCTTTTTTAGGACACTTTCTGTGTTCTCGGGTCAAAGAACATGACAAAGGAGTCCTTCACTGCAGACAAGGTATCCTGATCAATCGGACTTTTCAATCGGGGCGAGACTCTGACCAGCTGAGGAAATGTCCGCACTGGATACTTAGTTCAACACATGCAGTATGTTATCCTCAGGTAGAAAAAACTGTGTTTGGAATTCCCACCCTGAGAACATCACAGATAAGAGGCTCGACTTGGTCAAATGTTTGCACGTGTGGTCTCGAGGAGGAGCGTTTGCTCTGTATGAATGATATTTGTGGGACACAAACATCGCCAAGACTTGCTTTCTCCGAACTGGGCCTCGCACGCGCATCTTCAACGTAACATCATTTGCAGCCAGACCGTCGGGCTGGGTTTGCCAAAAGGGACTTTTCGTTGGCCAAACACCGAAATTTCGCATGGTTATTGTGCTGACGTGGGATGCCTCGTTGCACTAGAAGAGGGGCTTTCCGCGGGGGGGGTTCGTTTCATTTGCTGGATTTGCTTTTTACCCTTGAGCAGATCAATAATGACCATCGAAGCGAACACATTGTGGTCCCTCGGACAATCGGGGTGCGGAGACCATGTCCGTAGTAGCGCTGCCGTTGGGACTAGACAAACATGTAATCTTTTAGCTCTGTTGGAACCAGATTCCGTCACATCAGATAACGAATGCGGCTTTGCTTTAAATTGACAGTGGCCGCTCGCTGTTGGAAGTTTTTTCTCAATCCAACTTTTTCCTCTCGTGTGCACCACTATTTGATCCTACACTGTTCCAACACTTGCACTTTTGCTCGGGCATTAGACTGTACCAATGGGCTCTCTTGAGAACAAGACGTCTGTAGACAAGATGGAGTATGACACAAAGGAGAAGCTCGCTGCCTTGAGCGTCATCGAGTGAGTATCAAATGCAAGCGAATTTTCAAAAGTCTAGAGATAAGTCAACTGACTCCTTTTCAAAGTCTAGAGATCGCAGAGGTTGGTTGAATCTTGTTGGCATGAAACGACCCGGCCACTAACCATACTCCAGTACCTGGCAGGTGAGCATCCCTTGCCAGAGTCAGCTCCCCCAGCCCCAGACACAGAATTCGAGTACTCCATCCAAATTCCAATGCGCGATGGTGGCCGCGAACAAGAAGCCCGCGTCCACAAGCCCTCCACGTCAACAGGCGCAAAGTCCCCAGTCATCGTTCTCATCTATGGAGGAGCCTTCACAATGGGTGACTGTCACCAGATGAGCCCCTGGGCCAGAATCGCCAGGAAACTCTTCAATGCCACTGTCGTCAACCTTTCCTATCGTCTGGCACCTACTCACCCTTTCCCCGCAGCTCCCAATGATGTGGAAGACGGGCTCAAGTGGGTTTCTGAGAATGCGCACACACTAGGCGGCGACTTGAACGCAGGCTTCATTATCGGGGGCCCATCTGCTGGCGCAAACCTGGCGGCCGTTATGGCACAGAAGACGGTTGATGGCATCACGAAACTCGGAGCCCCTCTCACTGGTGTCTGGCTCCTGGCTCCTCTTTTCCTTGAGGACGATATAGTGCCTCCAGAGTACAAGGACATCTTCCTCGCAAGAGAGCAGAACGCCGAGGCCCCGATCTTCAGTAAAGCAGCCTGGGGTTATCTCGCAGCCAATTACAAGGCAGACATCAAATCAGTGGATTATTCGCCTTTCAACTCGAAGAACCCCCACGTCGGAATGCCGCCTACAGTTGTGCAGGTTGGAGGTCTAGACTTCCTCCGGGACGACGGGCTGGTTTATGAGAAAGCTCTCAGAGCACACGGTGTTGAAACCCGGCTAGATGTGTATCCCGGCGCTCCGCATGGACATTTCATATTCCCTGGAATCAAGTCCGCGTTCAAGGCGAACATTGACATTTTCAAAGGCCTCGGGTGGCTTCTCAAGCAGGAGACTTCGGAGGATGAGATCAAAAAGGCGGTTGTTGCGGATCCTTTCATGACCGTTCCGGAGAATTCGTCAACGGCTTATGACGCCGTATTCCGATGACCGTAGAAATCATAGCATGCTGTTACTTGAATCATCTTACAATTCTTGTTTGTCACCCCTTAATTATCTGTGGCTAAACTCTTCCTGGAAAGCATGATCAAGAGAGCGATGATATTGGCTGGTGAGATTGCTTCATTGTTCCCATTACTATCATTACTAACTTTGTAGCGGAGTAGAGTTGCTCCGGGTATCGTCAAGCCTTCTACATCAAAGGTGGTCGCTCTCATTCAAGAATATTAGACACAAGAGTCAGCAATTGCTTGCTTCGCGTGACTGTCTTTTTCCGCGCAACGCTTTTGGCGCCCATTCTCAATGGAGCGACTTGATCATAGCGCTCTTCCATAAAATTCCCGCTCGTCCCTGGGAAGAGTAAGAACGAGTATCAACGTCATATGGGGCCAACATACCTTATTTGTTCCTGGCTATGGACATTGAGGTCAATCCGATCATCATGATTATAAATCTTATCATCGTCTGACCCGCCTTGACTTTCTTCATCCACGCTCCGAGCTCGCACAATTCCCTCAAGCTTGAAGTCTGGTATGTCCACCAGAAGACAGCTTCCGCTCCGTGGGAGATTCCGGGCGCCATACAACTCGGTCTCCTCCGTCGTCGATAGGGTACTTTTCCCCGTTCTAGAGGTAACCATACTCCGGTACGTGTTGAGTTCCATGTTGTTCGAATTTTCGTTGCTATGGTCCTGGTTGACCTTGTTGTCGTAGCCAAGGGTAGATGCTTTTTCCTTGATGAAAACTCGCAAGACTGGGATAGATGATCCAATGATTGCCGTGGCTGTTTCCACCGCCGTCCAGATAGTTACGTCTTTCCCGTTGACTTGGGTGACAAATGTTAGCCAAATGCCAGAATGAAGTTCAACGGACACCGGTCAACTCACAAAAGAAATCGCCTTGCTCTAGTTGGACGAGATATATGCCCTTGATAATGGCGCATACGCCTGCCCTGTGGTGATAAGTCAGCATGAGGTAAGATAGCACAGCGCAGCTTGATAACCTAGACATACAACCAGCCTAGGCTCATCGCAAAGCAAACGCCTAGCTTTTCATGTTTCCTCAATCGCATCCCCCAGATGAGCTTCCATGGGATTATCGCCAATACAAAGTCCATGAAAGCGCACCAGGCCGCATTGAAGATGCCATAGTTGAGCGTCACAGATTCATCCCAGCAGGTCCCTGGCATCTGTCTGTTGAAGTTCTTCTGCACCGGGGTGCACTTCAGCCATGTCAAGGTCGCGCTGGGAAGCATAACCACCGTCAAGGTCACGACGGCGAACCAAACAAATATCCTGAACCAGCCCGTCGTGAGCCGAAGGAGGGTTACACCAAACCCAACTTTGCTACCAGTCGAAGCAAAGCACGATATTGATGCGCCTACTGAAGTATACATGGCGATCGTCAGGAGATTGGTCTGGGGAGTGATGTCGTAATAGTGACGGCCGAAACCCAAGTTGACGCCCATTTGAGTGATGATCGATTCGATAAAGAGACAAGTCTATAAGTCGCCGTCAGTTAATTTCTCAGACAGATGGATACCTCGCTGAAGATCCCTTATACGTACCCACGAGAAAAGAAAGATATAGTCATCCCACCACAGCTTCTGTCCCCTACTTAACTTTGCGTAGACTCGTAACGCCAGGAAAGCGCCACAGAAAAAGCAGAGGAACCATGTGATACCCGCTATCAGAGGACCGTTGCTCTCGATGGGAGCCATCATAGCCGCATTTGGATGAGGAGTATCACGGCCTCAAACTCGAGCAAGTCGAGTTGGAAGCTGGCGGTCGTGGGGTATGGTGAGAATTCTGCCCAGGAGAGACCAAGGCCCAGAACCGAATTGCTGGAACCTTTTATTGGTTGGTCGGCGGAAGTGCCGCTGTAAAGGGATAGTCAGACATTGATCGTCACTAGTTCAGCTTTTGATGATTTAGGGATGGGGAAGTCGGGGTGAGATTGGATAGGTCTCAGTGAGGTGTGTAATGCTAGCGTGGATGCGATGTAACGTACACATACCTAGATCGTTCACTCCGATGCAAAGTCTTTGGAATACTTCAACGTATATGACTCGAGCCATGACGTGGTGGGGGAGGTTGGTGAGCGTTCGCGGGTGCGTTCGCTCTAAATATCGAAACAAATTGGGCAGACAGAGTATTTCTTCTGTCTAGTGCGGTATGCAAAAGCCGGAGGCGCGCCTTGCCCCTAGCCGACACGGGCAAACCTCCTTGTTTAAAGTTCTTCTTGAGGCGCACGGTGGCGGGTTATGAACATATCCTCCTCGAGCTGAGGCGGAAGTCATTGCTTTTCCGTCTTCTGGAGGATACCTTCATCGTGGCGAACGGGGAGACCGTTGTCGGGGTAGTCCACTTAGGGAGGCACATATCAGACGACCCTCGGGCGGTCCTCGGTGACAGTGCTGAAATGGGTCGATCCAAACATTGTTCCAGACTACAAGGCAAGGTTGGAGGACTCGGGGGATGAGCCGATGGCGGGAACACTATCAATTTTGCCTGGAGCTTAAATCAAAGTTGGAATGTGAGAGGCTTATGTCGTTGAGTAGCGAGACCGATGCAGTCAGGCAAAGCTCCAGCTTGGTAGGGGCTTCTGATGATCCAGGATGGGCCAGTGAGAAGTGAGTCAGTTTACGAGAGCAAATCACACAACAGCTCTTGGTCCATGAAACGCAGAAGTACTCCAAACGTTGCATGTGGCGTCGGGCTTGATTTCGCTATTACTTGCGTCGACGTATGCCCCAATTCCCCCTCTCACCCCTCTTGCCAAGATCATCTTAGCCAGGAATGCATCTGTATCGGCCTCGATTGTTACCGTTGACCGAAGCTCGAGTTGATCGCAACATCGACAAAAAGTTCGGTATAAGTCAAACTTTTTAGCGAACTGCGTCTCCAACACTGGTGAGATTGGGCTGAATACACCAGCCACTCATCTACTTCCATGAGAATTCGAGAGGCATTCTATCTTGCTGCGAAGAGGAAACCCAAATAGTGCTCAGACACAGATCTGCGTCAGCTAATGCGACATCTGTGCAGAGCATCAGATGCTGTCTCGAATGAGAGCATTCACCTCTTCGGTACGGAAAGATGCTCTCTTGGCAACATCTCAAACCGCTTCAAGCTCGGCGTTGACGTCGAAGTTTAAAAGGACGATGCAGCCTTACAAACTTGCTACCTACAACACGGTATCCTTATGTGATGGCTTACGCGACCAGGCGGGGGATTGGCGTCGGACCCCGTCTAGACCCTGTCGAATCTGGACTTTGAGGTAAACAAGATGGCCAAGACGGGCATAATATCTGCTTGTGGATTTTCCGCCACAACCTTATTGACGATAAGGTAGATGAATCAGAGTAGTAGAGTCAGATATGTTGGATGAGTGGTGGAGACGGCGGCTATTGAACTGACAAGTCTGGCATGAAGGCATATGCATTCTCTGAAAATTGAGGCTTCACCAAATTTCGTCTAGTATCTCCGGCATCTGTCTGTTGAAACTTGGAGGGGATCATCGAACTATTTCCTAGTCATGGCACATGGTATTGGGATGTATTTTTCACGATGTCCACAACCATCCAACCCTGTGTTCTGGTATTTCGTGTCTCACTGGCCTTTCAGAAGCGCTGTCAACACTGAAGTAGCGGTGCGTCGAGAGGATGGGTGAGTTGCGCAAGTCATGAAAGAAACAATATCCCAAATAGTAGAGCCCCTCAAGAAGCCAACCTCTGAGGCATCTTACACATGCTCGTGATTTTCCATAGTAAGAGGAAGTCAGTGGTTGAGCGGGGCTTCGGAAGACGGTACGGTCCGTTCTACGGAACCAAGGCCCGTGAGTTGAGCCACTTTTCCAGGGCTATTTGGATGTGGATAAGAAAAATGTAAAGCTGCCCAGGTTGTGTCCAACTTCAGGGTAATAAGAACGTGGGTTTAGGAGCCGTAAACCACTTGTGGTCATGTGCAACCCAGTTAGCTCAACGTAAGTGAGTGTGAACTGAAGGTATATATATTCTAGTTCATGTTTGGACAATTCATCATTCAAAGTTTTGCTTTTCTGGTATAACCTCAATCTCCATTCACGGTTTGAGACCTTGAGGTCGACGATGACTAAACAGAAACGGAAGCGCTTTGCGGCAAGTGGAGGGCTTCGGAGCATGGCTCCGAGCCCGCAACAGTGGCGCTCGCGGCCGGACTCGAAAGTTTGACCGTGGTTTTGCTGTATTCTCAAATCGGAGTAGCCTACCCGTCGCTCTGGCCTGGATTTGTGAGCTATCCTGAGTGTGTTTGACGGTTGAACTAGTGAGACGGACGGAAAACTTCTAGCGCTGCCGTCGCAGCTAACGCAGGTGATGGCACCTCCTAGTAGCCTCCAGTGACGTGGTCAGACGCGTGGAAAACTTTGCGCCAGTCAAGCCTATCAGTCCAACAGTCTTGACATAGGATGACAGATGGGAGGTTCGACTGCAGAGTCGCTGTCTGTAGCACTTCATCAGTAGTTCAGCTGGATCCTGGGGGCCTGTATATGCCATCGCCATGTGGTGATGGCATAGGACACCAGCTTGGGCAAGTCACCTTTGCGGTCGTAGCCGATTATTTAGTTGCTCCCATCATGCGCTTTCCAATAGTATGCGATGTTAGCGGGCCTTGAGTATGACAACTTCTTGCTGGACGGTGAAGCTGAGAAAGAACCCGACTGATTAAATGTCAAGTCAAGCTCATGGCACCTTGTCAAGACCACCGGAAAGTCCTTCTCCATCTGATTCCTTGCGCAGTGTCGCGCAGTCAAGACAAGAGATCCTGCAGGCCTCTCAGCTTCCCCAATTGACGCTGTCGAATGTGGTAGATCTCGGATAGCCGCCCCTGGAAGTGCTTGTAGGATTTTACACTAGCCATGCGCCCTACGAGGGAAGCGTCCTCCGATTCGCAGCCGACTTGGGCGCAGTAGGGGTCAACATGCACATGTGTTTCAAGTCAGACCCTGATTGGAATGTTCGGCTTGCCACATGTAAACTCTTGTTTCCTTCCAACCCCCCTCTTGGTCTAGAACCTGCCTGACCACCGCCTACCGACATGGTGGAAGGCAGGATAAATGTATCGTGATCTCAAGGTAAGCGGGCGGAGTTCCCCCGTATTAACCCAGCTGAGCATTTCGCTTGATTCCGTCGCTGTCAGTACCGAACAGTTCAGTTGAGCGACTGAAGATGGGCGGACGGACCAACACCAGCCGCCCTGCTTTTCAGTCTGTCCATCCGCACCTAGCCAGCGTGCCAGTCTCTCTTAGCAGTGCAATTCCCTCTCAGCGTTGCGTGCCGTCACGGCTACGACATTGCTGAACCGTGCTCGACAAGGGAAACCGGGAGGCCCCTCCAAACGACCTAAATTGGGAATTCAATCCTGGCGCCGAGTGATAAGACGGTCCAATAAGAGAGTGGCCCCTAACAGCCAGGCCACATTTCGATAGCCGGTCTCACTTCTTCTGGCGCAGGCTGTGTCCTTGAAGATGCGCAGTTCCGTGACAGCCGTTGCGACTCATGTTAAAAGCTAGTTCTTTGGGCCGAACACGTGCCCCATCTCCTTCACACACTCATAAGGCGAGACAGCTGTTAGGAGACAGGTATCTGTAGCCTCGGATGGTTTTCTAGTGTGTGTGGTTGTCAACTCGAAGTTTACTCCGCAAGACTGGCCTTTGTTGAGGAGAAGATGTTACAGGACGCGCGGCGCGCCAACTTTGGCCTTTTGGAGACTTGGTGTCTTGTGCGGAGATTCTTTACTCTTTCACGACGAAATCGACCTTCATGCTGCCGCAACTTCGCAAGTCTGGCGCTGTGCCGTACCTGATGTACTGCGGTCGAATCTCCTCTTTTGTGATCACCTAACTGATCGGGCAAAGCTGCAATCAAGCACTGCCGGGCGCCCACATCGGAAGGTTTAACAAACGGATACTTCCAAATGTTCCCAAAGCTCATCGGTCCACTTGGCGTTCAGTCCAACACCCAGATTGACGGGGATCATACAAACAGGCGACAGCCGTGCTAATTAATTCGCTGCCAGAATTGTAACTGCAATGTTAAGGGGATGCCTTTGCCTGGGTCTGGGTTGCCTCAGATCCTTAAAATACTTTTGATTAGCACCAAATTAAGCTTCGAGTGTCGAGCTCAAGGCCAGACAAAACCATTGTACCTCCCATACCAACGGCTTTCGCGTTCATCCATGATACTATTCACAATCACGACATCGAAGTCACCCGCGCTGACTGACGAACACCCCCCTTTTTTTCGAGAGCCGTCCACATCCGTACTCGCTCCACGCAACCGAAGCTGAACGCTGACGATCTCGTACCGGGGCGTCCACAGCGTGGTCAGATTGGGGAATTCAAACTCGATTTCGATTCTCATCCCCTGTAAAGTCCCCGGTTTTAACCTGGCCCCCAGCAGATTCCGTGCGAACCGCCCTGCTATTGTCTGGAGGCCGAGGGGACCTTTTTTGCGACGCTGATCGCCCCCGCCACGACTCGTATTTTCGCAGCGAGGAAAAAAGGGCCAAGCGTTCTGTCCTCTTCTTTTCGACTCGCGGTGGTTGCGAAATCATGATTTCTCGTCAAAACTGGTGAAAAACACAACGGAAAGCGATCGAGACGAACTCGCGCCACCGCCTTACACTCCTTTCTCCTTTCTTCTCTCGCCATGGCCGTGAACCGGTCCATCTTCCGCCGAATGCTGGCGGTAGCCGGATCCGGTGGCGCCGGGCTGGTCCCGTGTCTCGCCGCGCTTGGGCTGGTGCTCCTACAGGTCGGCGCGGCGGTCAATCTCTGGAATTCCCGCGAGCGAGGGCAGTTCAACTTTTCGCCGTCTTCGAGTTTAACGATATCCGAATTTTTGAGGTTCTTGATTGCGACTTTGCTACTGAAGCGCGAGATTCGCCGACGAAATACCAGCACCGAGTACTCTTCGCTGGGCAACGGGTCGGAGGACTTGGATCTTGGCGTTGATGAGGACGGACGATCGTCTGGCGAGTACGCTGCGGAGAAGCTATCACGACAAGCTCCTCGCATTGGAGGCGCGAGGGCATTCTGGCGTTATGTCTGGGGAGACACGGACTTGAGGTTCGGACTGATGAGGATTGCTTTACTGCAAATGCTCAGCAACAACTTGGTATGGGAGGTCAAAGCGCTTGGCACTTGGCGCTGGCGCAACATTGGATGAGGCAAAAGCTAACATTTTTCCCAAGTTGTTTCTCAACTATTTGGTCAGCGATCCAGGCACCGTCTCCATCACGAGGAGCGGTATCATGGTCGCAGCAGCTCTGGTCACGACGCCCGCTCTTGGACTGAAGGGCCCCAAGACCCGATGGATGGCTTTCTTGATCCAGGTAGGTCATTCGCATAGCTTCTGGTATTCCAGTTCAGCTGCTAAACAGGAGTAGACGTCGGGTCTGGTACTGTCCCAGTTCTACCCACAACATCGCACGAGGGCATCGACATACCAGCTTCCCCTCTACGTCAGCATTGTCGGCCAGGCCAGCTTCAGTGCCTTATCCGACATTCACAGCGAGAAGCTTTTGAAAGCTACCGACTTGAGCTCGAACGGCGCAAACATTGTTTTGGGAGCTTTCGGTGCGATACTCAACCTGCTCGTGCATGCGCTTGTACGACTATACAGCTCCTTCGAACCCACTTTCTTCGGCGGTTACGACAGCAAGGGCTTGTCGGTGGTGTTCATGACCACACTTGTGGCTCTGATTACCACGGTTGCACAGAAGAGTATGTTCTGGACACGGTCCCACTTTGGGGTTCTCGAAGAAGATTGCTGACGTTACACAGGGGGCGACTCGTGGGTGAGATGGTTCATCAACGACACCACTAGTGTCGTGTTGATGCTCGTGTCCGCGCACTTCTTCTTGTCCCGATACAGCATGTTCCTCATACCCGGCACAGTGCTCATCTTCGTCGCTTCGCTGGCATACATGAAATATGCTCCGTTAAAAGAGTACATCAGTTCCGTGGATGACGCGCCGAACTCTTTCGCGCCGCCTCCATCCTACAAGGTCGGTCATCTTGATACTTGAGTACTCTGATGAGGGCAACCTAACACTCTCACAGAAAGCAAAGTTTGGCCTTCTCACCCTTGCCAGCTTCCTAGGCGCAGGCATCATTCCCTACGCGACACTTTCTGAACTCCCGCATACCCCCGAGTACCGACTTGTCATGAGAGACGACACCGACGGACACTGCTCAACACCCCCGGCCGAAATCATCACGCCCTTCACGGATAAGCAAGAACCGTACAAGATCTCAACGGGCCCTGGCAATCTTACTGTCTCACCCTTTAGCAACACGCTCGCCATGATTCGCTGGAATGCGAAGCGCATGGAGCGCGTGCCTCTGCTCATGAAATACAAGCCCTTCTACCACACTGTTCATATCTCCATGCCGGAGATGATCGAGGACAAGCCCGCGGACTGGCACAATCTCACTCACTCGCAATACCCGCACCACGAGACGATCTACATGCAGGTGGCCAGGACGATGAAGCTCATCCTCGATGAGCAACCCGATATCGAAGGCTTGATGTACTTCCACTTCGACTCCTGGATCGACCCGATGGCCTGGGTCGACGAGAACCGCGAATCCATCTGGTTCCCGACATCTCATAACACGCGGCAGTTCGAGGGCGACGGACCGCGGTACATGTGTATGACAGACTGGCAGAAGTTTCCGCAATGGTGGGGATGGTACCACAAGTGGAACGAGAAGGCCGTCACCGTCAACGGCGAGATTATCCGGATGAACCGCGGCTACACGATCGAGGAAAAGGAGTTTTGCGTAGGCTGGTCGGACATTTTCTACATTCCTCGACGCTTCTTTGCCGACTTTATTTTCCTGTCATCCGTCTACGGTTGCGCGGATCTGTTCCACGAGGTCGCAATTCCCACGATGCTCAACATTATTGACCGGAGCCGGAGGAGTGAGAAGGCCAAGTTCCAGTCGGTCATTGACCGAATCGGAGACTGCTGGGGAGGATGCTGCGATGATTCAGCCACGGCCCATGACGTTAAGTGGACGAGGTGTGGTCACAGGTTGAATTACCTGAACCAGGAGGTGATTGATGCGCATTACAGCCGGTTGGACGAGCAAACTGCATGGCTTGGCCAGTCTGAGAGACAAAAGTCTGGAGGTGAAAGGCGTTGATGGTTTGTTTTGTGGAACATAAGTCTATCGGAGCATTAGAGTGGACATAGCGTGTATTTGCTTCTGGCACCTGTAACATTATTTGAGGCGCAAAAAGTATCTAGTACTGAACTGGACATAACACAACTTGAAGAATCAAAACACGACGATTGTCTGATGAGTTTATTGAGGGTAATATCTATTCATGTGTATAAGACAATTAGCAACTTAAGTATATTTCGTTGTTGAAGTTTTTGTTCAAGTTTTGAACTAGACTATTAGTGTTGAGGCTGGCCGGAAGAAAGGTGCCGAGGGTGATCATCTTGAGGTGTTGTGTATCTTGGCTGCGGCACGGTTTGTAGTACACCATGGATAGTGTTTGTTCAATGTCGCTCGGCATGTGCATGGCAAGCAATCCCCAGCGTCAATCTGTTACTGACATAGACAAAAGGAATATGCTAGGATCTCTTCCTGGTGGAACAAATGCAGATACTATCATACCATCACACCATTAACCGTTCAAAATGGGTAAGTGTCTGGACACGCCCGGACCAAGGATTCAAAATGGTAAGTGCCTTAATTGAGCCAAGTCAATATCACTCACTGAAATGATTTCAAGCTGCCAAAAGGTATCTCTTTACCTGTTCCAACTTGGCAATGTGCTCCTCACGCACTGGCTGAGTTAGTCACGACTTTCAGTCTATGCTGGTAATTGATTGCAAGGCGTTCCTGATGTTACACAAGTGATCTACATGTGAACAGAGCACCGCAGCTGGGCCAGCATGATCATCATTGCATACGGGCCTTAATGAGAGTGTATTGATCAAATTTCTGGCAGGGGACTCGTCCAAGGAAAGAACAAAAGCAGCTGGACTTGGTGATGATTGTTTGCTCCTTCCATCGTTACTCAGTCAACCAAACTTCACAGGCAGCAAGGGCGGTCAGTCAGGAATACTCGACAGATTTCTGTACTCGAGAGCCTTCACGGAATTCTCATTGAGTATTTATATATTGACTCAGTAGCTTGAGACCTCCCCATCTTTCTTCGACATCTCACCTCCCCCGTCACCGCCATCGCCTGTTGACAAACTCTCCTTCCACAACTCACATTATCAACCACGACCAAGGGACAGACATCACGGCCTCCAAAATGAGATTTCGAGGCAAGTTAGTTCAAATGCAGTCAAATATCCATCATGAAAAAAACCTGACAGTAAAACCACAGTTGTCCTGACTGGTGCTGCCGCCCTTGCCAGTGGCGTCGCTGCCGGCCCTAGCTTTAACCCCCACAAGATCCGTCAGGGCCTCAACAAGAGGGATGGAGTCGACATCGTCAACACCGAGGCCAAGGATACTGTCCTCCAAACTCGCGAATGCGACATCGTCTGCCCCCTTAGCAAGCTCTGGTGCGAGTATCACCCTTACAACTACCGCTGCGACAGCTCCGGCAAGCTACGCTACGATCAGCGCCACACCGACTGTGAGAATGCCTCCTGGGGCTGTACCTGCGGCTGCGACTGGCGCGTTCCTGGCATTGAGTCCGTGGAGGAGACGAAGAAGGCTTAGGAGTATCATGAATGGAAGCCACAGAGATGATGATTATTGGGAAGCATGACAGATGCGGTATCTTGGGTGTGCATCACCAGGACCAGTCAAATTCGGGAATGAGATTCACAAAAAAGATCAAGTCGCAAATTGACAACATTCACGCTATGCCATGTATAATGATGAAGATTGCCCAGACAAGGGGATCAATTTCTGCCCTACAGGCTTGGATATAGCCTGTACATACAATGCGCTTCTTTGATGGTGAATGAGGACAGTCCATTGAGGTGATATTCTCATGTACTCAGCGACATATGCTCCCCAAACAATTTGGAGAAGGTCTTTGTATTGCTGGCCTTGGCTCAGCATGTTGGCCTTTCTCTCATACTTCATCCAGCTGATCCTGCCCGGTGCTTACAACTCTCAGTTTTTGGAAATCGAGGTTACGACATCTTTTGCTGCACACACATGCTCTTCTGCTGAACACCTGTACCTACGCTGCGAAAAGAGGTAAGACATATAAGACAGCCAGCCACAGACACCACAGCTTCGCTACAATATCGTCAGACTTCTCGTTCCGCCTCATCATCGTCAATGCAGCCATCAAGGCTCCCACTCCCAAAGGAGCCGCCCAGGCCGCCGGTCGAAGGTTCCAGAACAGCGGACACGCAGTGGACCACAGCAAGACCATCACGGCCAGTCCGCCGCGAGCAATTCCTTCGCCGTATAGCAGCGGGATGGTCTTGCGACCCCTAGCTTGATCTCCCTCCATATCTGGGAAATCCAGCGCTTGGACTGTAGTGGCGATGACGGCTCCGGTCACCCCGATCCAAGCCCACGCCTTCGGAAGGAGATCCCCGCCAGAGATGACCTCCAAAGCCCCAGCACTGAAACACATGATACCGCCCGTATTGATCGCGTTGCGCGCCCAGATGTTGATACTGCTTCCGTCGAGGTCGTTATACATCCATAGAAGGGTCATCATCGATATCGTTGGTTTGAACCCCCCCACAAACGCGCTCGCTGTGACCACGAGAGGTATCATGCCGAGAAGAAGTCGTTGGGCTTGTGCGGGCGTCAACCGCTTCGCAGCCAGTGGCCGCCAGGGTTTGTTATGCTCGTCTTCGACGATGGAGTCCGCGAGTCGCTGGTTTGAGATACCGCACACGATCAAGTTGAGCCATATCCACAGGATTGCCAGGGGTAGTCTCTGAAGATTTGAGTATTTCGTTTGATCGAATGCTGTCGTGAGTGATTCACGACTGAACACTGCTGCTGTGATGAAAATAATTTGAGGGGCTAGTACGGTCTTGATGTCGCTCCTAGTAAACAAATAGAGAGTCTTGAGATGAAAGGATGCGGTATGTGCCTGAAAAGGATCAATACAATGCTTACGGGAGCGTTGCGCAACGTCCAAGCGGAGATGTTTCCTTACCAAAGTCCAGCGCTTAAGTACAGATCTGTAAAGTTCCGGTGCGGGAGCGCCCGAAGGCTTCTCAGCCAAGATATTGTTTCCAACAACTGTCATGATGTCGTTCGTATGACAGCACTTTCCTGCCAAACCAAAATGTCGCTGAGAATCTGGACTGTGAATGCTCATGATGCTGGCTGGAAGGTGGAAATCAACCTGCTATTTCAATCAGTCGCCTGACTACCAAGCGACGTGGGGAAGTCCGCGCCGAAGATGGCAGTTTGCTTGGCCGGAAAGTCCAAGGATTGTGGATGTGACGACATCGTCTGATGTTGCCGTGTCTGCGCGCCTCGCAACATTGGGAACTGTATCCTGGCAAGAGACGATTGGAGGATTTCCGTGAGGCAGGCCGGTTTACCCGAAGCTACGGGACGAATTCCCAAAGGAGAGTCCAGTCGGGGACATTTGCTGAGGATAAATCTTTTAACTAAGTCTAATCCCGGTATAAGATTTCGGGAAGCTGAACTCTAGCTGCCTCGTAGCTAGGCGTGAGGGTCGAACTAGCAAACGCAGCTTGTCTCGGGCTGGCCGCACCGCCGCAGCAATTCCCTCTTGAGTTGAATTGGGCCGTGTTACATATTTCGAACACGTTCCTAACCTAAATTGTGGAGAGCTGAAAAGTCCGCGGCCTCTCATCAGATAACGAGCACCTTGCGGTGATAAGCTTCAGCTTTCAAGTTCGACGCCACAGTCTCGTTTGGTCTAGCCCTGCGCCCCACAACATATCAGCATGTTCACCGCTTAGAGTACTAAACAGTCAAGACCTACATCAACTTAGAGTACTTGATGAGATTGAGAATACGAAACTGATGGAATCGAATCCGGGCTCACCGTCGATGTTTGAAATTCGATATCTCGGATAGATACAAGGCATTCGATCACACTCCATTAGCAAGGAAGGCGACAGTATTAAGTTCCAATGGTTTGGCATGATCAAAGCCATACAAGTGTACTATTAATACAAATCCTGTAAGTTAGGAAGGCTGTTTTTCGCAATTTATCGGACATGACGTGTTGTGCAATTAAAGCCTATTGATCGGCAAGACTGCTCATAATACCAAGTAAAGCAGCAACGACTAAAAATGGTTAGCGTGCTCTGTTTGAAACTCGTTCAATCCGGAACATAAGATACTTACAACCTTCTGCTGTCACAATGTAGGATGCGATAGACCAAGCAGTCTGGATGGTGGTTCGGTCCGTCCAGTCCTTTGAGTTGAACCACAGTCCGATGACGAGGCTTAGCACTACTGGTGTGAGAATCACGACGGCAAACCTAGTGACGGACCAGTCCAGCACAAGTTCAAGTAAGTTCTTTCCGTTGAGTACGTCATGTGAGTCGCTGTTAAGTTCCTGGTGCTACCAGTCTCCCCAAGCAAGTGCGATGTGCTCTGGGACTCGCCCTCGCTTGTACGTATGCAGGAGCAATTGCAGGTCTGCAGCACCGTTGTTGTCAAGGTCGACTCGTTCATGAGTCCCTTCTTTCGCATTGCACTACAGACAAGATTAGCGACCATCACAGCATAGATGCCGTCTGTTAGGAACTGAGGAAGGGCTTGAATGTGTTCAGCGCAGAATAATAGTGAATGGCTGAGTTGCAAGGAAAACGAGGCTTTAGTCCATCAAGATGGAGCATATACAGACAGAACTTCGCACAAGGCGTCAATTTTGTTGGCCAAGATGGTATAGTCAACGTTGAGATCAAGTCTTTTCTATTGTGCACAGCCTGTTACACCGTCCAACTTGCGTTGATGCATTCCAAAGTCCTCAAATCTTGACTATGCGGATGGGATGCTCACTTTCGGCATTCAGAGTCGCTTGAACGTGAAAAAGGTTTATTTTACTGTTATCCAGACATTACTAATATTATCCAGAGTCATAATTCGTCCATCGTATCATTCCTCCACTGAAATATCTACCAATTAACCAAAGACTTACGCCTGCACAGGGGTAATCTGGGCGGTAGCCTTCAAGTCTCTGCTGCTCCATCCGAGGCTGAGGGTGAACTCGCCCTCGGGGATGAGCCACTGCTGAGAGACAACGTCCCAGTAGCTGAGATCGCGACGCATCAGCTCGAAACCGACCTTCTTGGTCTCGCCGGCGGCAAGGGGAACCTTCTCGAAACCGCGAAGCTGCTTGGGGGGAGTGCCCGCCGGCGTGGAGTCTGGGAAGGTGACGTAGAGCTGGGGAACGGCGGCACCCTCCACATCGCCAGAGTTGGTGATGGAAACGGTAGCGTTGTAGATGGTCTCCCAGAGGGCGGGGTTTCCACCGGGCTCGACGGGGCGCTGCTCAGGGGCGGAGGTGATATCCTGCTCGACGGGGCTAGCCTCAAAGTCGGCGACCTCGAAGGTGGTGTAGCTGAGACCGAAGCCGAACTCGTAGCGGACAGAGATGTTGTGGGCATCGAAGTAGCGGTAGTCGATCTCGAGCTTCTCATCGAACCAACTCTGCCAGTCGTACCAGCCGGTGGTGTTGATGCCGGTGGTGGGAGGAGCGTTGTAGTCGGTGCCGTTCAGGGCAATGGTGTAGGGAAGTCTGGCAGAGGGGTTGACATCGCCGTAGAGGACGTCGACGAGGGAGTTACCGGACTCCTGGCCAGGGAAGTGGGCGGCGAGGATGGCCGTGACATTGGGGTGGTCGGCCCAGGGAAGGTCGTTGATGCCGGAAGAGTGGGTGATGACAATGGTGTTGTTGCAGTCCTTGGCGACGCTCTCGACGACGTCGTTGCCGTCCCAGTCGACGCTCAAGTGCTGGCGGTCAGCGGCCTCCTCAGCCCAGGTCTTGAGGAAGACGAGACAGACCTCGGGGGCCTTGGGAACCCAGAGATCGGTGACGTTGGAGTTGATGATGAGGGTGTTGTTCAGCCACTGCTGGACGAGGGCACCGTCCTTGGAAGCGCGAGCCTTGATGGCTTCGAGGGGGGTGACGAGGTAAGTCAGACGACCGGTGCCGGATCCACCACCAGCGACGAGAGTGCCGTACTCGAAGTCAGCCTGGTTGTAGAATCCCTGAGTGTCTTCGCCAGCATCGTTGCCAAAGACAGCGATGGACTTGGGAGCCTTGAGGGGAAGAGCCTTGTTCTCATTCTTGAGAAGGACGGCGGCGGCGGCGCCGTGCTTGCGGATCAGCTCACCGTGGTTCTCACGAACATCACGGCTGCGCTCGCCAGTCAGGTTGAACTCACGAACCCAGGTGGATCTGGGGGAGAAGGTGTTGAGGTCGCCAGTGGAGGGGTCGACGGTAGGGTATTCCTTGTCCTGGTTGAGCCAGTAGTAGGGAGTCATAATGCGAACGATCATGTCATCAACGCGGGCGACGTTGAGGGTACCGTTGTTAACAGCAGTAGTGACGTTGCCGCCGAAGAAAGATCCAGACTTCCAGTCCATGCCGTACTTGCCGATACCGCCAGGCATATCCATATCAAGACCGGCCTCGATGGCGGCAACACCAGTGTGGGTGGCACCCCAGTCGGACATAACGTAACCATCAAATCCGAGCTCAGTCTTCAGAAGACCGTTCAGAGACTTGGAGTTCTGGCAACCGTAGGAACCGTTGATGCGCTGGTAAGAGCACATGAAGGAAGAAGCCTTGGCCTTGACAGCGTTGGCAAAAGGCCAGATGTAGAGCTCGTGGGCGGTTCTGTCATCGACGTTGGAGGAGAGGGCCTGTTCCTCAATGTCTGTGGCAGTACCATTGGGGTCGAAAGTCGGGTTGCGCATGGTCTCCTGCTCGTTGAGAATCCAGTGCTTAGCAGTAGCCTGGACACCAGCATCCTGGTGGCCGGTGATAGTCTCCTCCATGGCGACACCAGTCAGGTAAGGGTCGGGACTGAAGCCCTCCCAGTTTCTGCCGGAGTAGGCACTGCGGCCGAGGGGGCCAGCGACGGGGCTTTGAGTGGTCAGTAGGTGTTGGACCTAATGAGTGTACGGAGATGGACAAACCTGAGAGCAATGTGGGCACCCTTCGCCTTGAACTCCTTGCCCATGGCAAGGCCTCTCTCGTAGAGAATATCTCTATCCCAGGTGGCCGCAGCAGAGACACCGGCGGAGAAGACACTGGCGTAGTCGGCAACACGGATTGACAGGGGGCCATCCTGGAGGCAGAGACCCTGGAAACCAAGACGAGGGATTGCGACAATGTTTCCGACGCAAGGACCGGGTTGTCCAGTGACCATATCGGCCTTCTCCTCAATAGTCAGTTGAGAGACGAACTCCCTTGCCTTGGCGAGGGCATCCTCCCAACCGGTACCAGTGATGTTGGCTTCATAGTTGAGTTAGATATTTTGATCATAAAGTCACAGATGTGATCCGAGAAACTTACGGGAAGGGTAGACTGGCTCAGAGTCCCCGTAAGGACCGAGGATGGTGGTGTTCACCGGCTGAATCCAGCTGAAGGCATCTTCAGATCGGTCACCAGAGTCATACGCCTGAGCGTTGACTGAGGGTGCCAACAGAAGGCCGGATAGGAAGAGAGACAGAGCTGCGGACATTTTGAGATCCTTGAGCTGTTGACTGGCGGCTTGTGCTGAAGATCTCAAATTTCCATCGATTGGGGGTTACATGCCGTCCTTTATATGTTACCTGTTCATCGTCGGCAGCAACGTCAGTCCACCATATCCTCGTCGCCTTCGCACTCTGCTCGCCGGTGACCTGGATAGGCCCCTCCTCTTCCCCGTAACCTCCGCGCGGGCAACGACAAAGTCGGGGAAAACCTGATCATGATCGCGTTCCCATTGGTAATGCACATCGTCATGGTCCGGAAGTCGGCCCCGCACCGGTTGACACCCGCAAGATGCTCACCAAGACGCGAAGTGGTGGGATATTGGGCAGGGTAATCAGCCGTAGATTTTCCAGCGACGCACACGATGACTACACTAGGCTTAGTTTCTAGATGGTTGCCAAACCGACGGCAAGGTCCGGAAAAAGGCTTTGCTATACACGTGGGGAGGCCGAATCTTGCCGAGTCCCCAGTCTGATTAGGGGTGGCCACACATCGTCATATGGGTTGTGGGGTGTAATTCTCTTAACGGCGGGTATGACTAGTCATAGAATCGCTGGAACAGCTGTTAAGCGGGAAGATCGAGTCATTGGGCCTCTAGAACCATCGACTCTTTCAACAGGTCTCAGCACCCTTCACCGCCCGGCTTCCAGAACTACCAGCGATAAGTCCGCATCAAGCCGACTGCTGGCTACCGACATGGAGTCGCTTTACCAACGACGGGCAAAGTCTTCAGAGTAGAATGGAGTAATAATCACACATGGCGCGCCTGACTGTCGGTGTTTCCGCCGTAGCATTCAAAGTTAACTTCCGGAGAACTGCCGCTGTGGGCGGGACAAGGAACACGAGCCAATATGTGGGGGATGCGGATCGGGTGACAGCTGGAAAACCTGGAGACTCCAAGCTTTTGTTTTCCTGAGCAAACCCCCGGTCCGAACACTCATTCACCTCACCCAAAGCTTGCTCCGTACCGGCTTTTCAAAAAGCAGAAGAACCGCCCCGGCTTCATCCCAGCCACCCCCGCCCCCGCCGTTAAGGTGAGTGGACCACTGGGACACACGACTTTGTGTGGAGGTCCGACATTGCGCCGACACTAGAGGACTCTAGACGCAGGTTTTTTCTTTGAAATTTCTTCGTGATGGCGGTTGGAGTAGCTCTTTAGGGGAATCTCTTCATGAACACTCAGAAATTGAGGGGACTCTGGGGGCCAAGGCCGTGGAACTGGTCGTCCCAAATCGGAGAGAAACAGTACTCTGTCCCAGTATCCCCGGTTTCCCCGCACATCTAATCGGCCCTGTTCTTCGCCTTCGGGTCATGATTTACGCTGAAAACCGAGCCTCGTGCTCTGTGGAACATGTCAAAGAGAAAATCGAGGAGCCTGCCGCCGGTAAAACAACGGCTATTCAGCAGTGCCGACCTGTTGATCGGCCGATTAGCGCGGGGTCCGGTCTGAACGCCAAGAGTCCGTCTTGATCCATGGTAGAAAAGCCGTTCACGATGCCGACAATAGTAAAATATTTGCGTGCCCGACTCCATTCTCCCAATATTCCAGTGCCCCGGTGCGAGAGGTCTCGTGAGCAGCGCCTACGTCATGATAATTCCACGCCCGGGCAGAATGCCGGCATTCGATGCTAGTAGACTGCTGGATACAGCAATTTGTGGGATATCCAGGCCCCATCAAATCACCGTGCCACTCCTCCCAAGCAGACCACACCCATGGGGAAACAGTTGAGTTTTGTGGAGTTAACCATGCAAGTTTTGGAGAACTAGACCTCTACCGCCTCTCAGGGTTTGTCAGCCCTCAGCTGGAGCCTGGGTTGCCATGCGGGTACCTTGACTGATGTTTGCCTGTCACGCAGCTTCCCACTCCTCCAGGTTCGTGAGGCTCCTTCGGAATCCGATGCTGTTCCCATGATGGATATTGTGGAGTTTTGGGGTTCTTGTATCCATACTGGGGTCGGAGCGCGAAGTGCTCAAGCGTCGATCTATTCGGCCCTTTTCATCACGCATTGGAAATTGGACGCGCACCTTTTAACCATAACCTCATGTTCCGGTGTCAAGGTCATGTCATACCATAGCACAGATTCAATCATACAATGGGGATTTCCGGATATAGACTTATTGAGGTTTTTTGATGTTCATTTCATAGCCGAGGTCGACCTCGGGAGTAGCCCTGTTTCCGGGTTCCGACATCGCGAGCCCGAAGTGGGGGGTCAAAAGTGAATGATCCATTACTTGCGCAATTGAATCGAAAAGAAATCTGTTGTTTTCTGCTCCTTCTTTTCCATCTGACAATGGGTGTTGACCGGCCTGTCGACTAAGTCCAATCTTCCGCTACTACGTATGTTTCTCGTATGACGTGCGGTCACGCCTTGTAAGTGCACAGTCGATAGTCACGACTCACTCGCTCGGCAATTCTACATTTGGGTACTCTATAATTTGGAGCTCCAACTCCTATAACAATATGAGAAGAGTTGGCAGCTTTCAAGGACGATTTCGATTACCAGTCTGTTCAATGTTTGTGAGTCAGAAGTCTTCACCTATCAAACTAGGCGGGAAGTGACTACTTATCACTAAAAGTCCACTGAGCGACCACATGAGTACCATGATGTCTTCTCGGGATGTATTAAGTAGAACGTATATATGAGGGCAAACGCAGGGGAACGTCGTGTGATGTGACATACGGATGCCCCGCTGAGGCTCAACTCATTGAGTTGTTCCTGACTATATTGTCGTCATGGGACATCTGCAAGATGCCAGGAATCCAATTCCGTGGACCCTGCTTGCATACTACCACTGGCGTCGATCGTTTGCGGCTCTCCTTGAAACAGCTGCCAGAAATCCATTCTATTCCCGCTTGGGTAAGTGCGTGGTCGTGTGAGCAGCGGAGTGGATGAGAAGAGAATCGTTCCAATCATGTGAGCACTTTTACTCGAGTCAATAAATGCAAGCTCTGTGATTTCTGTAGGGCCTAGTTCTGACTTCCTCGCCCACAACAATGTGTGAGATCAACGTGCACCAAACTTTCAAGGCCAGGGCACTTTAGAAGCTATGATGTCGTACTTGGAGGCCTGCCAGACTTCTACAGAAGGAAAATCCTGAAGATGCCTGGGTGATCAAAGATACATAAGTGTGGACGTGTCCCCTGTTGCGGTGGCTTGCTCAGTGCTCGTAGCAAGTAGTTGGTGACCAGCAAAACCACAACAACAACTGGGCCCAAACCAGGTGACTTCACGATATGGAAATGAAGTCAAAGGCTCCCGGCCTGTACTTTTGTCACGCTTAAGTAGTGGGGGCAAAGCTGGTGTTAACTTGTTGTGTGATGATTGGTACTATTGATTATTTCGTCACGTGTGCGGTGACTATCTCTACCTCCATACCAATTCGGACTTGAGCTGTCTTAGAGAAGGGGTTCTCTCAATCATAGTACTTCCAGTAACAGCGCGTTGTGCATCCGTGTCAGAATGGATCTGCTATCAGCCTAATCTCAGTGCACGTAGCTGGGTGACTGCAACTTCAGAGCAAAAGCTTTCCAAACATAAATTAGGTTTTCCAGTCATGACATCCCTTAAGCCTTTACAAATACCCAAGCCCACACGTGAGTGACTCTTTTCAATTAACCTTATTTGTTACTTGGGATGCTTAAGTCATCATTGGCGGTTCACATACCTCAACTACATACCATATGTAACTTTTCGAAAAGTTGACTTATTACCATATGCCCTTAAATAACACCTTTTAAGTGGTTGATTTCTCGTAAACAGACTGATATCCCATTCTACTCTTGATATCCATTTAGTTTTGCATGGATGTTCATGTGTTTTACATGTGCGAGCTAGTAATATGTTGTAAATGTAATCGGAATCGGGTTGTTTTACTCAAGACTTCATTTGAGCACATGAACGGCATAGTATTCTCAACTTCAGTAATCAAGATGATGAATTTAGGCCAAGGGTTCTCCACAGAATACAACTTTCTCACTTTTCTTCTAATCGCCATAATCAGCGATGATATCACCCCCATCGCTCAGCAATTTCTAAAGACCATTATCCTATTTCCAGCTAAATACTTATTTCACTGGCGAGAATCACACTGGCTTCTTTCATGCCAGTCCATATTTGCGTCAAATCAGGTCGCACAACAGTGTGACAAAAGCTTTTGAAATGAATGTGGTATCTTTGTATTACTAATTTAAAATATTAATCTATCCAAAGCCGAGACCAGTACGCGCGCTGGGACGAAGTTGTGATTCGCGCAGGAATCGCCTGCGAGTGTTGAATGGTTCTGGAGTTCTTAAGATGACGACGCCTTGGCTTCTTGGATAATTACATCGCTAGCCTTCTCCGAAACTATGTATAAAGGCAATGCAATGTAGAATCCAGGGATCTTTGGGAAGACACTAGCATCGACAACCCTGAGGCCCTCGGTACCGCGAACCTTGAAATTGGTGTCAAGAACAGCCATCGGGTCATCATCGGCACCAATAGGACAAGTGCACGAAGCATGATGTCCCCATGTCTCGTCCTTGAGGAACTGCTTGGCGTCCGCTTCCGTGGAGGTGTTGGTACCGGGCCAAACCTCGGGGAAGCTGCCGTCGAGCGGGATGAGGCTGTCAAAGGCCTTTCGGGTGAACTCGAAGCCCTCATAGGTAGCCTGAAGATCCTTGTCGGCCTCCCCGTTGCTGTTGACGCCCGTGTCGTAGTAGTTGAAGTTGATGAGGGGCATGTCCCTGGGATCAGTCGACTTCAAAGTCACGGTACCGGCATTGTTTCTACTGTGAGCCTTGAGAATGATCCATGCCCAGTGCTGTGCGTCCGCGAGCGAGTCAGACGCGTAGCCGGGGAAGTAGCCCTTGAACTTTGCCGGTGCACCGGAGATGAGCAAGTCGGGCTCGTTCTCGGCGACGGAAGACTTGAGAATAACGGCAATCGCGATACCATTGGTGGCGTAGACGCCCTTGGTGATGGGCTCAAGGCCGTTCTGGTAGTCCTCAAGGCAAGGATCGGGAGACGTCTCTAAGAAGGTGCACTTGCTTGTGATGACGAAGTCGCTGTTGGTCTTGCCGATCACGGTTGCCTCGTAGCGATCCTGCATGTTGGTTCCGACACCTGGGAGATCGACGACAACAGGAATCTTGAAAGAGTCGAGCTCAGCCTTCGGACCAAGACCACTGAGCTTCAGAAGCTGAGGTGTGTTGAAAGAACCAGCAGAGATGATGACCTCCCGAGTGGCATCAACGCTACCAGAGCCTGTTGTTGAAGCAGATGCTGCGCGGGGATCAGCACGGTAAAGGCTAGAGCCCTCTAAGAAATCGACACCAACAGCGCGAGGCTTGTCACCACTCTCATCAAATCGAATCTTGGTGACCTAAAGAAGGTTAGTAAATGAAACGATGTATTAAGTTTTATGAAACTTTGGTTAAAATGAACTTACGAGAGTGTCGAGCTTGATGTCAAGGTGATACTTACGCGATCCATCAGCATTGACAGCGTTGGCAGTATCCAAAATCAGATCTCTGGGACCACCGCGGATGGAATTAGTCATCGAAAGCGGAACCTGGTATAATCCAGTCTTGCTAGTTTGACCCGGAGCATTGAGGTCACGAAGGAGGACCTGGCCGAGGCCAGTGACAGTGCTAAGCACTAATCCCAGAAGGCTCTTTCCCATGGCAGTAGCAGCAGAGATAATCAACGACAGCAGCTTCTGGTCTTCAACCACCAGTGACAGAGAAGTGAGCGAGGTACCAAGCCATCCACTGTAGCCGTGTCCAATGATGCTTGATGGAAGGTACATGTTCTTCTCGATCTTTTGGAAGTACGAGCGCATGTTGTCTGGCTTCCAGGTATCATCGCCGGTGAGAGTGGCGATGTTGGTCCAATCGCTGTCATGAGCGTTGATGGTGATGAGAGCGTTGTGGCGAGAACAGCCTCCCAAAGTTCCTGCGCGAGGATACCAGACACCGAGAGGGGTTGCTTCAGCTGGAGGATTAAGCCCTACGTAGAGACTGCCGTCGGGCATTTCGTACGTCATCTTGGAATCTCTCTTCTGCTGCTCGAGGTCGGGATAGTGGTTGACCTACATGATATTAGTCAAGGCACTTTATATCACGCTCTTCGCGTACTTAGAAGACTTACAAAGTAGTTCCATCTTGTGTCCTCGAACTCAGTGGACATAAGGTGAAGAGCTGGGACCTTCTCCGTCCACGAGTCGCCTGAATCTCCTCCAGCATCAATCAGCAACACCTTGTATCCGGCGATGGCAAGGTTGGCCGCAACAGGGCCTCCTCCAGGACCCGAGCCAACAATGACATAGTCATAGTTGTCAAGAGTGGTGTTGGCGGCGCGTCGACCAATGAAGGGCTCATGACGAGGCTGTTGCCGTGCAGTCTTCCATGGGACAGCGCTAATGAAAACGTCAATTGTTTGGGTCTCCCAGAAGAAGTCTGCCTGTAACGACTTACATGGAAGAGGCTGAGTCGGCCAAAACAGTAATGAGTGTGAAAAGGAGTGAAACGCGCATCTTGGGCGCTTGGCAACACTGGCTGCTAGAAAGAGAAAAAAGAGTGACAATGGGTCAGATGGATACAAAGGTCTCAGAACATCGAGTCAGATCGAAGACGAGCCGCATTTGAAAGCTTGATATTCTGGGTCAACGGTAGTGATGAGACAGCTTGAATGGAAAGAAAGGAGAGGTCAGCCATTACCTAAGCGGTGTTGATAGGCGGTCTGGTAACAAAGCCCTGTCTTTTAGAAGTGAGGCCCATCGGAGGACTGTCAGTTTAGGGGATGAGAATTGTCCGAGGTGACAGGCCTTAGGAGATGCCGTGTTCCTGCTCCGCTTCAAGATGCCGACTCTTCATGTTGATCGTCCTCAATGACGACTTCTTTTTGGGTGGACTACTCCATGGCCACGATGGAAACTGTATTTCTCCTCTTCGGGAGCCAGGATCCCAACCTTCGAAGTCCTCATGGATAAGGAAAACCCATGCCAACCATGCCCTGCTCGTCCGTCAAGTTTCAACACAAGGGCAGAAGGTAAGTGGGTTAATTGCCATTGCCGATGCCACCCTCCAACTCAGGGATTGCGGAAAAGTCCAGAGAACTGATTCGGGGCTGGAAGAATACAAGGTTAAGCAGGCTTCCGCATTCAGCGTTGGTCACTTGAGGAAAGCCATGAGTCCACGATGGACAAGGAATCAATGCCATGAGAAACCTTAGATCACGCATCAGAAAGTCTGTCCAGGCCTCTTGCGATGAAGAGTGGCCGTTGGCATAGAAGCTGCCAAGAAGCTGAATTCGACGATGCAACGCAGACATAATGCTAAGTTCGTCGTTAGACGTTGGCGTTATTTGTGATGCTTCAGCATTAACAAGGGTTGCGGGCGCGAGGGAGCCGATATGCGCTCTGACAATGGCTTTGCAGGGAGGTTGACTCAGACATTGCTGCGGGCAGTCTTTCTACGGACCGCTTCCTAGCCCCCGGCTGGGCTAAAACTGCAAGGCAGACGATCGTAATGACAGATACAACGGGGGGACCAGACCCCCAATAGGTCCCAAGATGGAAATGGCATAGCCCCCACCGCATGCCACTGAAACCTTCGAGAAAGATTGATTTCGCAGGGGAAGAAAATGAGAATGGGACTCTGCGAGAGGGATTCGCTCTGCAGAGAAAGTTTTGACGAGATAGGAATGAAAGACGTGAAGCTCCTTCAATGCCAGAAGAAGGCAGAGATCGGCATTGCGTTGAGGAGACCCTTGACAACAACCCTTGTTCCAACGACTCTGCTCCACTGTTCGAGCTTTCATGTTTGCTGCTCAACGCTCATACTGGCTAGCGCAATAATCAACGGCCATTAAGAGAATTCTCATCCCGTCAAGTGGCGTTCGGGTTTTTAGCGTATCCGTAAGCTAGGTCTGGGGTAGGGCTAATCAAGAGAAACATTTCCAAGGAAACATGACTTGATCTGGATGGCGTGGGACATGGGTCTCGGACTTTGACCTGGCGGGTAATGCGGACTGAAGCAAAGTCTCAAGGCAGGGTTTGACTTCCGTAATGACGGTATGAATTATGTTTATGTTCTATGTTCGTATGTGGTATCTCGGTGCAGCTTTGTGCTGTCAAAATTAAAAAAGATGGTAGCAGGATCGATCCTCTTCTGTATGTCTAAATATTGCCGAAAGAAGGAAGTGAGTGAATGAGTGAGAGTAAGGAACAGCAAGCAAACGCCGGCTAGTAAAATTCCTCATGATGCCCTGCTCACACAGATTCATGTGGAGTAATGGGCTTCTTTTCTGATGACGGGCGTGAACTGGGGTCTGCGAACGGCCCTGTCGTGAGTTCATGCTCGACGTAGGAGACATCATCCCGATGTCTCGACCGGACTGTGAACTCCTTGAGCACTCGAATAGCTGGTTTTGATGAGCCCTTGGATGAAACTTTCTGGGAGTTGGAAAGATCCTTCTGTTGGCTAGAGAGATTGGCGTAGTTTGATTTGCCCCTTTGAGTGGTGCCAAACACCTTGGGAAAGACCAGACTGAATAGAGAGCGAATGGCAGGCATGCTGGCACAGATGACGCCTACCGGAACCTCAATAGTGCTCCAGTATCCGACCTCGACGTAGTCCTCTGGCATCACGTTAGCTTGATTCTTTCTCACTGATACGTTGGGTGGGAACATACGCGTCGCATTGCTGGTAGTTGCATAGCTGGCCAGCGAATGCAACCGCACCACACTCACAATAGTGACACTAAATAGATTTTGTCAGCGAACAGTTCTGCGGGATGAAGAATCCGCCAAGCATACAAGAAGCCAACGCTGAACATCAGAATAACCATGAGCTTCTTCTTTGTGGACAGCGAAAGATTGTACAATTCTTTCAATGGAAGAATCAACGTGGCCAAGTCCAAAAGAATGTTGATGATTGCCGCAGCCCAACCCTGGATGTTGATATTGTTGCATTTTGCCGGGTATTCCTTGTCCCATGCTCTCCAGGCCCCATCGATCGGACGGCACTGGAAGATCGAGATGAGTTCGAAGGTAATGAAGTATGCGACGTTGAGCCCGATAAGAACCCAGCAGCCAATTCTTATTTCTCTTTTGGGAAAGATTTTGAGGTAAAAGAGAAGAATTGAGATTTTGGTGACTGGCAAAGCGCCAAGGTAGAGAAGCTCGTCCCAGTAAAAGAGCTATTACTAAAAGTCAGTCAAGGCACTGAACATCTGCAGAAAAAGACTTACATAGAGAAATTGTGTCACGTCGTCAGGGTGAACATTCCAAATGTCCTTGCCCAGAGCAACTTGAGAGACTTGGCGACGAGTCAGCATCATGAATTATTGACTCGACATGGAAAGACTTACTTGGGACGGATAGAGCATTGAGTGGTATCATCATGCCCTAGCATTCTGTTAGTAACTCGATAATTTGCGCAGGGCAGAAGGGATTTGACTCACCACCGCAATGCACATAACCCAGTCGTCTGGCCCCCAAGACTGGCCACCCAGGCAAAGTCGAGCCATGACTCTCAACACAAACGCCAAAAGGCCAAGAACAAGAAAAACCACTCCGGTGACCCATACTAATGCAGTTCTGTCCCGTGAAGGTGCACCGCAAGTGTGCTTGGAGTAACTTTGAACCACTGGTAGGATCGTAAGTACGTCAACTTTCAGTCAACACTCGCAAGTAGTAACATACGTAGTGCCTCCCGAACAGTGCAATTGGAGTGCACACAAAGTGAAATTTTCTCATTCAGCTCGACATTGGTGCATATACAAGTTGCGTTGGTGAGCGAACATAGCTGCGTTGCCAAAGTCACTGATTGAATGCATTGCAACTATTCCAATGTCAGTTCCTAGAGTCGTCCAGCAGCCAGCCGGATGGATGCCATGACTTACGCCGCACAACGGAGGAGTCTCCGTGGACGCGGGGGTATCAACTGTTTTGGACAAACCCCACACGCCATGACACCACGCCGAAAGTAACAAAACAAAAGCGAAGAATTTCATGGTTTCTAGTCCCAGCTTTGAGGGGCTGGAAACGGAATTCGAAGAAGAGGAAAGAAGGAAGAAGGAGAAGAGACGGAGAAGAATGAATGACTGAATCCCGTCGGTATGAAGACTTATTCAATGCTCTTTCATTTTTTGGTCCAAGAGGCGCCAAATCTGTGCCACATCTGCCGACATCCCGGCGTACGTTATTGTTTCCATTTCATCGAAGACAAAACCAGGTTCTGGGAAGTTAGCTGGCAGCAGGGTTGTTTCAATTTGTGGGCAGGTGTCCATCAACAGATACGGGACGCGTTGAATCGTTGATTCAACTGCGTCAGACGGGCCCTGATCTTTCTGACTTCCCATGAAGAGTCTTCGTTGGTCTTTGCCACTTCTTGGCGCAAATCATCAAGCCCTACTAGCTCGATTGGTATATCTACCCTGTTGCATAATGAGCGCCCCCTGATCACCTATGTAACCCTCTCTGAAAGTCATCTTAGACATCATACTTCGAAAGCGGCAAGGCGAGCATGTTGCATTTCTTCTTCTCCTGAAAGACCGTTGCCAAACACGTCAAATATGGAGCGGTCAGCCTTCCGGGATCCCATGTCTAGCGGGGTGCATCGTGAATTATGACAGACAGGGATCTGTTTCAGACCCTGCGACTGGGCCACGTGCTAGTCATCCTAGACTCTGCCATTACGACTTCAAGCCCACAGACTGTGGGTTGAGCTGATGAGGCAGTACAGGAGCAGACGGCGAAGGCGGTGGGATGCAGTAATCGCGGAGACTCTGTGTAGTGGATGTTTCTATCTCAAATTCTCTCTGTACGGAGTATTCCATGCCCGGTTTTTGTTGGAGATCTTCGTTGTAAAGTGCTCGAATAGGGTTCAGGAATACAAGGGTGACGAGAATTTGCCGAATTGCGTCTGACACTGCCACAAGTGCTGGGGGCCCGTAGGAATCTGCCCCTGATGTCTTGCGGATGGGCAGCACATCGCATCCGTCGAGCCATGGAACCGGAACCACTGCACCGTGCAGGGGCGCCGACCAGCGGTGTGCGGTTTAGTCGGGAAGCGTGAGAATCCGAATCGGCACTCTGGTGGACTTCGGCACCTCAATGCAACTCTGTAAGCCTGGGCTTTTCTCCAGTCTTAGTTTCTCCAAGTCGATCAGTGGGCAGTCAAATTGTACAACTTCACAAGTGCTAATGCTCACGCTAGCAGACGTTGACGGAAGTTTGCTGCGTTCCCGGAGAGTCCGTCAAAGTTTTGGAGACCTCAGAGTTCGAAAATGGGGCCATCGGGGAATTCGAATGCAGATCGCTCGAGTTATCAATCCTGGGCTGCCTCGATATGACAATTGCTCATTTCTAAAGGGTTACATGCTGGCCAGGGGGGTACTCGAGCTAAACTGGTAAAGTTCACTTGACAACAACCAACCGGGCAACCCCAACTATCACCCTAGGGAATGGGAGTCGCCTTTTCCAACAGATTGATACCATATTCCCAATGAGTAAAATTGAGATTGAGCAGCTAAGAAGCCTGAGAAGATCTTTTTCCTATCATGATGAGGAAGGCGAAAGTGCCGGTGGGATTTGGGGGCCACTACAATGAAGCCCACGATACCTAACCACCCATGTTGTTTCTCCTGGCCGGCAGTCTTCCGATGCCCACGATTAGGCCAACTCGAGTTGATCCCAATGTTTGGTTTCCGCACGTCGCGGAACCAGCGGCCCGTCAAACTTCCATAGTAAAAGGGACTGGCCAAGAATAATGTTCCGATTTCAAATCCTCCACCTCTAGATCATTGATACAAGCCCACCGGCAGCCGTCAGTCATCCATCGTCACTCTTTCAACCCCACGTCATATCATTCGATTCTCACACTCTTTTTGACTTGGCCACTTCACTATGAAGCTGCATTACGCTCTTTCTATTCTGCCCTGCTTCGGCAGCGGCGTCCTTGGGTTCCCCGCATACGCAGCTGATGCCCTCAGAGAGGAGCTCTCATCCAAGCTCTCCGGACACATCGCCAGCGCCTTCCACGAGGTACATGAGAAGAGACTTCTATTCGACCCATTGACAACACCTATCGATGTCACCGGCGACCATAAGTTCATCGCACCCGACTTTAAGAATGGCGCCCAGCGTGGTCCCTGCCCGGGGCTGAATGCCCTGGCGAACCACGGCTACATCAGCCGCAAGGGTGTGACGAGTTTAGTCGAGGTCACGGCCGCTATCAACACTGTGTTTGGCATGGGATTGGAGCTTTCGACGATTTTGGGAGTGATGGGAACTGTTTTCGTCGGAAACCCTCTATCTCTCAACCCAGGTTTCTCCATTGGAGATGCTGCCAGCGGATCCAACAACATCCTGGGCAATCTTATCGGTCTCCTTGGTACGCCTCGCGGACTCAATGGCTCCCATAACATCATTGAGGGCGATTCTTCCAACACTAGAGCCGACTTGTACATGACAGGAGACGCTTCGACCATGGTCATGGAGCAGTTCCAGTCCTTCTACGACACGTCTTCCGGCGAGGGCGATTACAACTTTGAGTTATTTGCCGACAGAGCCTCGATTCGCTTCAATGAGACTATTGCGACCAACCCAAACTTCTACTATGGTCCTTTCACCGGCATGATTGCTCGAAACGCGGGCTTTTTGTTTGCTTGCCGCTTGTTTGCGAACCACTCCGCGGAGAATCCCACTGGCCTCTTGAGTAAGTTGTCAGCCCCTTTATCAGAGAGTGAATTGAGGTACTGATTCCCTTCAGACAAGGCCACACTGAAGAGTTTCTTCGCTGTAGAGGGCGAAGAGGGCAATCTCACGTACAACAAAGGCTGGGAACGTATTCCAGAGAACTGGTACCGTACGCCGGTGGACTACGGCTTGGTCCAGCTGAACTTGGATCTCCTCGCCTGGATTGCCAAGTACCCAGAGTTGGGAAGGTACGTGCATCATAAGTATTACACTGAAAGATAAAGAAGCACTATGCTAACAACGTTCGCTCTACAGCATCGGCGGAAACATGGGAAAGGTCAACAGCTTTGCGGGAGTCAACCTTGCGGATCTTACTGGGGGTGTCCTGAACCTCACCAAGCTGTTGGAGGGCAACAACCTGCTGTGCTTCGTCTTTGAGATTCTCAAGACCGCCTCACCAAACTCGCTGTCCACGATCTTTACCATCATTGAGGCGCCTCTCAAGCTTGTCACCGACACTGTTGGCGCCGCCATCCTCAACTTGGCCTGCCCGGCCTTCAAGGACATGACTGTAGGCGGAAAGAGCCTGGATGAAGGCCTCAAGGAACAATACCCCGGCGCGAAGATGGCTGACAACATTCTTTGAGATGGTCATCCTCGTCTCTGAATGCCATGATTCAGAGTAATGTAGAGCCAACCCTGCATAAGCGACAAGACTATTATCAGCCGATCTATACCCTATTTAATTCATAATCTTGCTGTTGAAGCAATAATCTCGGTCAGTTTTTGCTCTTCGCGTTCCAGGAAAGACTTAGACCTTCGAGACGCCTGACTCTGTAGTGACTCAAAGGTCACCAATGATACACTTTGTTGCCAAGAGAAGTAAGCAAACCAGCTTGCTTTCTTCTCTACGCAAACTGTGAGTGATATGTCGATGATATTGGTTACAGTTCTACTTGAACGTCGTAGAAAGAGTCGTGAATTGACGTAGGCAACTTGCCGCCAAAGTCTTAGTGATTATTGATTCAATTGAGGACTCCATGCCAAGTGAGCAGGCTAACGATGCTCAGTCTGCTTGTTGATAGAGCCACAAGTCGAATACCTCAACATGCTTGAGAAACTGCGGTTAGCCACCAATTGAGCACAACCGACATGGAATACGCACAAGCACACGTTCACAATCAAATTCACAGACTCAGTTTCAACTCATCATCATTTCGTCATTCATCTTCTAATCTACATAGTCCATTCCGAACCTTTTTATACTTTTACAACTTAGCGTGCTTCTCGTTAACCAGAACGTATCTGTAACGAGCGTGGCCTTGCTCCATGTCGACAATGGCCTTGTTGGCGTCCTTGAGCGAGCGCTTCTGGACCCAAGGCTTAACCTTCTTCTCAACAGCGAGCTCAAGCATCTCCTTGATGTCGGAGGGAGAGCCGATACCGCTGCCACCGACCTTGATACCGCTGGCGAGCAGAGTGAAAGCGTTGATGGGGGGCAGGTTTCCACCGTCGGGGGCACCGACCTGGATGAAGGTGCCGTAAACCTTCAACAGTCTCAGGTACTGTTGCAGGGGCATCTTCTCGCTGGACACGGTAGAGATGATAAGATCGATGCTGCGGGCGTTGGTCTTGGACCAGTCCTTGTCGTCGTCGGTCGCAATGTACTCATCAGCTCCCAGCTTAAGGACCTCGTCCTTCTTGGTCGCCTTTCTGGAGATACCAATGACCTTGTCAGCGCCGAGGGCCTTGGCGAAGAGCACAGCAAAGTGGCCAAGACCACCAACACCAACGACACCAACAGTCTTGCCAGGTCCACAACCATTCTCCTTCAACGGGGAGAAGACTGTGATACCACCACACAGCATGGGCGCGGCATCCTCAGAGGGAATACCATCCGGGATCTTGATGACGAAGTGTCCGTTGGTTCTGTTGTAGTCGGCATAGCCGCCCATTGCCTTGCCCTCGCCATCGGGGTAGACGGAGCCGTATGTACTGATGTTGGCGCGGCCGCAGTAGTTTTCGCGTCCGATAGAGCACTCGGGGCAGTCGGACTTCATGCAGGAGCGAGCCTGGGCACCGACACCGACGCGGTCGCCGACGGAGACGTGCTTCACGTTCTTGCCGACGCGGACGGCCTTGCCAACGATCTCGTGTCCGACGCAGCAAGCTGAAGAAAAGAGCAGATGTTAGCAATGGTCAAATGGACAAGTTCTTGCTTCATAACCCCGCGTTTTGAGTCGGAGCGGGGTAAAGAGGGAAAACTCACGATAAGGGGTCTCAGCCCAGCCCGAGCGGAGCATGTGAAGGTCAGAACCGCAGATACCGCAGTGGGAGATCTCAATGTCGACGTCGTCCTCAGTCCACTTCTTGGGCTCGAACGCGCCCCATTCCATCTTTCCGTTGACACTGTCGGGGCTGTGGCCGAGCCATCCTTCGAACTTGATGTCGGACATGATTGTGTGTGTTGTGTTGTGATAAACTGACTCGCGTTGTTGATATGGTACTGTCAGAGTCGGTTTTCGTCTTCAAAGCTTGTAGAGCACGAACTGATCAGGCAATCATTGTCAACGACTTGGTGAGGGGGACTGAGTTTATGTATGAAATTTTAGAATTCAAAGCACCCAGGCCACGGTCCATGACGGCATCCACAGATGCCGCGAGCTAGGGCCCATTTCCCTTCGTTCATCATGTCATCAAGAACTCTCTTGACCGGAGCTAGCTGGAGTTAAGACGGCACTATACCGAGTTTAAACAGTTTAGTGAGCTTGCCGGCATATCTACGGAGCCTTCCGACGCCCAGGGGCAGCCGTCAATGCCGCGGATGGGTTCGTTTTCTTTTTTGGTGGTTCTCCTCAGCTTCTGGTCTGGCCTTTCTGGCGGTGTCAAGCTTCCAAGCTCGCTGGTGCTTGGGCCGGAAAGGACTAGCTTCGCCCGCCACTTCAGATGATGACGCAGAGAGGAGGGGTGAAATCTTCAGTGGGTTTTGTTCTTTGCAACTGAGACATGTAATTGGATTACCTTGTTCTAACCCCAATGCCCCTCCACGGTCAAAAGTCCGGATTTCCTTTGACCGCGGGGGCTCGCGCGAGTCAGATAAGCTACGTGAATTAGCTGACGTTTCCAGCATGAAGACCCACGGTTTCCGTGGATGAGGTTCAGCTGTTCGGTTCCATGCTGTTGTGCGGCGTAGCACAGCCTGTCAGTGACTTGGGGGCAATGCAGGCCAAGCGTAATATCCCAGCACACATGGAGCTTTTCCATTCTTTTCTGCTGCAGCCTGCTGACGAAGGCGCTGACAGACGTTCGTCTTGGCTCTCTGGCTTGATTCTAGTTCCCTTTGCGTCCCACGGAAACATGGGCGTTAGTATGGTTGGTATGCACTAAGGTGCTTATTGCCGATCGTCCGGGACGGCGGCGTCGCGTATCATTCGATCGCATCGCAGATTTGCACAATAACCTTTGATTTCCCCTCAACTAGCCTGTGCCTTTGTGTTACGCCGCTTCCGCGGCATCATTACAAATTCCTATTTTCATCGGCGATAGGCGATGAGGAGGGTTACCATCGGCGTTTACTCCGCATGACATGATACATTTCGCTGGTGGATGATTGATTTAGCGGTGAAGCTTGTTCCAGTCTCTCGTTTCTAATGTGCCTATCCGTAGCTTCTACCAAGTTATTTTTACACTCCCGGACTTAAGAGCACTAACCTCTACGACGACGAGCCGAGGTGCAGCATGATATCAGAGAAGCCAATTGGCAAACATTCTGTTGTGTATGTTCTTACGTGTAGCCACCATACTGGAGCGATGTAGCGACAATCACACGCTTAGTCTAGGAGCTCGGGAGCGAGATTGAGTGGGTTTTCCCCGTGAAAGAAATCACAGGCTCTCTATGATCGTCAACCGTGACGTCGCTGGTTACACAAAACATCAAGCACTGCCGAAAGAGCATGCGACGGCCGGGAGCATCCATCTGGATTCATTCTTCATGACCGAAAGTACCAAGTAAGTATGAACATGAAGGTCAAGTATTTACATCTCGTTCAACCAGTTGGGCCTACAGAACCCAGACTGAACCCACCCCCACCTCTACCCCGCCATCCCCGAAAGTGCCGTAATCCCTCCCCATGCCTTGCGCATTGCTCGCGATAGAGAGCGGCTGGAAAAGAATAAGACTGCAATTTCTCAGAGACACTGAGAGTAGTAGTCATTCGACTTGGTACAGACATAAGGAGACTGGCACGTGGTAGGCCCAGTCCAGCCAATACCACCGCACTGGCCCCAGCGAACCTGTCCGGCACCAGAAGCAGCGGTACTTGTAGTCGCAGCAGCAGACGTAGTGGTCGTAATCAAAGTCGTCGCGCGCGAAGTCGTAGTCGGAACAGCACCAGTAGCAGCAGCAGCAAGGACTGACGAAACAGACGTGTACGCAGGCTTCTTATTAAAGCTCACGTCCCACAAAAGGGCGTCACCCGCACCGCTGAACGTCTCGGGGATCCAGCTGTACTTGTCGGTGAAGCCCCAGATGGTGACGCCGACGCACCCAGCAACATCCAGACAGGAGCCTACGACGTTGGCGTAGTCGTTACCCTGTGTGACGAGGGCTGCGCTGGAGGCGGGCAGGCTGGAGTGGCGGATATCGAGTTCCGTATAGGCGACTTCGAGGCCGAGGGCGGTGAAGCGGCGGAGGGCGGTCGCGAGGGCGCTGCGGCCGGGTGTAGAGCCCACGATCAAGTGGCCCTGGAAGCCAACGCCGTCGATGGGGGCGCCAGCGTTCTGGACGATGGTGACGGCTTCGTAGACGCGGTTGGTCTTTGCGCCGTTGTATTCAAGGTTGTAATCATTGTAGTAGCTGAGCCGCTGCATTAGTGATGGAGTCTTGACGGGTAGAGACCTTTCTGGCTTACAGCTTGGCATTGGGATCAGCAGCCCTGGCAGCTCTAAAGGAGATAGGAAGATAATCGGTGCCGAGAACGGTGTAGAAGACGCTGGTACGCCAGCTTCCGTCGTCTGCTGCGGCTTCATTGACGACATCCCAGGCGTAGCACTGGCCAAGGTAGTGCTTCAGGACGTTGGAGATATGCGTGTTGATGACGGCAGTCAGGGTTGCTGCTGTCCACGATCCGCTTGAGACCCAGTTAGGGAGTTGAGAGTGCCTGGTTCCTGGTCAGAGTTGTGCGCCACCGATGCTTATATTCAAGGGTTGACTACCATGTCAAGGTGTGGCATCTCAAGATCTGGCCGTTTGCCTTTGCAATATTCGGAATCTAGGCGAAATAGTCGAGTCAGTCCGCGCTCAGTCTGATGGATCTAGTCAAGCCCTCATGCCCTGTTGCATCACGTACAATATCTCCCGAGGTGTAAGAGAAGGTGTTCTGAGTAGGCTCGGTGTATGCCCATTTTTGTCCATTCTCGGGTACCAGGGAACCGAACTCGGCAGTGTTGTTCACAATTGCCATGTAAGCTGCATCCGTGGTTGTGCGGCGCTCATCGACGGCCGTGCCGAAGTACTTCAGACCGGCGCGGACGGCAAGGGTGTTGAGCTGGGCCGACACGAGGCCGGAGCCCAGCAGAACCGCAAGAACAGCCTTGGCGTACATGATGTTCGACTCTCAAATTCTGATTGATGGTCGATAAGCTGAGCGATGCGCACGCGTCGGACAACTAGAGCATCATCTCCTATTGACATCTTCTCTGGGGTGGGCGCCGTAGACTTATACATGATCTCGAACCACTCCATCGCGAGGGAGGCCTGAACTGGGGTCACATTGCATGCTGCTCTCACCCTTTGTTCTTGGCTCTCATCAGGTTGGCTGGCCATCCAACATGACCTTGGAATAGTCTTGTGTTCTCGACTTTCCCACGTGGAGTGTGGCATCGCCGGCCCGAAGGATGTGCTTCCCGCTGCTAAGCACACATACAAAAATTGAGGAAATCATCGTGAGGGTTCAGCATCAAGCAGCTGGGGCCCTCAGGTCTCCTGCAAAGACATTCATCCTTTTTACCCGGAGCGAACCTCTCTCAGCTCGATCGCGTCATGTGCAAAATTGCTGAGAACTATCTGATCCTTCCTTGCCTCAGAGGGACACACTGGCCGCGCAAGTCAGACGGAGCAACAGCAGCAGTGCCGTGGCCATGTCTGGCAAACTGACTTGGCGCTCGGAGGGTGCTCCGAGAATTCCTGTGCCTGGGCTAGCGCGAGGGGGGGAAAGTGGGCATCCCGCCTGCGCCGTAGGCCCATTTCCAAGATTTCATTTTGGGCGCATTCATGCGGGGTTGCTGTGCAGACGGAGGAAACCAGAAGAAAGGTTGACAGAGAAAAGGAAAGTTATTCGTAATGTGCAAGTGGTTAGCGTCGACGAGCTCATTTCAAGTTCCGGGCCCAGAAACTGGGATCTGAGGAAATTCCACCAGTAGCCACCCACGCTGTGATGATGAGGTCCAAAATCGAGGGTCCTTAATGAACGCCTCCATTTTTAGGGACCCGTGGCTACGGGAGAGTCAAGGGTTAACCCAATGCCGGATTCCCATATTAGCCTGAATATCTTTTTCTTCGCCTTCCCGTTGGAGTTACATTGCAGCAGGCGTCCAATGCTTGGCACGACAGCCAATTTTGAGGGCGCATATGCGCTTGTGAAGTTGTGAACGGAGACTCACGACCAGCGCCGGCTACTACAGATAGAGATCGGGAGATGCATTGAGAAGCTGACAATCTACGCAACGATACGAAGCCCCGTCACGGCGATCTGGGCAGATTGAAGCTCCTTGTGTTCATCATAATCAGGTCTCATGGCAGGGGATACAGATCGGATTATCGCGACGGAAGTCGAAGTCGTTGACCGCGTTTTTCTCCGACTTTTTCAGGTGGTCTGTCTCCAACAGCATTCTCCCCACAGCGGACTAAACTTTGAGACAAATTTGCCAACCACATTTCTCTGTCGCAAAATGGCTCTCATAGACCTCTCATGGACACCAGCTATTTCCGCAAAATAGTAGGTAGTGCTCGAGACAAAAGGTTCGTGATCAGTGGGAGGCTTGAACTCCCGGCCTTGGCATTACACAACATTTCAGGTGAAATATTAGTACCACGCTCTAACCAACTGAGCTAACCGACCCGTTTCCGAGTTGACGGTGCAGGGCTGAGCAGCATTCAAGATGGAGAGGGCTGCCCCCGGCTCCACAATCAACCCCCAGTAAGTGAGAACAAGGTGACACAGTCGAGGACAAAGCTCCAGCAAGTTGTCTCTCGCTGAATTGCGTTTCTTTGAAGAGTTGATTAGGTCTTTCCATCTTTCTTTATGAATATGTGGTTCGATAGTTGGCAAAGACTCTCCTCTAGCAGAGTAGTCTAACAAAGGTTGAAGGCTGAACTTACAGCCAGAAGGAACTCGCTTCTGTTTGGACTTACCTTGAATCCCCTCAAAACTTCAAGTCAGGTTCCACAACTCTTTCAAATCTCGACGTAGAAGAGCAAAGAAAATGTTTGGTTCTTATATAGAGGAACTCGAGAACCCTTGTATGTCAACAGTTAAACTTAGCCGCATCAGCTTTAGTAAACAGCAGTTCACACTTGTCTCTCAACAACATTGAATAGCAACTTTCATACGCCATAGAAAGCCCAATCGTTGATTGGCTCACGATGTCGCTTCAATCTGAGCGCAGCCGATCGGAGGTACCATACTCCTCAACCAACCGCACGCTTCCGGGTAGTCGGCGTTTACGTCGTCGGCCTGGTAACTTGTCCCTGAGAGTTTCCATCCGAGGCATTCCCCTCGATGCAGCGAGTTCTGTAGCAGACGGTGGTACGAGCGAATCCTCAGAGTCTTTTGCTACCACCGGCACCGTCATCAGCCTACCTGGTCTGGAGTGCTACCTGTCTCAAGGTTCAATGTCGATTGAGTGTGAGGTAGATGGCCAATTCGTCATCACGCCTTTGCGTCCGACTCGTACCAACAACAATAGCGCGACCTCATCGGATGCAGGCTCTCTGGTGCCCTCTTTGATCAGTCGTCCTAACCATTACCCCTCCAACAGATCACCCCAAGAGTCTATGCGAGGCCATCCGCGGTTTGCGGACAGTTCGACGCTTGGCTGGGAATTATCTCGCCGACGATTTGGATTCCATGGCGAGCCATCTCCGGCATCTCTCCGCTCGCGACGAATGGAGATGTTCCATCGGGACAGTGTGCACGTAGCTGCAGCCCCCCCGATACAGGTGTTTCCAGAGGTCAGCAGTGTATCCAGCAGTTCCCAGCGACTCCCCGTATCCCCGATAACTCCTCCGCCGCAGTACTCCGGGCTGATTCACGTTGCCGGGACTGGAAGTTGGACCTCCAGCCCGGAAGAGCAGCAGGCCCTGGAGGCGGCTGCAGATGACATAGTTGGTATGTGGAATTCTCATGGTTGATCGTTGAAAATGGAATGGTACTACCATATCACTTGGGCGTTCGAGGCATGATCGATTACAAGGGAAGGGAGTTTGTGTTTGGAAGCAGAAATCTTCTAGAGGGTTACCAGAACGGCCTTGATGTGAAATATTTTCGTTATTAAACATAGGATGATCGTTTGAGGTTCTGAAGTCCCCCATTGTCATTATGCTAGATACAGAACCGCGTGTTCTATAGAAGAAACAGGCAAAAGCTAGTGCCGCAACTCAGCAAGTGCGTCTCACTGTCGCTTGGTAAAGCTCAACTGGCACTCATCCTTGAAAAGATAGTTAGCATCTGCGAAGTTGCACATGTTAGGCGCAACAAGATTCTTACCATTGGGAAAAGCGTTGCAAATACCCTAATCTCCTCCGACTTCTCCGTCGCATGGTGTTTCCAATCGATCTCTAACGCCGCCTTGCCAATCATGGCAGCCATCGTCAGCGGCACATACCTTCTCGCGAGGCAATCATGTGGTCCAGCACCGAAAACCAGCCAATTTTTGGTCTTAGACTCGGCATCTCCAGTGATCCATCTATCGGGGTCGAAGAACTCGGGGTTGGGGTAGACATTGGGATCGTGCAGGGCAGGGTAGCATGACGGAATGATCATGGATCCCTTGGGGACGGTGTACTTTGGCGTAACGGGGAAGTTCTTCGTTGCAAGATAGGGAACGAAGATGACGGGGGGTCGGAGACGGAGGAGCTCCTTAATAACGGCATTGGTGAAGGTAAGCGATTCCAGCATGGGGAGATCGAAGGGTTTGGAGCTGTCGCCACCCCTCGCGGCAAGGTTCTCGTCGCGAAGGCGCTCAACAACGTCTGGCCTTTGCGCGAGGACTTGGAAGAGCCATGTCGTGGCACTGCTCGACGCATCCTGGGACGCAAAGAGGAAGGTGAAGAGCGTCTCTGAGATTTCCTCATTGGTGAACTCCCTAATCATATTCGAAGGCCTCACAGCATCGGCCTCGCCAGCAGCAACCTTCTCGCGGTACCTGTTGGACTCCATCATATGCAGCACCCAGTGGTCGACAATGGATGTCGGAGTCGCGCCCTTGGCCATGTTGGCTTTACACACGGCCGCGCACTTTGCAAACTCAGCATGGACCTGATCAGCCACACGCTTGCCGAGCCATACTTTTGTGCCAGGGATGTACATCGAGAGGGGAACGTTGACGAGTTCGAGAGCTGCGGTGACGAGGTAGAAGTCGTCGGCAATTTTCTTGACGGCGTCTTGAGAGATGTAGTCGCCAAAGAAGGTACGGCACGAGAGCGCGCAATTGATTTCGCGGAAGAGAGCCATGTAAGCCATGGGGTTTCCGTTGTTTGCCTCACTGGCGGCGACGAACTTGTCAAAGTACTCGCCCAACACCTTCTCGTGAACTGGGAGGTAGGTTGCCATTGCCTTGTTGGTAAACAGGGGCATCAGACCCCTTCGGTACTCGGCATGCTCTCTGCCTTGGAGGAAGACCCAGGCTTTGTGGCCGAGGATATCTTTGGCGATTGGAACGATGCATGGCTCGGCGTAGGCTGGAGACTTAAAGACCTTGTGGGCGATGTCGCGATCTGAAGCAAGAACAACGAACCTATGTTATCAATGATTAGGGCACGCATCGATGTGACCTTGAGGTCTTGTTCCTTTGAATTTGCTAGAGCACCTACTTGTGGAAGACTGATACGCAGCTGAGAGGACCGCTCGCCCATTGAGCAAGGTACTCCTCGAATTTGGGGTGCAAAGCCTGGATGAAGGGTCCCATGAGAGGGATCTTGAACGCAGGTCCAGCAATTGAGCCTTTTCTCTTGAGATATATCACTAGTAATATGTCAGTCTCGTCATTATCATCATGGAAGAGCAAGGTTTATTTGTACCCTGATCATACACAACGACGCCGAGAAGGAAAGTGACGATATACTGCCATGTTGACCAGCCCGAAAAGAAAGCCGGCAGCGTGCTAGACGGAGGAATGGTCTCGTTAGACCATCTTTGCCTTACTTCAGGCTGTACGATAGGCGTGTCGACAATTGTTGAAGCCATGTTGAAGTCTACAACAATGTTGGTGGACCCTCTATCCCACCACGACAACATCTAAGGGACATCTCGGCATCTCTTTAAATGAGGCCGTTAGGCCCATCAAAACGTCGAAAGGGTCTTCGCCGTACGTATTCGTATCTCGCCAACACCACCAAAACAGTCTCATTTCAACTGGTCCCCGTCTGGTTGGACCTCATGCCCAACATCGTTCGTTTCTCTTCCCAAACCGCGGAAGAAGGCAGCCCTGTGAAGTCTTGGCATCTCACTGACTTGCGGAGACTAAACCTCTTTCGGTAATCAACTCGACGTTTGTCAGCAAACAAAACTGGAGTCTGACAAGGGGGGGACTGAGCAACGAGATCCCTCACGATTGAAACTGCGGCGACTAAACCCCTTTCGGTCAGAACACCGCAAGAAGCCAACTCTCAAGCGGGAGCAGCTCTCAAGTCTCTCGCGGATACGCGGGCGAAGCTCTCAGACCATTGTCTCCACCATTGGATCACTTTCATCTTTCCCTCCTTTCGACCTCACGGAGGGACCATCGACTCACTCAAGTCCAATTCTTCATGTCCTCATCACCCCAGTCCAGTCGATCTCGCACAAACATGCGCCAAAGCCTCCGGCGATCCTGTGCTGCGTGTGCAAAGTCTAAACACAGCTGCGACCTCCGCACGCCGCGGTGCTCCCGCTGCATCAAGCGCAAGGTCCTGTGCGCCTACGCCAACGAGCCCCTGACGGCTGCTCCGGCTGCTTCCGGGTCCGCACCGGGGGGTAGCGCAACATCGTCGCCGGGGCCTCCGCTGGACGGATCCGGTGCTTTGACCAACTATCGCTTTGGATCTCTTGATCCCTTTGATTCTTATCCCCAAACTAGACTGCCGCGGGAGCAAGTTCAACGTCTTATTCACAGCTGTATGCATTTCATGACTAAAACCATCGATCCACGTTTGGCTCATCAATCCATGTAGTTCTCCACAAGATCGCGTTCGAATACTACCCTCTAGACCTGAACGCGACGTCAAATCCATTCCTCGTCTCGTGGTGGCCGTTAGCTCTCGGCGATCCAGCATTATTTCACGTCTCTTTACAAACAGCATGTCTCGACGAAGAGTTGCTGGCTCAAAAAGGATTCCAGTCATCAGAGATCCTGATGGCGGATTCAGTTGCTTTACTCCGCCGGAAGGTTCAAGACGACTCAATGGCTATCCAAGATGGAACCATGAATTCAGTCATCACTTTAGCAGCTATCGAGGTGAGCTTTGGCTTGTCCATTCCAGCCAGAATGTCATGACCATTCGATGCTGTCGCATACTTACCACCTCTTCATGCAACAGTTTGGCAAAGGAAATATTCAAGTCAGCGAAATGCACGTTGATGGAGTGAAAAGACTTGTCAATATGCGAGGAGGCATTAACTCAGTGAGACAAACCAGTCCACTAACTGCAAGGATGGTCAGCTGGTACGTCGAAGTCAAACTTTATGGCACAACATTTGCGTACTAACGTTATCCGACCTCGAAGGGTGTCGATGATTGTCACTGGTCTGCCTCAATTTGAAACACAGAACGACGTAGGCGTTGGCGGCGGTGTCCCCACGCCTCCTGAATGGCAGATAGATCCAAGTGTTTTTGACAGCAATCTATCACATCTTGGTGATGTCAGGATCGAGACCGAGGTCGAAAACGTCTTGATACGGCTTCGGAGTATTTTCCGACGCGCGCAGCAAGTACCGCTACAACCAACAAGACTGCATGACCTTTCATGTTTTGTCATACACCGACTTCTGTTGTCAGCCCCGGAAGCAGTAGAGCCATATTCGGCATCTAGTGAAAGTATCCGACTGGCTACTATACTCTACATTTTCATTATCCAAGGTCCGACGTATTACTCGCACGCTGTCGTATTCAACACGATTGTCAATCGCCTGATGGAAAATCTGGGGGACCTCGTACCACACGCTCACTCCTGCAACAGTATCTTCGTTTGGCTTCTGACTATAGGCATGGTTGCCTCGCAGGGAACTCAACACTACCACTGGCTCACTGGCTTGGCAAGTGATGTTGTGGCATTAACCCGAGAGACGAGCTGGGTCAGTATACTTGCGCATCTTAAAGGTGTTCTCTGGCTGGACATAGTCCACGGCGAAGACATCTTCCGACCCCATTGGGAGACTATTTTCGGCAGTTCCAACTGAAAGAAAATTCATACGCCTGATTGAGGCTCAACAAAATATTTCAGTATTGACGGAACAAAATACGAAGCCGTTCAAGCTTAAGACATGACCGATGTTAAGTCGAAATTGGAGCGAGAAAGGGCCTAGGTCAATATCATGCAGGCAGACGAAGCCTTGAGATCTAAGTATGCCTTTTGATTTAAAGGCGGTGGGCTCCGCAATCAATCGCATCAACTGCGGAGAGCCGCGCATGGCTATGTCCCGTGTTCGCATTCATAAGTTCAAATTGCCTGCTTCTATCGCTGTTCATTCGAGAAAAGAGACATTAACCGATTCTACCCTCTTAAAGCAATCATGCTGCTGGCTGGCTGATATGTCCTTGGCGTGTTGGACCCATTTGGAACATGCCATCTGCACTGGTAAGGGGCGGCGGTTGGCCGCATACAAGCGACCTCGACTGGAGTTTCTCGTTTTTATTGGCCAACAAGAAGACTCAAAAGGGCGTTGAGCAGTCCAGTCACATCTCCCCCTCATCGAAATATTCCCGCTACAGTTGGCAGCACCTTCTTGCCATCCTCACATCATTCTTGAATCAGTGGATCAGACAAGATGGGTCTGAATATGAAGAAGAAGTTGAGGGACTTCATCCGTGGTCCAAAGAAAGATGACACCTCTAAAGAGCCACATCGTGCCCACCCGAGTCCACGGCAGCAGGCGAGCGCGTTGGCGGAAATGGCACCCAGCTCCTGCACCACCGATTCATCGGAAACACCGCAATCGACTTCAGCCAATGCACCACTTAACCCGCTCCAAGATGATATACCAGACGAGCCGACCGCGAAGTTAACGCCCCCAAAAAGCAGTGAAGGGTCTATTTGGCAGTTGTGGGACGTAGCATACCAAAACCTACGGTATCAAGAACAGAGTCTCGTCCAAGAGTTCGAGGACCAGATATGTGTCAACTTGGCTGCAGGCCTCGGCGCCGGCATACGTTCACATGCCGGAACGAAAGACTGGTTGGCAACGATCCTCAAGCACAAGATGGACCAAGTCAACCGGGAGTCTTGGCAGTTGAAATTTGGCAGCTCCGAGGTGGAAGTCCAGGATGTTGTAAAGCCCGTACTAGCTGTCGTCGACTGGGCCAATGACTTCGTTGCCAAAGCTCTGGTCTCAAATCCATACGCGTCAATTGCTTGGAGTGGTGTGAGCTTGTTACTGCCGGTAAGCTACTGCCTTTCACATTCGCTGTCTGTTCTTGAAGACTGATGTAATCTTGAATGATCTGCACAGCTGCTTCTCAATCCCTTGGATCAAGCCGCCGCTCTGGCCAAGGGGCTTGAGCATATATCGTCCCTCATAGTACGAAGCTCTATGTGGGAGGATCTGTATGTCCGGCGTTACGAGTCTAAGACCAGCAAGGCTTCGTCGGAGCCTCATGCTGCTTATAGACTCGTCTTGGAAAGACTGTATAGAGAGATCCTGAAGTTTCAGATTGTTTGCTATCGCTACCACAACCACAAGACTGCCTCTCGCATGGCGCTTGATTCTGTGAAGCATCACGACTGGGAAGAGCTGCTTGAACAGATCAAATATCACGAGACCGAATTCGACAAAGTAAGCAATCATTTGCGGGACCAGACGTATACAGATGAATGGGAGAACGCAGAGGCGCGACATCAACAAGCCATGAACCACTGGGAAAATATTGGCACGGATGTTTCCGATCTGAGAAGAAGGGTTGAGAGAATACAGAACGATAAGAAGCGCAAAGAATTGCTCAACTGGCTTTGCATCGTTGACCCTTCTGTGCAGTACAATGCCGCGCGTAGCAAACACCGCAGTAGCACTTGCGAATGGCTGATTAAAGACAACGAAGATTTCAAGACGTGGGAAACAGCGCCAAAATCCTTCTTGTGGCTCAACGGCAAAGGTATGGCATGCAATAGTCATATGATAGGTATGCACTACTGACGAGGCCTAGCTGGCTCCGGGAAGTCGATTCTCAGCTCATCAGTCATCAAACACTTGAAAATGCAGTCAGAGGAGGATCCTCAGGTTGCGCTGGCGTACTAATTCTTCAGCTTTGGGAACATGGAGCAACAAAAAGTACCCGTCATGTTATCTTCGCTCATTGGCCAACTTTGCGCGAGCCGTCCCGACACGCCACATTTGATTAAGAAGTTCGAGAATTATATTGCCAGGAAAGAGCGCCCAGACATAGAGACCTTTCAAGCCGCACTCATAGCTGTTGTTCGTGGGTTTTCAGCGGTATTCATTGTGGTAGACGCTCTCGACGAGTGTCCGACTCTTGACGGTGAGCGGCCTAGGCTGCTAGATTGCCTCAATTGCATCATTACTGCAATGCCAGACAATCTCCACATATTGTGCACTAGCAGAGCCGAGCCGGACATTGATACTCGAATGTACGAGATATTGTCTCTGCCGGCCAAGAGCGCCATCAATCTTACGGAGACTCAGGTGGGCTTGGACATAGACTTCGGCCTGTACATCGACTCGGCCATGGCTGCCAAAACGTACGAATTCTAGCCGATCGAGGTGAAGACCAAGGCGAAAGATGTGTTGATGTCAAGAGCAGATGGAATGTAAGTCAATGGAGCGAGGCAGACTGTAGCGAGGGCCTGCGGCTAACACCACTTCCAGGTTCCAATACCTTGTGTGCCAATTTGAAGTACTTCAACACTTGAATTCGGAAGATGCCATACTTTCAGCACTTGATGATCTCCTACTGGGACTTGACGAAACATATGACAGGCTGCTTCTAAGCTTGGACAAAGCTTTCCAACCCCAGATTCTTGCCTCACTGAAATGGCTAGCTTCGTCCCGCGAGCCGCTAAGTTTAAGGGACTTTGCCGAAGCATTTGTCTTACGTCCTGAGACTATTGACAATTTGGAGAAGAAGCGACTGTTTGATCCAAAAGGAGTTTTACGATATTTTCCTAGCCTCGTGACTACCGAGAAGCGACGTCATGAAAATTACTTTGAAATGGAGACATGCGTGCGACTCGCTCATTTCACAGTCAAGGAGTATCTGACTTCCGATCGCATCCAGCAAAGCCGTGCCAAACATTTCTATTTCACCGAAGAAATGGCTCACCTACATATCGCCCCCTGCTGTCTGTCCTACAATCTGTGCCGAAGTGCCGAAGATAGCATGGCTGATGATCGAGACCGACCTTTGTACAGATACGCTGTCCTCAACTGGGCATGGCACTTGGAGATAGTCCCGCGTACTTCATGGACGCCCGAGGTACACCAGCTTGCTAAGCGCGCTCTCTTCCCGGGCAATAAATTATTGGGAAGGCAATGGCGGCCGTACTGTTATACCGCTGCGCTCGGCGCTCTTGAGCTCACTAAATGGGTGCTTCGTGAAGATTCATGGGCCGGCAAATTTGTGGTACAGGAAGATCTCGGCATGGCCCTTGTAGAGGCAGCAGGGGAAGGAAATGTTCGGATTGCGCAATTTCTTCTCAACAAAGGTGCTGACGCCAATGCACGAAATAGTGCGGGTTGTGGTGCGCTACAAGTTGCAACAGACCAGGGCAACGTGGCGGTCATGGAAGTTTTGCTCGACAGCGGCGCAGATATCGATGCTCCTGATGAATACTTTGGGTCACCTCTGCTAGCTGCGGTCAAGAACTGGAGTGAGGCAGCCGTACGAATGCTGGTGAGTCGTGGGGCCGATGTACACAAAGCAGGGTGCTTCCTGTCGTGTCTTCTCACGTCTTATCGAAGAGTTACGCCTGGCACGTGTAAAGAGATATTGCAGCTTCTTCTCGACAACGGTGCTGGTGTTAGCTTAGTAGACGGCCGAGACGCGCTTCAAGTGGCATGCATGAGCTTGAATGGATCCACTGAAACTCAAGCCATTGCAATAATCGAAACCCTGCTGAGCATGGGAGCTGACGTGAATGCTCCAGGAGGAGGGCATGGTACCGCACTACACATTGTATGCTTTGGAAACAGATTCGGCCTCGCTCTGGCCCGTCTCCTTGTCGAGAAAGGCGCTGAGATCAACAAGTGGGGAAACCGTCATGGCACAGCATTGCACGCAGCCTACGAGAAAGGATCCCTAGAACTGATTGATTTCTTGCATGGCAAAGGCGCTGACGGTAGTATAACAGAGGGAGAACATGGCAATGCCCTACAGGCTGTGAGCGTTCGACGCATAAACGGGGGAAAAGATAATTTGAGGATCGTGAAAAACCTTCTCGAAAGAGGCGCAGATGTCAACGCTTTCGGCGGGAAATTTGGAAGCGCGCTTCAAGCCGCAGTTTCCAACGACCTCTGCAATATTGAACTAGAGAGCTTGCTACTCAGCAAGGGCGCAGAAGTCAACAGGCAGGGAGGGATATACGGCACAGCACTTCAAAGCGCTTGCGCAAGTGGCAAAATGGAAGCAGTGCGCTTATTACTTGACCATGGCGCCGAGGTGAATACTGACGGCGGAGAATACGGAACCGCCCTTCAGGCGGCCTGTGGATCTGCACATTGGTCCAGGTTTCACGATAACCCTGCATATGATATCGCGCGGCTACTGATTGAACATGGCGCCGACGTCCATGCTCAAGGCGGGAAGTTCGGGAGCGCCTGGCATGCTGCAGCCGCGATTGGCAGCTGGAAAACAAGTAGCAATGATTTGTTGAAGCTGCTCCTCGATCATGGCGTCGATATAAATGACGGCAGAGGTCGGCAACACGGCACTGCTTTGCAGGCTGCACTCGAGCGTTTTCGCGATCCCGGCGTCGTCGTCCCGAGAGTCCGCTTTTTGCTCGAACATGGCGCTGATGTCAATATGGAAGCCGGCCGGTTTGGATTCCCGTTACAGTCGGCATGTGTGCCAGCGCCGGCCACAGCGAGTGAGCTTGACACACGAACAAACATTAATGGCCTCGTATTTCTCCTCGATAACTGCCCGGAAATCGATGTCAACATGATAGGTGGGCTCCATGGCACAGCTTTACAGGCAGCAACGTGCACAGGCGATATAGAAGCCGTTGAGTTGCTGCTCAGGAAGGGCGCCGATACCAACACGACAGCCGGGCAACTTGGCACGGCTCTACAGACAGCAGCTTATGAAGGCGAGCCAGAAATAGTTGAGTTGCTCCTTGCGAGGGGCTCCGACACAAACATTCGGGGCGGAAAATATAGAAGCGCGCTCAATGCGGCTATCTTTAAAGGGTATTGGGATATAGTCGAGATACTGCTGGACGGCAGAGCAAGGCCAGATTGTCATCAGCTTCCCGAACCCGATGAAAAGTAGCTCGAATGTATTAGCAAGGAACATGGGAAGGGTGCTGTGGATCGTTACAGGAAGTTTTGGGATATTATGATACTCGAATGGAGTGAAGGCAAGGTGGTAAAAGGGCAGAATTACTAGTCATTTTCGGTTTGATTACGATTATTTAGAGCCACACGCAAGGTACTGAAATGGACGTCTTAGCTATTGCAGTCTATTGCAACATCGAGTTGAGAGCATTGGGGGCGTTTCTTCGGAGCAGACCGTGGACTGTCTCCGGGCTTTGGGGAATGAAGCAAGTAGGACACTCATTCTGACTCGGGAGAAGCGGTCAACCCACAAAATTACACGCAATTTCCTCTGGTCTATAGATTTAATAGCATTAAGAGGAATATTTCTTCATTTCCTCGTACAGAAACGGTAACAAGCTTCTTCAAGCCCGCTGTCGTTGGATTCTGCCGCCGCATACCGCTTTCACGTACCTAAGAAAGGAGAGCATCCGAAGTTTACTTTTCACCCGACAAGCCACCCTTCCGCAACACAATATCAACAAAACAACGCATACTTACCGAACCATGATTACGTTGTCGAGCTCATATAATAACATAGATGAATACGTAAAAGATCTCAGCGGATTCATTGAAACGCCTCTAGTCCGTCAGATTACTGGGGATATCCACGTCAACGACTCACTCATCTACGATGCCTGGGACGCCCTGCCCAGTGACTGGGCATCCTGGTGGGCTTCGTTTCCAGATCATCGCATAGCTCAACAAGACTTGATCGACAGCATCGAAGAGTCAGAACCCTCCTTGCCGGAGAATGACAAAGTAGATGAAGGCCGACGACATCAACCCTTGCCAGACAGGCCAGAGTCGCTGTCTAAGTGGCTCAAGAGCATCCGGTCCCTCGCCCTTCCACGAGACCAACGCCCCAACAAGACCATAGCACTTCCAGAGATCCTCACAGGTCGCATGAAGACCAAAAAGATTGCAGAAGTCTCCACCGCCGCAGCATACATCCACAACGTCTGCCAAACAAACAATATAACCCACATCATCGACATGGGCTCCGGCCAAGGGTACCTCTCAATCGCACTAGCCTACCTCTTCCCAGAGCTCCACGTACTAGCCATAGACGGCAGCGAGTCCCAGATCGCAGCCTCAAAAGCCTGCGCGGCTAGTCTCGGTATTCCCGAAAGCAGAATTCAGCATATGCGGCGCTACATCGACGGCACGCCACCTTTGGCGGATGAAATAGCTGCCTGGGCCGGACGGGAGAGGTGCATGCTCGTCGGCCTCCACGCGTGCGGCAATCTCTCTGAGCATATGCTGCGGTACTTTACCACGGTTCCATTCATCGTGTGTCTGGGTGCCGTCGGATGCTGCTATAACCATATCGTCCCGCGTTCCGCCAGTTGTCCTGATGGATTCCCTATCAGTTCAAAGATGCGAGAGGAAAACGTCACGCTGAGTGCTACGGCGCTTATGACGGGCTGTCAGGCGCCGAATAACTGGGAAAGGGCGGATCCGAGCAAAGAAGAGTCGGTGTATTCCAAACGGCGCTTCTACCGAGCCTTGTTGGAGAAGATTTTCCACGATAAAGGGATAAAACTCGATAAGGAGGATAGACCTGTGTGGGGTGTGCGGAAGGGAGACATGGCTAGCTTTAATGCGTTCGCACGCAGAGCAATGGGGTGCCTCAACATTGACGAGAGCAAAATCAGTGATGCTGACCTGTCGGTTTATGAGGCAAGGTATCGAGGGTATGAGGGCAAAGTGGCGATCCTTTGGACGCTCAGTGTCCTGTGCTGCAAGGTCGTCGAGAGCGTGATTGCTCTAGATCGGTACTTGTTCCTGACGGAGAACGGAGCGCACCATGTTGATGTTGTGCCGATCTTCAATTACAGAATATCACCACGGAATCTGATGCTGGTGGCTGATAAGGCATAGATTCGTACTCTGTCAGTACCTATACTAATAAAAATGATACAGTGGGAAATGACATAGCTACATGCGATATGGAGTGTGGCAGGAATTGATCCCAAACTCCATTCTTGGTCGACCTCGTATCTTGAACACACACTGCAAATAGGCCAGGCGCCGGGAATGAAGTGATACATTTCAGGCTATGCTTGAGCATCGAGATACTGTGAATCATGGAGCAACTTCTAACCCACGACATTTTGGTGTCAGGTCTGCGGGTTCAAGGGTCGGTCTCCTGAATACAATATATTAAAGCCAACTATCTACACAGAATCCAATACACAACACCCGAGATGTAATCTCGACAGACTTCGTTCACTCATCCCTTAGAAAAGGGCAAGGGCAGCAAGACCACACACAGCCGCAACAGCGACACCGAAAGACGCACGCCCAGCAGACGCAACCTGCACAACAGAAGGCAAAGGCTTTCCAGTAGCAGTAGGCACCGCACCGGTAGCAGAACCAGAGCAAGCAGTAGGGGTAACAAGCGAACCATCAGGTCCGTAGGGGCTGTAGCCGAGGCATCCGGCGTACTGAGCAGCGCAGGTAGAGAGGTTGGCGCCAGGAGCGCTGCGGCATTTGTTGTAGGCGTCGTTGCAGCCGGCAACGCAAGCATCGCCAGTGGTGGCGGGGGGGACGATGCCAGTGGCGATGGGAGGGACGGCGGTAGCGGTGCCGGGGGGAACGATGCCAGTGGCGATGGGAGGGACGGCGGTGACGGTGCCGGGGGGAACGATGCCAGTGGCGATGGGAGGAACGGCGGTAGCGGTGCCGGAGCAGGCGGTCGGGGTGACAAGGGAGCCGTCGGGGCCGAAGGGGCTGTAGCCCAGGCAGCCGGCGTACTCGGCGGCGCAAGTGGCACGGTTGGCGTCGGGAGCGCCGCGGCACTTGTTGTAGGCGTCGGCGCAGGTGGCGGCGCAGTCGGGGCCGGAGGGGGGCACGACGCCGGTGATGATGGGGGGCACGGCGGTGCCGGTGGGCATGGGGCCGGTGTGGGTGATGGTGCAGGGGCAGTCGGTGATGGTGAAGGTGGTGGGCTCCTTGATGGTGTAGGTGAACTTGCCGTGGTAGATGATGGTGGGCTCGGGGCAGTAGGTGGTGATGGCGGTGACGACCTGGGTGTAGGTGCCGTTGGTGAGGAGGGCGGCGACGGGGGCGACGGGGGCGTCGGCGATAGGGGAGCCGGAGGTGAGCTGGGCGGCGCTGATGATCAGGCCGGCCAGGAGGGGAGCCACGTGAGAAGACATGTTGTTTTGGGGTTTTGGTGGTGAAGACCGGTGTGGTGGAAAAGAGTGTGGTATGACTGATGTCAAAGTTGTGAATGAGTGTGTGGGTTGAGAAGGAAAGAAAGTTGAGTCTACAGGAGAACTTTGATCATGATTTATAGGACATCGAGTTGAAGCCAAGACGGTGAATTAAACGTAACCATTTCAGCTAGCGTTGATATCCAAGGGGTAGTTTGTTGGTAAAACTCGGATCACATCCGGTTTGGATGACATTTTACATTCCGATGCTGTTGTGTTTGTCGTGCCTCGCTCTCCAGCAAGAATTCAGTTAGTCGCGTCTCGTATTCTCTCCCCAAGAACTTCGCTCCTAGTCCCTCGTACTTTTGCTAGCGTTCTACCCGTCATGCTTGCCGACCGACTAACGCTCTACTGCATTCTTTCATCCTACAGCGCCTATTTTAATCTTAAAACGCCAAAGTCTTAGCCATTTTCCTGGGGAAGAGGCGAAGGAAAGGGGGCAAGTGTCGGCGCCGCGATGGTGGAATGCACGCCATCTCGGCTAATAGCCCATCAAATCACCAACGTCAATCGGGCGTCAATCGGACTTTGGTCTCACCCCAGAGTTCATCTCGGGCCGGAATGTTTTATCCATACTAACGAGTCACTGTCCGTGTTTCGTGACACTTTCTATTTGGCATGCCCCCCGCTTGGATGACACAGGTCATGGTCAGGAGTCAAGGGAGGACTTTCAATACGAGATTTATCTAATAGCCTTCTCATACGATGGTGATGGACCGACTGGCTCGGAATGGACTCCGACAGAGAACAAAATTTAGAAAAATTTTATGCTCTCACATTGTCAAGATGGTTAGGATGATCAGTTGCCTCGAATCATCTACCTTCCATTGAGTCTTTACCTAATGATAATCTTCGGCGGAACTTGAGTAAAATTGGGTGTTCCTTTCTACGTGAGTACATACATGGACAAGGGCGAACGCGGGCTGGAGAGCACCTATCCCACCATTTCTTGACACGCATTGCCAAAAAAGTCTTGCAGCGAAGTGTTATTTCACTGAAGTCATTGGCCAAATCATTCAAGGCCAAGAGTCTGGCCCAGCTTCAATCATACCCCGGACCTAAGACACAGAGAAACCCAGTCACTGCCCATCACCAAGATGCCTTCCCGACGAGCTGTCGCTAACCTCTGAGACAATGACATTAATGTGTGACAACGATTCAAATTATGTACACCACCATGCTTTTCACTGTGTACCCTCAACTCATTTTGCAGTGCCTCTGATTGAGGCACCAGTGCTGGCCTTCAAACCACGACCCCAAAATCGTTCAGGGGGCCGCTTATCGGCGCAGGAACCACACGAATACGGCTCCAATAGACCACGCCATGCTTAGGGTAGCATACCAGAGACGGCGGCTCACTTCCTCTCCCTGACGTGCACCTTCATCTTCATATCGTGTCTCGGCCTCGCCTCCATACCAACCATCTGGAAAGCCAAATCGCCCACCTTGTGATCGATATCCATATAATCGACCCTCTGCGTAGTCCCGTTCACAATGGTCTCGAAATCGAACCACCGCACCGTGAGCAACAACATGATGCGCAGCTCATCCATGGCCAAATCCTGCGCAATACACGCCCTCGGCCCGCGCTCAAACGGCCGCCACGCGAAGCGGTGCATATCCTTGGCATCCTCGCCCAGGAACCGATCGGGCCGGAAGCTCTTGCTGTCCTCGCCCCAGACCTTGGGATCCATGTGCGTCGAGTGCGCGCAGGGGATGACCATAAGGTTCTTGACGGGCCAGCGGCGGCCGTTCCACTCGAGGTGCGTCGTTCCGGGCGGGGCCTGGCGGATGGTGAAGCCGATGGGGAAGAAGCGGAGCGTCTCCTTGATGACGGCGTTGGTGAAGTCCATGTCGTTTGTCTTTTGCGGGTTGGCGATGAGCATCTCGATGGTGGTGTCGAGGTCCGGGGAGAAGTGCTCGTCGTGCTCGGCGCGGAGGCGTGCGACGACGTCCGGGTAGAGTGAGAGGAACATTGTGACCCAGGTGAAGGTGTCGGTGGTGGTGCCGTGGCCTCCGAGGAGGAGAGCCTTGAGGCTGATTTGGCTGTTAGCGAGGGTGAACATGCCATGCGTGAGTGATGATCAACTTACTTGGTAACGGCGGTGTCGATGAATTCGTCGTCGAGGCCCATGCCCGGTCCGCTCTGGATTCTGTCGAGGACGATACGGTCCAAGACACTCTTGACCTGTCGTCGCGAAGGCAACTCCTTCTCGTCCTGCAGGATGCGCAATCTCTCCTTCATCTCCTTGGCCAGGGTATTCCTAACACGGTCCTTGAGCGCCTGCAACTTCTGCTGCGCCTTGCGCTTCTTCCACGGGTTTCGGGTGCCGATGAAGGTAGTGGCGGGGTTAATCGAGTTTCGCAAATCCTCAAGCAGCGGCGAGCCAGATCTCTGGGCCTCGAGAGAGACACCAAACACAATCTTACCGACAACGTCGAAGATGGTCTTGGCTGACTCCTCCTCCATGTTGAACGACTCGCCCTTGGCCGCAAATGCGCGAAGACGCTCGTGGAAGATGAGGACCTGCTCGGCAATCATGCCGGCCATGGGCTTGACGTAGGTGGGCGTGAAGCCGGAGCCGACCATGCGGTGGTTGTACTTCCATCGGTCGCCGTTGGAGGCCGCGATGCTGTCCTTGCCGGTGAAGGGGCGCAGGAACTGCTCGATGGTGGGGTGCTTGGGGTAGGGGTTCGTGGTGAGGACGAGCTGGGCGGCGTCCGGGTCGGTGATGATGACCTGGGACTCGACAAAGGGCCACATGTCGACGTAGAAGATTCCACCGAGGTTGTACTTTTGCGCCATGATGGTGTAGATGTGCTGGGGGTGGGTGAAGAGCGGGAGGGTGGCTGCCAGCTCTTCCCAGATGATTGTGTGCGCCCAGATCCATGAGTGCTTTGGCGGTTGAGGCTATTGTGAGGAGACACCAACAGAGTCAGCATTGTGACTTTCATGAGCTGCATGCTTTGCGCCTGTCTACTCTGGTGCGCGCGCAGGATGCGGCGGAGTGAGTTGAAATCGGAGTGAAGCTCTTACCAATCCTCTGAACCTGGTTCTCATGTACACGGCCTTGAAAGCCCAGTACACGGCCGTGGCGAGAGCCACGCTGGCCGCGATCAGCCAGTTGGAAACGCCAAACATCGTGAGCCTCAAAGCTTGGGGGGTATCGCCCAGCTATTTCCCAGAAAGATGACGAAAGGGAGGGGAAGAAAACGAAACGAAAAAGGGACGAAAAAGCTCTTGCTGCCCACACGCAGTACAAAAGAAGAGAAAAAAGCTACGTAGTGAAAGAGATGGCGGGGTATTAGGGTCAAATTTCATCTACGACCTACCAATCCGAGGCTCTATGTAATGTCACATTCGGGACAGAATAACCAGAGGAAAAATGCCTCTCTCACTCTGACTTTTTTTTTTTCTTCAGCAAGGGGGGGTCTGTAAGTTTGGTCCTTTCGATGTGATCGTCCTCCCGCCAGTGCGTCTTACTGGGGGGAGGGGGTGTGCGATGCGTGAGAAGGTCGCATCTTATGGTGGATGGTGGGGTCGAGAGGATCAGATTAGATGATCTGATAAGATGATTGAGAGAGATCAGTGGTCCCGGATTGGATGAAGGCAGAACGACCGACAAGGATGGGAAGGGAAGGGCGTGCGATGAGTAAAAGGCCACGCAGGAACTACAGGAAGTTCCCGGAATTGGTTCCATGTCGTGATGAATGAGGGGCGTGGATGGTGGTCAGAAACGCCGTCGGCCCCAGTTTCAATGGCTTCAAGTTGTTTAGCGCGGGTTTGCAAGCTTTTCCCGGCGGACTCGACCAGTCAACGTGCGGAGGATTCATTTTTGTTTTGTCAACGGTCCGGTCCGCTCATCGGCACTCAGATTCGGTGACAATGCGGCGTTGCTTCGTCTCATCATTCAGCCACAGAAAATTGCTAGGTGGGCGTGATGAAAGTATCAAGTCGAGTGCACCATAAAAGGTCTCTTCATCGACTCTTATGGTTGCTGGACTTTGCACTTCCGCGGCCAGTTGATGATGTTGACGCTGGCTGAATGGTACGTCGTATCCATTATGTTTTTGCGTGCAGAGAGCTAGGCGGAATGTGGGTGGGAGTCCGCCGATGCGTGGCCGATGACCGAGGAACATTCAAGGATTCGAAAAAGGTTCGAATATGAGATGGTGCGCCTAGCTTTCATCAACCTCCATGAAATATCATGGGCAAACTTCTTCCCACCCTCACGCAGAGAGCTTTGTAAATCCGACCACAACTCAGGCTCAATGGTGTTGACCAGCTTCGCATGCCTGGCATTGAAGCTAGATGCCAGACTCAATGATGGGGAAATTTGAGAACCTCATTCTCGGAGACAATCCACCACACACAATCCACATCCCGCCGGTGGGATAGGTCCACGGGGCCTTGGTTGGGCTGCCGAATTGCGTCTTCTCCATCGCAACGGGGAGTCAGCGGGGAGTCAACACGAACTTCCAAGCCAATGCATGCTGCAGTTCAGTAGTTGTACCGCTTACTGCGCAAAGCAATCCAAGATTTTCGTACCGAGTAAGTAGCCCAATAGCGGCATCTTCCCGCGACTGTGAAGAGTTGTTCCCCGATTATGGCTGCTTGCAGCTTGAACTTTGGGTGGTCCACAGAGGAGCAAAAGCGAATGTGTACGGAGTACTCGGTGCGCGATGAGGGGCTAAGGTGGGGGAGAAGAAAAAGAGAAGAAATACCACTTCAGACGAACCCCCTGCTTCTTCAGCAGATGCTAAGCTTTCTTGGACAGCGGCACGGCGGCTACGATCTTGACAGCACCAACAAAGTTGAGCACTTCCAGTGTTGGAACAGGCTGGCGCATGTGAATACTGTGTTGGTAGGTAAGTAAGGTACCTTGCTTCATGCATATCTAACGGCAAAATGTCAGCTCGTCTGCCGTGAAACCCCAATTACAAAAGGTACTGGCTTATGTAATCTTAACGCTCCATGAGAGATTGAAAAGTTTCATCCCGCAAGCCACCTAAATCACAGCCGTTGCCATCCAAAGATATCAAAGTCTTTAGACAGGAGCCAAAAGTTCCGAAACCGAGAATCGAACTCGGGGCTATGCCTAACCGCTCAAGTGGATGAGAGGGCATCATGTTGGCCACTACACCATATCGGATGTTGATGTCTAACGGTCCAAGATTGACGCATGAGTATCCTGTGTGCTGAGAGTGGAGCTGGTGCCGGGCTTACCCTAGGTCTCTTTTCTCCAGGATGGTGCCAGTGACGGCATATCAGGAAAGCAGCTAGCCGCATCATCATCTTCTTCTCTGCCATGTTCTCTTTCAGGCTGAGGATGGAAAATGACCACGAAAACCAAGTCGAGTACGAGGAAAAGAGAAGGACGAGGATTAACTGTCCAACCTGCGTTCCAGAACTCCAACGCGGATGCACAGCTCATCCGACGGGGCTCTCCAAATGTTATTCACGGACAACAGAAGCGGTGTAATAACGGACGCAATCGGCTCCGGGCAAGTTCATTTCAATGGACAACCGGCGCGCGCCAATTGCCGTTGCCTATTGCCCCCGACCAAATCTAAAAATCCCAAGGCAGCATTCGATGTAGCCAAGAGATGCATCATGCATGGTTTCTTTGCCTTGCTGGGCATGCATCGCGTTCTCAGATCTGTCCAACTTGGTCGCCAGCCGCGCCACAAAGCCGCCCATCTCATCGGTATGGGCCGTAGTTCGACTGACCAAATTCTCCTTGGACAAAACCAACAAATACGCCCCGAAACAAAAGGATTATGACAAGAACTAGATTCGAACTCGCGCGTGTTTCCACACCAGCAGAATCAGTTTCAACCTGAAGCTGGCGCCTCAGACCGCTCGGTCATCTTGCCATGATGAGGATTGCAGAAGCGGGTTGGGACCCGCTGCGGAGTGAGGTCCGGCCGCAGGATCTCAAGACCACGCGGCGCAGCGGACTCCGTAAGCAGTGCCTAGCAGTGCACGAGGGAGCCAACGACGAGTACTCGAGAAAGCAGAGCGAATAGATTGCATTGGTATAAGGTATCTTGGTTCAAATCAAAACCGGCTATAAAAGTGGTATCATCGGATCCTCTGCTGTTGCGTCAACGTCCATCTCTGAACGATCATCCCGTTGTCTCCCACCAAGCTTAACCTTCCGTATTATCCTCATCAGATTTGTGTGAGCTGACTCGCTTAGGCAGTCTTCTTGCCGGTAGCGACCTGTCGACCTTGCGAGGTGTACCGGACGTAGGCATAGCCGCCGGCCGCGATGACGCCAATGATGACGAAGTTGCCTGTTGGAAAAAGAAGTTAGCAACAAAACGAAGAACAGCTATTTTGGTGATGCGAGACTCACTCAAGACGAACTTGCCAAGTCCGCCAACAACATCGATTGCGCCCTGGAATACATCGGTAATGAGGTTGACGAGACCGGTGAAGAAGCCGATGATGGTGTTGAAGATGGTCTGCAGGACGTGGTAGAAGGCGTTGAAGATGGAGGAGAGGAGCTCGTAGATGCTGCTAAAAAGGTCCTGGATCGCGTTGGAGACGGCCATGGTGACGGACTGTGATGGTGTTGTGGTTTTGGTATAGTCGGAGTGTCGGTTCGCGAATGAGCTTGAAATTCTGGATGCGAGCGGGCAAAGGTGAATAAAGGGGAGCTTCAGATTTAGCTCCAGCAGCTCCAAAAGTCGATGGAGATCTGGCCGCACCGTTGACTTTAAGCAAAGAGCCCACGCGGACGAAAAACAACGTCCTTGTGACGCGATGGGCGCTGCCGCCTAAGACTTGCCTAACCCCAAGCGAACCAAAGCGGCGGGTTGGGGGAGGCAGGAGCCGACGCCAGCGACTGCCATGTGTGGTCAGAATTGTCGCCCGTGACGTCGGCATCGTGACGTCACCAGCCACACCGGCAATCACACAACGTCGTTCCAGCCACGCACCTTCCCATTCGTGCCATTCTCACCAGTAACAATTGGACGGCAGGAGCAGGTACGTACTCTATGCACTACAACTGCCACAGGAAGGAGGGCAGAGCGGAGGGGTTCGTCCGGGCGGGAAGGAAAGGGTGGAAGGGAACCGATATTGTCTCTCGCTTGTAGCTGCCGTCATCACGCATTCAAGCCACCTTTTGCCCACGTGCCCCTGTCTCCTCAGCCCTCATCTTAGGAAAGGGAGGAGGTGTTTGTCCGGCCAGGAGCCCTGAGCACCTCAATCACCTCATGTACTTTTCACGTCCTAGGTACCTTATGCATCCATGTTTATTTCTGGCTGTCAGTGATTCAACGCGGTACCTTACATCTAACCCCTGACCAGATGTGCTTCATTCATATCCAGCCATGGTTCTCAGGGGATTGCAAGCTAGCAATCCAACCACTTAGAGCTCGTTGGTGTGTACGGCTTTGAAATGATAGGCTTCTAGAGGCGGTCCCTTAGTTCCGAGCCTACGAGTATTCCATGATATCCCCAGTCTCTTGGAGCAAAGAAGAGAGGGAGAGGTCATTTCAAGCCGTTCTAGCGCACTGCATCGGCTGAAACTCAATAGCTGAGAAAGAGCCTAGGTAGGACCAGCTGTCATATCAATGTCCGGGCGATAAGTTCAAGCATTGTACTGGGATGTATGTTTGTCTATGTATCATCTTTCTCATCCTTTATACATGAACATCATGCGCCATCTTCTTCCATCACACAAGAAACATCTATCGAACCAATACCCCAGGCCAAATAAGACCTCCTTAGTTGGCGGCGCAGTTGTGCGGGTTGCCAGTACCATCAGCCTTCTCCTTGGCTCCAATCCCGCAGAACTTGAGATCCTTGGTGTAGTAAACACGCATGGGACCAGGTCGGTTGGTAGTCCCCTTCTTGGCATTAAAGTCGTAGCGCTTGCCGTCTGCCAGAACTGGGAGCTCGTAGACAGTACCGGAGCATCCCGAGGCAAACGTCATCACGTTGCCCCTGTTGTCAAACGACTTGGGGTACCCGCTGGAGCCCGCGGTCGTCTTGGCCTCGCGGAGGTATCCGATGGATGTGTCGTATTTGACTGTTCCGTACAAGGCGCCGTCGTTCTTGGCTCCTGCTTTGCAGGTGTAGGACTATTGAGATCATTAGTTTTGATACAAATTGGAGATGGTAGGCAGGAAGGATATGAAGTAATTACCTGGCCGGATTGACGAGTCTCAATGGTGCCGTCCTCGCCCAAGAGAGGGGTCGGGCTGGCAATGCTGGCGGTGGCAGCGAGGAGAGTGAGGATGTAAGTGTAGGAAACCATCTTGACAAGTTGGCGGTGTTACTGAAAGTAATTTGCGAAATGAGTGTAGGAAATGGTTGAATGTTTCCAGTTGTAAAGGAGTGTAAGAGGCTTTGAAGTACCGTTGGATGAGGAGTGAGCTTGAGACTTCTTCATTTTTACGGTGCAAGACGACGCTATTTATCTCATGAAGCTGAGCACTTGTTGTTTTTTCTCTTCTAGGCCTCCAAGATGTCTCGAGGGAACTGGTCAGCCATGTTCCCGGTCCAGCCGAGTGAACGTGGTCTATGCTTACACTTCGTTGCGAGTCAGTGATGTAGCAATATACGGCCGCCAATATGATCTGCTTATATCTCAGAGGCCTAATTATATCCGACCCTAACTTTGGCTACAATCGGGACAAAATAACATGAGCTTCAAAGTTTCATGTAAACTATTTACCATATCACAACATAGGCTGAATTTGAAATGTCAACAGTTGCGTAGACTATGCCAAATGGCTCCCGCAACTTGATACGGCTTTTCGCAAAGATTGTTGCCCGAAATACTCCATTACTTTTGCATACGGTGTTGGTGAATCGTTACGGTAGATCTAGATGCTGAAAGCAAGTCGATATTTGCGTCCATCTCGATCGCTTACGGTTAGATGCCGGCATTTCAGAGGCTTCAAGTTCTTTTGCAACATCGAAGGAGTTGAGGGAAGGATTCCAAAGTAGCAATGAGCCATCTCAGTTCGGGTCTACATATTCCTTGACGAGGTGACTTCCACCTCCAAAGCATTGATATGTGAGTGGAAAACGACAAGGACATATGTGAAAGTTCCCGAATGACTGACAGGTGAGTTACCCTCTTGCTTCGCCTTAATACATCGGCTAGACGTGCCGAATGAGTGGGTGATTGACTCCGCCGGCCAACACCAGGCCATTTTTACGAGACTTTGACGTTGCCGATCATGGCACTGTATGTTCGCCGAGTTTTCATGGCTATCTCCGCCGAATGCAACCTTGCAGCGAGCGGGTTCATGCCCCCATAGCCGGCCTGAATGATGCGTTCTATGAGTCTTAAACAACAAACACCATCTCTGTTAGCCAAGTATGCCAAGCTACCAGTCACCATCTCATCAGCCGCAACAAGAGCACTCCAGGGCTCGCCTGACATCCGGAACGAGCGAAAGTCAAAGTGTTGATATTGCCTCTGGGCATGTTGCCAACGTATTAGTTTGTCAAATAGCTCAAACTTCAATGTCAGCTTGGTAACAATCTTCAGATAGACTAGAAAGCCGGGGTGTCTGTAGATCATGACCCCAAGAAAAGCAGAATAATCGAACGACCTTATTCTTCTGCCTGGAAACCTCTCTCTTCCGGACGATTCGAACATCATGCTTGGCACGGGACCGGGCATTGCCATCACCCCTTTTATCGATAACAAGGTTCATAGGATGACCAACTATAGCCAACATACCCCAAACAAACCACGTATTTAGACTTTGATAAACTTTGGTTGCCTAGCAGAAAACGAGCTCTGGGCGTCTGAAGTTCATGGTGCACCGGCGCCCCGGCACGGGTTGACGGCATGGCGCCGTCTGAGGGGAAAGGCGGTCCCCCCTTTTAGGGTTATGCAGGTGCCGACGGGGACGCCGGGTCCCGAAACATGGTCGCCCATCCTGGCACGCACTGCGGCCTGGAGGCGCCATCCCTGGGGCCTGAAGGGGCCTGGCGACTTTCCCTTTACAGAAGCCGGGTCTTTTATTTATGGGCTAGGGGGTGAACTCTGATCGAGAGTCTTCGCCGGATGACGGCAGCCTTACTTGAACTACCAAAAATCGATGCAGCTGTCTTTCACCGATGTCCGATTGACACATTATCAAGCAGTAGATTTAACAATATCTGGAAGGGAAAGAATCTCTAGCTACAACTTCATTTGGCTCCGGAAAGTAAGAGACACTCAACCGCAAAGTCATCTATTTCACAACCAACAATGTCGACAGTGCATCTTCAGCTAGAAGACCCCGGTGCGCCTCCATTCGCCGCCAGAGTCGTCGAGATACTCAATTCTGCCTTCGACTCGAATAATGCTATCTCGGCCGAAAAAGCCGCCGCGGCAATAAACTCACTCTTCATTTCAGATTACGAGGAGCATGCTACAGCAGGTTCTTTTCTTTGGTGGTTCTGGGACCTCATGCATGACCTAGCCCGCCAGGTCCCCAACGAACAGCCTGAACAAGACCAGCTAGCGGCAATCATCAAGGCGCTCCTCAGTCTACCACCCAAAACGGTAATTCTGGGCGAAGACTGGGGAGGTGCAAACGAGAGCTCGATCGATGTGTGGAATGGTCTTCCCATGTTTGCGAATACCTTGAACGAGACGCTCAGTGATGGTGAGATCATACCCCGCTCCTATTCTTGCAACTACCTTCAAACAGTCCTACCATCACAAAGCACTCGCTAATATGAGACCTCATGATAGGAGATCCAAGAGCTCCCAGCGAAGAAGCAAGAAAGGAACGCCTGGTCAGCCTGCAAGCATACGCAGCCCGAGTCGCAGGCCTAGGTCTCGTCTCACTAGAAACAAACGCCATATGGGCGCTCGTAGACGCGCTCGAAGGCACCGTCAAGCCCGTACGCGGTGCTCCAGACGAGATCAACTCAGATCCAGCTGCCGTGGAGAACATCACACACAAGACACGTATTGCCGCAGCTTGGATGATCCACGCCGGCCACCTCTTACACGGGCGCGATGAGGTGGTGAGCGGGGCGACAGCTGGACCCCTGTGGAAGCTAGATAAGAAGGAAGCTGTGAAGTCGAGGCGCAAGTTAAAGGGAACTGATGGGCTTTGTCCCGAACGGTGGCAGCTGTGGAAGGAGAGGTTTGCGGTTATTCGGGACGCTGAAGGGCTTGATGAGGGGGCGCGGAAGGATGCTGGTGATGCTTACACAGCAATGGAGAAGATTGAGAAGGGATTGTAGGTATTAGTTGATTGCATGACCGAGGACAAGACACTACCTTCTCTTGTCTGCCCCTCAACTCTCTTACCACTCAAGGGGATATTCTTTAATGCAGTGAAGTAATTGAGCTTCGATGCTTATCTTTCAGGTAGCGTTGTAAATTCATCCCCAGTATAGGATGTTCGTAAAAGACTTTCTGGCTCTAGCTCTTACACACCGAGCTCCCACCTCCAAAATCCCCCAATATTATCTCCTCAATCCTCCGAAAGCCTCTCGACCAGGGTTTTCCAATCCTTCGGATCACTGCCGGGGTGAGCCACCTTCCAAATCCCGACTTAGCCCAGTGCCCAGCTTACAGCCAAGATTCTACGGATCCTGCTTCCCCTTCAACCTCTCTTCAAAAAGGTTTGATGGATTCAAGTCATGGTCTTGGGTCCTTCTAGTTCTCCTCTGGCGAAGGATCTGAAGGATGAGAAGAGATAGTGAACAGAATTGACGTTAACCGCCTGGAATGGGCAAAAGTTTAATGGCTAGGCCGCGTATGGGGAAAACAGATTCTGGAAATATATAAACCAGCGCGTTTTTCAACTCACCGAACTGGTTGGTGTCAATCATAGCAGCGTATACTCAATAGCTTTATCCACCAAAATTCTGCCCATATCAACAACAAGCTAAGATGAAGGCTGCTATCTTCCTATCCGCTTTCGCTGCCATCATCGCCGGCGTCAACGCTGTCGCCATGAGCGAGAACCAGCATGCCGTAAGGGCACTCGTGAGCACATCCATCTTCAGAGGACAATCCTGCTCAACAAATGCTAACTGATACCCTGTACAGATTGAAGCTCGCTGCCACTGCGACGGCACCTGCTGCAACGGCTATTGGTGCACCGATACTGACGTCGGAACTTGCTGTAACGACGTGCCTTGCTAGGTTCTCTGAGGTAGATGGAGGAGAGACGTCAGACCTGCGCTGGTTGTTCGCTGCATTTCCAGTCTTTCGTGTACTTCTAGCTACTAGTATGTACAAAGTATAAACTATTCTCAATTCGCTCAGACAACAAGAACTCACTCTACAACGTCCTCCTACCCTGATGAAGCAATGTCCTCCAAGTGACCAATCCTTCCAAATTCTCAGAACACGTCCTTAATCGACATGAGACCTCTACCTATCACTGCTTATAACATCTGGGATGACGTCCGGTTTGATAGTCTAGCCTATCGTCCCATTCCCAGGGAGCCCAATACTCCTCCCATCATAAGCCAACCTCCACCGCCCACTGTCCCAAACATCCCAATCCCCCATCTTTCCAACATCCCCATTCAACCTCAACGCCCTCACCCTCCAAAAATACGCACCGGGAGGCACATACTTCCTATCCTCCTCCGACCCATCCCAAACCCACCAACTCGACGGCGCAGCCCAATTCTCTGCCCCTCCCCTAAACGTTCCAGTCAAGACATCCTCGCCAGTGTCGGCGCTGACAAGGTCGTAGGTATACTCCCGGCTCGCGGTGACAAACACCTTCCTGAACCCGGGGAAGCCGAGGTCGCAGCTTACAGGCCACGCTGGCTTTGGGATCGTACCGTTGAAGAGGCAGGTGAAGAGTGTGTCGGGGGCTACCTCCGTGTCGATATTTGTGTCGGGGTCGACTTTGACGAGGTGCGATGCGTTGGGGTTGATCATTGGGATATCGACCAAACGGGCGCCGAAGCCTGTGTAGGGAACTGTGAGCGTGTTCGCCTCAGACGCAGAGGACACGATCTCGATGAAGCCTCCGAAGGAGATGCCCCTAGACGTCGCCGGGAGCGCTGGGTTGGACCGAACGGATACCGAGATGGTTGCAGATCCGCCCGGGACAAGCTCCACCTCTGCCGGCGAGATATCCACGTCCGCATACATCGGATGCCCTTCCGCGCCGGACAGGCCGTACGGGTCCGCCTCGCTCAGGATATACCCCGAGGCCGCACCCAAATGACTCAACTTGTACTTCAGAGTCTCCGTCCCCGTATTCCTCAGACTGAAGTCCAGCTTCTCCGGACGATGCGCCGTATCATTGAAGTCCAAGCTCGAGACATTCACAACGGAAACGGTGTGAACGGCATCCCACGCATCGACAAGCCCACCGCCCTGACTGAACACTGGCGCTAAAAACTCCTTCTTCTGCCTCACATCATCAATGAACCGCACCGGCTTCGCGGTAGAGGCCACCACTGCAAGAATCTGCTGCGGATCGTAGTCCGGATGCCGTTCCTTCACCAGGGCGTACACGCCCACGGCAAACGGATTCGACATGCTCGTCCCGCCGACAACAGCCACACCCCCAAATCTTGGCAGGAAAGCACTAAGGATATTCTCCCCCGGCGCGATGAAGGACGGATAACTCTTACCCTCGGGTGTAGGACCCCAGCTGGAGAATCCGGAAACGAGACCACCTGAAATGTCATTGTCTCGGTAGAGCACCTCTTCCTGCGCCTCAGAGATGTTCGAGGGGACGGATATCCGTACGGAAGAGCCGTTGGAAAGTATTCCTGCAAGGAAGAGTCCATCCTCATTGGAGATACGAGCAATGCCCTTGTAATCCCTGGAGTACTCTGCAAACCCAGGCCGCCACTGCATTCCATCAACGACGGAGGCCGACGCAGCCTGATACCGTAACACGTACGGAATCCCCAACCCAAGCGCGAGCCGAGTTGACGTATTTCCAGGGCCCAACCAGCAGTGATCTTCCTCGATGAGCATAATCGTATTCGCCGGGTCGGTAGGAGGTACAAAGCCCCCCGGCACAGGGTTACACCCCTCCGGCAACCCTTCCGCGGGACCAGGACTCCATAGAGTGAGGTTATTCCCAGCTGGAAAATTAGCAGGGAACTGCGGCGCGTAACGAATAAAGCCAGCCTCATCTCCAGATGTAAAGTTGGCTCGCCACGTGTAATACGGTGTCGCAGAATTATCCGCTGATCCTATCGCCGCAGCACCTCGAGCGTTGGCGGGTGATCCGCCCGTGAACAAGCCAGGCCCGTCATTCCCAGACCCAACCGTCACCGCCGTTCCGTTCGCAACAGCCTGGCTGACCAAACGAGCGACAGGTTCTGATGAATTACCCAACGTTGTTAGCTTCAACATGACTCAGAACCTGGCAAGATTCTCGTGAATAGTTGTGGACTCACCCTCTTCAAAAGCAAGCCCGATCCCGTACCCAACCATGATAAGATCAACCCCCTTGCTACTAGCACTCTCAATGGCAGCCATAAAATCATCTAACCCACCCGGGACAGCACCTTCACACGGATCAAGTCCATACAAGTCAACCGTCACATTCGGCGCCACACCCACGACGCCAAACTTTCTTTCCTCGCTCTCGGCAGCTATGATACCCAGCACATGCGTCCCATGCAAGAAGTTGATGCAGTTATCGCCCGTAAAGTCAAACGCGTCCTCAACGTAGTTGTAGTTATACGTCACTCGCGTTTGAGAAAGCCCAGGAGAAGCAAGATCGAAGCCCGTGTCGATTACTGCGATACGCATGCCGGTTCCGAGGGTGCCTTCGGCGTGGAGGCGCCATACACCTGTGTCGTTGTGTGTTGGCAGGATGGGTGATTCGTACAACCCACCGTTGGTGGTCGTGGTGCCTTGTCGTTTGACCATCTGCGATGTTCCTTCTGGGAGAGCTCCATGTTGTTGTTGGGAACGTTGCTGTCTGTGTTGAGGTGTTTGATGACCCCGCGAGGCGGAAGAAGCCTTCTTGATATCGTCTAGGGATTGAATCATAGGCAGAATTCCGCTCCGGACTGTTTGCCTGTCTCCCTCGCAGGACAAACCGAATGAGAGACCGCGGAAGGATGGGGAGCTGAATGTGTGACGGCGGGTGACTATGCATTCATAGTCGATCAAGCGTTGTTCTATGGTGTTGAAAATAACGTCTGGGCTCTGGAAGGGCAAGTCAGTCCTGTAGGACAACGAAGTTGGTGTGTTTTACATTTGATGACATACCTCTTGTGCGCCTTCCGTAAACTCTACCAGAATGATGCTCGGGACCTTGTTGGTAATAGTATTTTGCTGTTCGATGGCCAGCGCAAAGGCCACCGCGAGGTGGAGCAAGATGAGTAAAACCCTCATGTTCGAAACGATTGACTGGAGAAAAAAGAAAAATACAAAGCCCATGGCTGATTAGGTAGTCGATGAAGCTTCTTTTGTAGTTCGTCTGATATAAAAAGACGTGGGTAGAGTGAGGACAGAGTTGCGAGATACCCCACGCGTCCCGCGGACGCCATGTAAAACCCCCTGACTGCCGAGAAAACCATCAAAACTCTATGAAGAAGATTGATTGAAATCAACATGGATATACCACTCCTGTGAGATTGTGACTCGATAATTCGGACTGTTCAAGACTCCGTCTGGGTAGTTAGTTAGGTGGGTCACTATGAAGGGTAGTCAGGGGGTTTAGCTACTACGTGACAGCAGACTGGAGTAATAATATGGAACCAAAACTTCGATGCAGCAATAGTAGATAAAGATGATATTTGCGCCAATTGTTGGCGTTGGCAGGTTACGCTGCAATATGAAGTGGTAAACCGAAAAGTGATCTAATGGAGAAATCCAACGCTTGCTCTATCGCTTTCTTTGTGCAGCAACAACTCTGATACATTGTGCATCGTAGCCCATTGGCTATATGGGATCAGACTCAAAATCAGTCTGCAACGGCAGACGCTATGCCATTTTTCTTGTAGTTGTATCGATCAGTCCGATTCGGCCGAAGCCTCGGGTTGGACCCGTTCCTCCGACAGCTTCGGGTTTCTCAACGCGAAAGCAAAGCCGACCATGGGCACGCAGATGCACAGTCCAGCAATGCACAAAAGCCTTTGAACACCACGGTAGCTGTCAATGATGGCGTCTCTGATTTCTCCGCCGACCGGGTAATCTTCCATGGTTGAGAATGGCGAGTTGTAGACCAGTGCCGCCAGGGTTTTGTTCGGCTGGAACTCGAGGTTGGACTCGAGAGAGGGGTAAAGAAGCTGCGTCCACATGGCCCCTGACAGACAGTTTCCAAGGGCGCTCCCGACGTTAAAGATGGCGAGGTAGAGACTCGTAACGACCGCAACGTGCTCCCGATCGGATGATGCTTGAATGGAGGCCTGCGTCGGGTACGCAAACAGACCACCCGCCAGGCCCATGATAATTTGTCCGGCAATAAGCCCAGACTGCGAAGGAGAAGAAGCTCCTCCAGGGTATAATATGAGAAGTCCAAAGGAGGCCGTGAAAATGCAAGCGCCAGTAATGATGATGCCCTTGAGTCTTCGAATCCTATAAATGACAACGCCCATCAAGACACCGCTAAAAACGCCGAAGAAGGAGAAGAATGACAAGATGCGAGTGGCCGTCTCGATGGGGAAGTCAAAGGCCACGACGAGAACGGTGTATAAGTAGTTCCCTTGCGTCGACCAGGCAAAGTTGAGAAGACTGCGGACGGCCAAGGCGGACCAAACGCCACGATCTCTGAGGAGGCGGAAGGGGATGAGCGGGACCTGGGCGTAGCGGCGCTCCCAGAAGATGAACGCCGGAATGCAAAGCAGCCCAAAGGCAAGCGGAATGATGATTCCCGGGCTCTTCCAGTGGCTCACAGTTCCTCCCGCCAGAGTCAGTGGTGCTAGGGTGAAAGAGAAGGCGGTAATGAGGATAGCGAGGCCGATGGCATCGAGTTGATGGAAGAGGTCGACGGTAGCCTTCTTCGACTCGGCCTGACGATCAGCCTTTCGGGAGCGTTGGCCAAAGGTGTAGAGGCTAGTGAGGAGCGGGATGGAGCAGATGGGCAGGATGATGGCCCACATTCCAATGCCCCAGCGCCATGATGTGACTCGCAAGACAGCTGAGGTGACGTTGCCGCTGATCCAGGTGTTGAACACGAAGGGGATAGCGGGGATGTAACTGAAGAAGACTCGAGATCGCATCGACGAGAAGTCGGCCACGAGGACCTCAAGTAGGAGGACGATGCATGTCCAGCCAATCTGGTATAGAACGGCACCGAGGCAGAATACTTCCACCGAAGAGGCACTGGCTTCGAGGGCGGTCCCGACGACATAGAAGAGTATAGAGGCAGCGATGGTCTCAAAGCGGCCGTAAATATCGGCGACCTTGGCCGCGGTGGGCTGCGATGCCACGGCGATAACACTCCGCAGCACGTTGATGGTTGAGTGGGATGAGTGGAGGTTGAGGCTTGAGGTGGCGTAGGGCTGGTAGGTTCCCCGCACCTGGCTGTCGAGACCATAGGCGTAGCCGACCAGGAAGATCCCGACAAAAAGCCAGACGCGCTCGGCACTGCTGATCTGGTTCGCGACGGTATCGGAGTGTGCGACGCCGCCCGAGGGCGCATCATGAGAGTGGAGGGTTGCGTCGGCTTGGCTCGGTGCTCCGACGGTGAGGTCGGACTCGAGGAGCGGCGAGGTCTCGCGGCCCGGGGAAGGTCGGCGCTTCGACCATAGTTTCGACATTTCTCTGTCTCTTCTTGTTCTCCCTTGCGTTATTCGATATTGGCGAAAACCTTATGTCTCGGTACTTCTGTAACGCGCGCCGCGGGCGGAGATGAGGTAAGGGACTAGAGGTCTGGGCAACCTCTTTTCGTGATGTCTCGTTTACGAAACGTCCCCGTGCAGCACACCGAGTTTAACGATGGATGGAAGCTCGCGACCGTAGCATGCGCAGTCATCGGCGGGAATAGGGAGAAAGATTCTTCTCGGCTGTGTATCCGTATCGAGCGCCTGCTCAGGAGGGTCAGTCAGCAGGGGTTATTTGCGTAGATAGTACATAGGTAAGTTGAGAAAGATGGGTGTTACTTAGGGTCTTCGTACCTTTGCGAGCTCAGAGATTCGCAGATGGATGGGCAACTCGGCCGCAGAGGTCCATGAGAAATGATGCAGAAGCGATGTTTGGCAGCAGCCCTACCCTGCGGACATGATGTGAAAAGATGTGCAGGCAAACAGGAAGGATTTCAGTCAACCACCCACAGCTGGCATTCTGACACCCCGGGCCTCATGATCAGGGGACCAACGAATGCTCTGTCAGCAGGCTATGCAGGCGTGGCAGTCGCGGGTAGGCAGCACGGCAGGCGAGGACCGGAGCCTGAGGTGAGGTGGACGGGGAAAGTGACAACACATAAGTCCCTCCTTCCTTCCTTCCGGGTTTAGGTACCTGGCTGCACCTGCCTACCTTACCTTTTGGTGCCTTCCTGAGGTGACCGATCAGATTAGATCATCTGATAAAGAAGGCACCCCACCAGCACCGTGGCCAATCACGCAATTCGGGATCGTCCGTTGCCCGCCATAAGCGCCGATTTTATCCGTGGCCTTCTGCATTCTTGGAACACAACATACAGTGGCGTAAAGTCAAAGTTGAAGAGCGTTATTGTCTCTATAAAGATCAGTACATGATAACGCCATGTCTGTGGTATCTGATTGCAGATAGTGAACCAGTGTCTCTGAAGAGCAGGGCAATGGGTATCACATTCTTTGCTGAGACTCACCTGCCATTCGTCATATTGCCCCGCTAAAATGTCAGCTCGGCCAGAACCTCGGGTTTTCGGCACATGACTCCTTAGCCCGACCTTCCTCGGCGAAGCTAGAGCATTGCATGTTATCCGGTGTACATGGCGCTCCAAGTGGGATGATGGTACTGCACGTAACAGAGATGGCTTCTCTGCACGGAGACAATGCACAAGGTACCTCGAGGTTCACCTAGAAGGAAACAGAAACTCAACTTTGAGTGTTCCCTTCTCCAGATGCCCACAGCGGGCGGGAAGCAAGCATTAGGGGTCTTCGGATGGCACCGAGACATCTGCGCGCCCACTACTGATTGGCGCTTTGACTCAGCCGTTACGCTAATTGGACTTTGTCCCAAGCCCCGAAGTCCTAAAGCCCACAACTGCAACCACGCTATTACGCACGATGAGATCCTTTCAAGGTGGTTGTACATAGGCAGCTTATCCGTCAGAAGTTGCAATTGTATCCATTTCTTCTTCATCCACTGACTTGATTGAGGCTGAAAGATCTATACCCAATACCCATCAGATCGATTTGAGATGCTCACGATGCAGCAGCGTCATTGGATTCTGGAAGCAGGTCCCAGCAGGATACACTACATCCTACCAGTCATCCATGTCGCCAAGACAATCTCCCGATCTTCCCTGCGCTAAGTCATTACTTGTTGAGAAGGGAGAACGGCACACTTGAATCAGCGCAAAGAGCAACAGGGTATAGTTCATCTCTGAGTTTCCGGTAGTTGCGCTTGGTTCTCAACTGCACGCTGTCCTGCAACATTGATGCCCCCCCGAACTATGTATCCCGTTCACGCGACGATGGGATCACACATTGCGAGTCTGTCATCCCTCTTGGCAGTTGAACTCTTGAAATACCTTGAACTTCTTTGGTTTTATTTTAATCAAGCTGCACCCTTCTTCTAACAGGTAGGTGCCCGAACTACATCACCGTCTTATGCCGCACCGCCGCGACCACCGACACCAAACTGGGCCTGAGCCTCTGCAACTCCGGCCGGAATTGGGGGCAGCTCGCGTCCACGGCCCGTGGGCAGCGGCATAAACTTGGTCTCGGCCAAGAACCGCAGATACCGTCCAATGTCCTCGCGGGTAATACCCTCACCCGCACTATCATCAACCCCAGTCCAGCGCTCAGCATCGGCCTTGAGAACAGCAACGGCATTTCTGTCATCGAGTTCGGGTGCGCGCGTCGTCGAGGGCAGGTCAGACGTAGCCATGTGGAACAGCGGCATCAGCGCGCTCTGCTCCTGATCCTTCTCGACGGCACCAGCCGACACAAACTCTTCGAGCTGCGTCTTCCACTCCTCATAGTCGACCTCGGGGACGTCGTAGCCGTAGTAGCTCAGCGTCGAGAGGAACTCGTTCATGCGGAGGCGCGGGTGCGCCGTCACGTGGACGACGTTGACGCCGGGGAGGGGGTTGAGTCCAGCGGCGATGACGACACGGGCGACGTGGTCTACAGGCACGGCGTTGACTGAGTTGACGATGCGCGGGCGGGCCTTGAGCTGGACACAACCCTTGCAGAGTCTGATGAGGAAGTCATCCGTGTTGGAGACACCGCCATGACGGCTACCGAGGATGTATCCGGGACGGATGACGGCGCCGCGGAGGCCGCGCTTACCGGCTTCGCGAACAAGCTGCTCAGAGACCTGCAGAATTATCAGCTTCGTTTCGAGAGTTCAGTCATATTACCTAAACATACCCATTTGGTCTGGCCGTAGCCAGTACCGAGACCACTACGGCTGCCCTGCAAGTCATCCTCCTCAAGGACCGCTCCGCGACCAGTTGCCGTCTCCTTGTCAGAAAGGTTGACGTAGTGCTCAGTATCCAGCGTCGAGGTAGATGACACAAAGGACAAGATCTTGGGCTTGCCTTCGTTGCAAAGTTTCATCGCGTCAATGGTAGACAGGACGTTGCTGCGCATCATCTGCTCATAGCGCGCAATCCAGTGCACGTACGCCGCGTTGTGGACAATCACGTCCGCCTTATCAGCGACTTGCTTCCAGCTGGCATCGTCCAGGCCGAGACGCGGCTTGGACAGGTCACCAAGAACACAGTCGATTCTGTCGGCCCATGAATCCTGCCACAAGGCGTAGCCCTTGAGTGATCTTGTGAGGCGCTCCTTGGCAGCAGCAGTATCCTTGACACCACGAATGTGCACGAGGAGCTTGGTGTTCTGTCTGCTAAGTATATCCTGAACCAGGTACGCGCCCAAGAAACCAGTGGCACCAGTGAGGAAGAACGTCGCACCGGCCGACGGGCTCAAAGCCGCCGGGTCGGCGCTCTGGTACTTGGCGTCAAGAGTGTTGACAAGCTCGTCCAGCGACTTGGCGTACACTGCTTCCGCAGCCTTGTCCACCATGGGTGCCTGACCGCTCTTGAGGCGGTCAATCTGGGTGCTCAACGCGCTGAGTGTCGGGTTGGCATAGAGGACACCAATGGTAATGTCGACGCCCAAGTTCTTGCGGATGTTGAGGAGGAGCTGCTGAGCCAGAAGACTGTGCCCACCGCAGTCAAAGAAGTCCGACTCGGACCTGAAATAGGTTAGCTTCGATTTGTATACATCGTAGTCGATGATTGAATCCACTTACTTGATCGTCTTCTCGTTCAGTCCCTTGATGAGGGTTGCCCACTGCGCGGCAACGGTCTTTTCCGTCTCAGACAGAGCCTCCCAGCTCTTGAGGTCCTCTTCTGAGGCATCCTCCATCATCTCGGTGGTATCGGGGAAAGGCAGAGCCGGGGTATCCACCTTGCCGTTGGGGTTGAGAGGGAGCTTCTGCAACACAATGTACGTGGAGGGTACCGCGTAGACTGGCAGACGAGCCTTGAGGTGGTCTCGCACCTCGGCCTGGATCCTGCGGAATCTCTTGAGGTATACCACGCTCGATCCCATTTCAACGCCCTCGTCTTCGACGTCCTCCTGGTTCTGAGCCTCCAACCAGCGCTTCCACTCCGCGATCTCAGGCACGATGTAGCTGACAAGATTCGGCTCCTCGTTACGATCTCTGCGAACAAGAGTCTTGCAGTCTCTGATGAGCGGGCTTCCTCCCAAGTTGGCATCAATCTCGTTCAGCTCGATACGGAACCCACGGATCTTGACTTGCGAATCGATACGGCCAGACACCTGCACAGCTCCCGAAGGGAGGTACTGACCAAGATCTCCTGTGCGGTACAGTCTGTCGCGGGGACCCTTGTAATATTGTCGCCACGGCTCGCCGTTTGCGCTGGCCTTGTCGGCTTCCACCCACTTGGCGTTGTCGACGAACCAGTTCTCAATGAACTTCTCTTTGTTCTTCTCTGGCTCGCCGAGGTAACCCTCAGCCAAACCAGCCGCTCTGATGTACAGCTCGCCGACCTCGCCGACGCCGCACATCTTGTTGTGGTCATCCCGAGAAACAACGAGGACTTGAACATTGTGCATTCCCCAACCTGCGGGGACGACATCACCAAGTGAGTCGAGAGCTGTCGGGTCGGCCTCGGCGGAGGGGATCTCGAAGTAGGAGACCGCTCTGCTAGTCTCGGTGGTGCCGTACATGTTGACAATGGCGCATGAGGGGCCCAACTTGCGAAGCACCTTGCAGTCGCGAGTGGTGAGGATATCTCCAACGAAAAAGACGTGCTTCAGGGAAGGGAACTTGGCGGTGGCTCCACCGACCAGAATTTGTCCCATGGCAGGGGTCAGATGAGTTACAGTGGGTGACCAAGCGTTCATCCACTCACTCAACTTCTCGTGCTGGATATCTTCCTTGGCAGGAATGAGAAGCTGAGCGCCGAGGAAGAGAGGCGTCATGATATCTGAGCGACTAAGTCAGCATGAGTGCCAAGATCTGGGGCCAAGGGCTATTATCACCTCGCTGAATGGGGTCGTGAGCGATACCAGACAAGCAAGCGAAGACGCTCTCAGATGAGAGGTTGAAACGCTCTGCCATCCATGGGAAGTATCTTGTCAAGCCGTAATGACGTCCCAGCACAGCCTTGGGCTTTCCTTCGCTGCCAGACGTATAACTAAGGGTGGGGTTGGAGTCGGGGCCGACGATGACGTCGGGGAGAGACGAGGCCTTGGCTCTTACACTGGCAAACAGATCTTCGGTATCTTGTTCGCCGCTAGACAGCACGCCGGCGTCACTGAGGCGAAGATTCGGGAGCTGTGTCTTGAGGGATAATTCCTCGTCGATGTACTTCTGTACTACAGGAGCAAGAGGACTAGAGATCACAGGTCAGTAAACTGCAAAAAGACGAGACACGCTGAGGAGGGGCTGGCGGAACGGCAGGTACGTACCCATTCTCGTCTACGGCCTTGCCGATAGAAATCAGAGCCTTGGGTTGGGAAACTTCCAGATAGACTAATCAAGTCAGCAAGACCACCTGTTTGACATGGAACATAGTACTAACTCTGTTGTCTCTGAGGAGGATAGAGAGGATCAAGCACCGTTACTGTAGCTCCAGCAGCCTATCAAAGTGAGTCAACGCGCGCAGCTTGAGCGGGAGGCTGGCGGGCCATACGAGGGTTCCCATGAACGCGCAGACCAGCTCAACCGAACGGTGAGCAAAGATCATTACAACGTCTCCATTGGTGATTCCAGCATCATGCAAGTGGTTGGCAATCGTGTTGGACGCCTCGCTGATTTGGCGATATGTGAATGTCCTCGTTGGCGTCCTTGTCAAAAGGTCAGCAAGCGTAGGGCAACACGTAGCAGCGCTCGGCTCAAATTCTGCTTACGTCTGACTTTTAGTCTCGGTCACGCAGGGTCGGTCGGGATGCGACTGAGCATTTTTGTGGAATATCTCGTGGATTGCGCCGACGTAGCCGCTCCAGTCGAGGTCGATGGTGGGGTCGGGGAGGTCGACCATAGTGGCGTTTTGAGGGGTTCGAGTTCTTCGATACGGTATTAGAGAGACGATCTGTGAGTGATTCGGAGGGCGTCAATTGGAAGCAGGAAAGATTGTTTGAAGTGACTCAATCAGGTCACTGAGCCGTGAAATTGAAAAACCGCAGAGTAAAGTTTTTGGCCTGGATGCGTCATGTCGCAAATCAATTGAATTTCTGCCACTGACTCCGACTTAGGAGGGGTAGTGGGGTAGTCGCTAGGCGGTCAAGCTCTTGGGTGCTTCGATGTTGAGGGATGAAATGCAGAGTCAGCCAAAACAGCTTTCATCGTTGAGCCTTCTGATAGGGCGACGTTAAGTGCCGGGGGTGGGGGGTTGTCATCCGGATTAACCGCTGGCCCGGCTTCGGCAATCTGAGTCATCATCCCGTCTGCCCAAGCTGACTCATCCAGTCCACCAAACAATCTAAAGACATAGCACGATGTCTTGAGTTTGACCTGACGGAAAGCATTGGATGCCGCATACCCCGTTCATCGAGGTAAAACGACATTTTGGGCTATCGATTCGCGAGTTCTGGCGTCTGAAACTGATACAGCATCTCGGAAAATTGAAATGGTCAATCCTAGTGGGCATCGAAAGTGCAGTGGGAAGGGGCCGCAACGTCCAGTCATCTTCAAATCTTCAAATGCAGTTTGAAAAAGAAACTCTTGGGATATGCCAACTCTGAACACAAATTGTATTCTACCAAAACATCAAACACGTCAGTCTTGTGAGCGATTCAGCCGTCGAAAGTTTTCTCACGAATTTCCAATTCATAGATTAGTCTTGATCCCTAGCGACAATCTCGGATCCGCTGAAAATTACAGATGGCATGTCGCGATCCGATCATGACAGGCTCAAAGCTTTCACTTTGGCACTTGACCTTGTGGTTCAGGCTTTCTTCTTGACACTGACCAACTTAACACAAAAGCACCTCAGCACTGACCTCGAATTTACGGATACCATAGCGACTTATTTTCCGTACCGCCGATCACTGCTCGCTTATTACATTCTGGGATCTCATCTCGCTGTCAAGCACGGCTCCGACTCCTAGCTCGCACCATGAAGTCGAGCTATCTGCTCACGAGACTCATTCGATGGGGCGAGATCTTCAGCGCAGGGCTGAAGCTTCATACAAAGCAAGTAAGCCCCAAATATCAATCACTTTTCCCGAGGATAATCGCGAGAGTTTGCCTGTGATTTGCGCGTCGTATCCGAAGGCGATCACCGGGCACGAATCGTGGGGAAACACACCCACCGGCTCGGAGGAGGCTCCGATGAATTGAACAAGTATGTCACTCACATGCGCGCTTACATCGAGTAGATATCCCCGAAAATAAAACAAGAGGCCACTTCTACCTAGGGTATCATTGCATTCCGTTCTCTTGTCCTTGTATTAGCATGCTGTAGCTGCGCGGTACTCCGAAAGCAAAACTCATCAACTGCTCTCAGACGTCACTAATATAAGTATCTATACCCTGTCTTTTCCCAACTTCCGCTGTATCTCGAAACTTGCATCGGCATACATCATAAGTGAAATAGGGTCGGACAAATACATGATTAGTCAACGTATCTTAAGAAACCACATACGACGTCATCTAGCAGTTGATGGGATGTATATCTTCACTGCGCCAGTATACACAGAGTAGTGACGATAGCTTTATGAAACTTGTGTCTTGCTTGGTCGCCTGAGGCTCTGGGGTCGGAATGGTTCATAGATTTGTATCCAGGCACTCGGGAGTGCTTATTGATAGGGATCTCGAGAGAATTAAAGCCCAGGGATAGAGAAGGGGAGCTGTATTGGGACACTTTGGCACTCGTCTGCGCAACCTTATCTAAGACTTATTGACATCACCGTACTGTCTGGCCTGCCGTAATGTCTGCCCTATTTCCAACATGTCACTCATGGGCTCCCATGATACAAATGATAAAACAAGTCGCCGCTATTCTTTTCATAAGACACAGAAAGTTGGCCTTTCATTCCAACTACGAGTGAGGCTCTAGCCATTAAAGCACAATATGAAAAGAAGTGCGTATACGGCGCATTTCCTCGAGAGGATTATGATCATGTTTGGAATGGTCTCAACAAACATTGATATCGATCGTTTGTGGCAGTCGTTGCTATCTCGATCCCGATGAGCTGCATCGGGATAGGAAGTCAAGAGAAGCAGTAGGTTTCGGAATTGCCCCTGTTCTTCGCCAAAACACCACGGTTGAATTCTGCCCTCTTCGCCTGTCGGCCTCGAGCGCGCCAGAAATAGAGAGTCTGCCCACATAACGGCAGCTGCGGAACATAGTCGTGCTAGTTACAGTTCAGCTTATCAATCAGATACAGACCTGTCGCAACTATGGCAATTGGCAAAGATAGCATCATGCTATCGGTTTCATTCTACCTTAGTCTTCCATTATTGCAGTCGGGCACCAATGCATTTACAAGTACTGAGTATGCGTTCGCTTTGTGATATGCAATCAGATATTGTGGACTGGAGTGGCGTTGGGTGTTCATCGAATTCTTGGCATAAAGTTTTCACGGCCTTGAAACCGCCATGGATCCATCTTGAATTCATGGCGACGATCACCCGCTCGATATGAACAGGCTATTGATATATCAGGGGTAGGATTTCATCTCCAAGCACTCACGCGCGGCGCCCGCTGTACGTGGGCCTTCGAAAACAGTTTTGAGACCGTTCTTATCCACAGCGTCCGAGAGCGTCATCCTAATACTCCCCATTTGTTGATGAGGTGGAGACATTCTGGCTAGAACACTCAACTTGGAGAGTCACGCGGCGTTCATGATGTTTTGCAGATGCATTTTGCCCGACAGTCTGGGTGCTGCGGCTCCGGACAGGACTTGATTCCTATCAGTCTTGGGTCCGCAAAGCTGACTGCTAACCTTGGCGACAAATATAGTTTCGCCATATCATTTTTCTCCCGGGCAATTATGACAGCGAAAACGAGAATAAGCGCGTCCGAAGACCGCAGCGATCTATCTAGCTTTCCTTCATAGTCTTTCAAATCATCGGCTATTGATAAGCCCGGTTCCCAGCTTATCAGCTTCTGAATTGCCGCGCAATCGCGGGCTCCCACCCGTATACGTGTTTTTGTTTCGATTTACCTTCAAGGCTTACATCTGCTTTCAGATTTACGAGACAAGAGAGACAATACTTCTCCACTAAGGAGGTGGCTGGTCAGTGCACCCCTGTTGTTCTGTGCGGACAGCAAGCCATTAAGTGAGAACTTTATTATAGTACAAATGGAACAGGTTTCTCAAGTCTTGCGTGTGCGTATTGACGTACTCCGCAGAACCCCCGTGTTCGAGAAAGTGCTGGGTAAATTTCTGCTCGAATGCGGGTTCTATACAAGATTTATCCCGGATATCCAGCCATTTGCTCAGGGCCTTACGAATTGCACAGCGCCCCGTGTAGCATCTGGCAGGGCCTTGCTGGATTAAGATCGCCGACATTGTGATATCCAATGCCGTATTTGTACCTTACGTAACTCACCCGGCCGAGTCCGATGAAAGTGAAAAAGACTGTTCCGAATCCTAAATCGGGGTCATATCCAATTCCATAACGGTGCTAAGCGGTGTCGCCGACGGACGCTAGTATCGTGAAACCCCCGAGACTTCCATGTTGATAGAACAATAAGCGAGACTGTGGTGCCATAAGTGCGCGGGCGCCCGCGGGGTTTTGATCATTACAAGCGAAAATAATTGGATTGCTGAAGGGCCAAGGCATACGGATTGGCATGAAATTACCAGCATCTCCTACACTTTCCAGTCTAGCTAGAGGCAGGTTGCGCAAGTTGTCTCCCCAACGACAAGCTCCAGCCAGCTGGGCTAGGTAGTGGTCAATTGTCTGTGCGATCACAGCAATTAAGAAGGTTTTCTTGGATTTCTGAATAAGGAAAGTAATTATAGTGCACTCTGAGCAAAGTAGCGGGCGAGCCGTCTTTACGAGAGAAAGCAATAGATCTGATTACGTTGAACTCACATCATCAGCGCCATTGCGATTAACCCTGTTCGCCACGAGCTCGCACTCCGTCGCGCGAGAAACAAGATCTCGCCCAGCCGCCTTCGATGATACCTTCTGACTCGCAGCAATACGGATAGCCGAGCGCTTGAAAGGAAGTACGTTACCGACGTTATGGCACATTGTGGAAATTTCCCCATCGTGGGTACGAGGACATGACTCCAGCAAAGGTTACATAACCAGCTATGTACGGAGTACGCTCTTGGAAATGACGTGACAATCCTTGTGAGGAAGCTTCCTCTCTCTTCTCTCTCGAAGAGCCGCCGGGTGCGCTTATGGCACTTGTATGCGCCGCCCACAGAAGGGTGCCACCATGGTCCATGTTAACCAAGTGAAAGGAAAATCGGCTTCAAAAAAAGTCCGTCGAAGCAGCTCACCGCCCTCTCACACAGCCGTAATGGGTTACTAAGAGCTTGAGATTCCTCTGAGCATGTGTTTTTATCTTGTTTCAAATCTCGGTTGAATGCTACCGAGCCAGCCTGAAATTCTTGAAAAATCCGCGTTGTCTCCTTTTTCTCATCGGGGACCACTTGGTGCTTCTATTAGAGTTTGGAGCGACGGTGAACTCCACTCATTAAACTTTATTTCTCACGTGCCTGCTGCTTCCTGTCCGCTGTCTGTTCGCTTGCGTGGGCTGCATATTTCGCATAGCCGTACGACCAATTTCTCCGTGGACATGGGGCGATGTTGATTTATCGTCTTAGTGCCATCCGCAACCCACGTTCCGTACGCTGCGATGAAGATCTCAAGGGGTTGTGAGAGATGGCTTCGAAATCAACAGGCTGTTGAGATCAACCGTAATTCCGAAAGCGACGCCGAGCCGCCCCTTATGAGCTTCTCTTTTGGCCTGTCATCGCCGAGAAGCTTTCATGAGGCGATCTCTTAGGCTCTTCTACCCCTTGCCCCCCACGGCACGAAGGCATGGGTGGGCTGGCTTGCAGGCACAATGCCGATGTCTGTGGTTACTGTGGATAGGTGGTATGAGTTCGGGAGATGGGGATAAATGGACGAATTAGGCTGCTCGGCCGAACGCCGAACGATCCGGATCCCTGGCCATTTTGGACCCCAAGCGCGGCGTTCTCTACACTGTTCCATAGCTTGGCAGGGTCTCTTCGTCAACTTCACCTTGGCATGGGCAACCTCACTCGTCGACTGATTTTAGAGTTCTCACTCATCGGCAGAGGCTTAGCCAAACCAGGCATGGGGTGAGCTGCCATATGGCATCTTGACAGATGAAGGGAGCCATGGTTCTCCTGGCCTTCCCGGACGCCATCCCGCAAGCTAAGAGCGTTGCGCCCGTTGGGCTTCAAGGCTCCCCAGGGAGGCGTTACCCCGCGGACGTCGGACATGTAATACCGGACATTGGTCTACCAGCGTTTACCGCTCGCTTGTACAAGTAACTGAACCAAGCCAAGAGTGAACCTCTCACGATGGCTCGTAGACCATCATAGCCTTTCTTTTTGACTTGTCTTCTGGCGGAGGAACGACTTGGGTTCAACGGACAAGGTCGGCAGGTACGACGGTCATGATAATCACATAATCATCCCAATAACCGGTAACTTAAACGCAAACATGTACACACGAACACACACTCTCTCGCCGCTCCCGACGGTTCTTCGACATGGCCTCAAAGCCGTCGTTACGCTCTCGTTTTTCTCTCTCGTCACTTCCTTCACACTCCTCGTATACCTGATTGGCAGACTCGCATGTTGGTATCGGAGGACGAGTCCGAAGAAGGAACAGCAACTCCTAGCCACCACTACACAGGTTTCAGTCATCGCCGGTCTACCCCACGAACTCGAGGCCCAGTATAACGCAAACGGGCAGTCGAAGCGATCGAGAGTCCCGAACCAGTTCCTCATTCTCCTACTCAACGTCCTCTTTGCCGATGCCATCCAGGCCTGCGCCTTCTTCCTTGACGTTGTCTGGTTGGTAGAAGATAAGATCACCGACGACTCGGCCGCGTGCTGGGCTCAGGGGTGGTTCATCTCTACGGGCGACCTGGCGTCTACCGCGTTTGTGGCGTTCATCGCAGTACACACCTATCTCACCCTTGTTAGAGGTCTCAAGATCTCGTGCAAGGCCTTCTACAGCACTATCTTTCTTTTGTGGTTCTTTGTTTTGTTTATGTCTGTACTTGGGGTCATCATCACCAACAACGGTGCTGGTAAAGGTGGTTTCTATGTCCGCGATATCACCTGGGTAAGGCCTGTTCTCCGATCTAAGCTTATCATACATCACATGCTTACTTCAGCCTCCATAGTGTTGGATCAACTCAGAATATGAGGCCATGCGGATGTACTTACACTATGCCTGGATGCTGACCCTGATTATAACGGGAACCGTATCGTATGTCTTGGTCTTCGTCCACGTTCACCGGGCAGACAAGGCATTCCGAAGCGCCAGAAAGGCAGCCGCTGCCACGGAAGAGGCTTCATGCGACGGCGTACTAGGTCCCACGACCTTGCCGAACGTCATGTCGCAGCACAACCAAAAGACAGAGGTCCACAAGCGCATTCTCTTCCTCTTCTATCCCATTGTCTTCCTCCTATGCACAGCGCCACTGGCCCTGGGACGTATCCTCAGCAGCGGGGGTATTAAGCTCTCGGCAGAGTACCTCATCTTCGCCGGCTGCATGATCACTTCCAACGGATGGATCGATGTACTCATCTTCTCGAGCACGCGGAGCGGCATCCTCTTTGACGCGCCCGTCGACGAGCAAAACGTCGGCTTAGACACGTTCAACTTCACGCCCCTGGGCCAGCAGTACGGCCACCGGGTCTGGATCGAGGGCGGCGCAGCGAAGGATGACTCCCACAACAGGAAGCCGAGCGTGTTTCGTAGACCCTCGCGCCGGGCGCGGCTTGGCTCCGAGGCCAGCCACGACCGTAGCGAGAGTCAGACGTCGCTGCACGACCGGGACGTGTCTGGCCTCAAGGGCATTCAGATGGAGACTGTGACTCGGATCTTCGTCGAGGAGGTGGACCCTGCGAAGAATAAGAAGTACGCTAATCGGACGCTGAACTCGATGCCATCTGATGAGAGCGTTGGCGAGCGCGTGCAGCAGAGCATAGACTCTTACAGATGAAGGGCTTGAGTTGTTCGACCTGCCCACTCTGCTCAGTCTTGATTTCGAGAGCGTGGTCGCTGGCGAGTTTGATGCTTCTTTGATCGGTGTGACTCACTAGCCGCCGTCTTGTGGCGTCGTGGCGGTGAACCTGAGCTGAACATCAGAAAAGCTGCGGTCTGTCCGTCGACAGCTTCACCGGCCTCGACTCTGAAATTTTTCTACAACATTCGCATGCAACACATGATCATCGTTAAGTGAGTTGAAGATGGCTCCAGTCACTCATCAAACAACCAGAGGCCAAGCTTCGCAGTCAACAACGCCCTTCAGACAGATCAGGGCCCATTTCGATGATGAGACCATCACAGTCTACCAAGCCTACAACGCCGCCATCGCAGAGGCAGCTGTCTCTGCTCAGAAACTAGACGCATCCCCAAACTTCAAACTTACCCGCATGACCTGGATCAAGCCAAGCTGGGCATGGATGCTGTACCGCGCAGGCTATTCATACAAAGATCGCGGCCAGGAGCGCATCTTGGCGATCAAAATGACCCACGCCGGTTTCGTCGACCTTCTTCGTCAAAGCGTGTTAACCCATGGTAGCGATTTGGATAAGGGCGATGGACGGGTGCGCGTTCAATGGGACCCGGAACGCGATGTGCGGTTGGAGAAGCTTCCGTATCGGAGCATTCAAATTGGGATCCCTGCTGGTATCTGTGGAGGTTGGGTTGCCGAAGGAATTAGCGGTATCGAAGATGTGACGGCCAGGGCGCGTGAGCTGAAAAGAGTCTTGGCTGAGCGGCCTGATGTTGGTGATGATGAGCTAATGGTCCTAGGCCTGGTTCCAGCCGAGAAGGAATTCCTAGTTCCCGAAGACGTTGGGGATATCTTGGGAATAGGTTCCTTCCTCAAAATTGACTAGTTTTCAATAACAGTTCTGAAAATCCAAATTGCCTTGACCATTCAACAGCTGCCAGATGTTTGGCTGGGATGAACAATGAAGGACACAGGTGTATGAACGGTTGGCTTGATGAGGTCTTGCGAACCCTTGGATGAAGGAAAGTTCGGCGTCAATGACACTTGAGTTCGATCTTTACTCCAGTAACACCATCTCAGAACAAGACGGGGGCCGTGGTATAGGAACAAAGTCTTCTCTCCAGCCTCTCGGAGATCTGCCGAACGTCAGCCGTGTTCAGCTCCGGACTTGTCCCCGAAGAGTGGGGCCGACTCACCGGACTTTAGCAACTTAACCGCATTCCGCTTATCTCCATGTCACCAGGGTTCCCGGTGTTGTCACTTCCCAATTTTGTCTGTGATCGTCCCTTGGACCCTTTGCTGCAGCCAAAGTTGAATGAGTCACAGCGACCCTCTGCTGTGCTACCCGAAGGCATGCATGTATGCGTTTAATGTTGATTGTATTCGTCGATTGAAGCACCATCGTTTGGTAGTAAAAGACATTGAGGGAATGGCGTGTGCATCTTGACTTCACTTTGAATTGGAGCTTTCACAAGCCACATCTTTGGAGGGCCTACCTAGGCGCGGAGTATCGGCAGAAGTTTCCAAAACTCTGGCTAAGCTGACCGTGAGGGGTTGTTGAACTCAATCGAGGGAATCTAGGAAGATTTCTAGATGCAGACGAAAATCAGTGACACCATGCACATCCGAGACTCTGCTTTACACCGCCTGTGAAGACGGCTGCAGTCATATTCACTTGTTCATCATTGTACACTCCTTTTTTAAGATACGAGATGTGCGTGAGATTTCCCGCCAGCTGCCCTGTGCTGCGACACAAGCAGCACGCGTTCTCGGCTCGTCGATCAGCTTGGACCGCAGCATGTGGGGCGCGTCAGCAAGCTGCAGTTAAGCGGATCGTGTCGAGTTGTTAGTCTGGACCGCAAAGAACTCTGGAAGTTGTCTTTTTGTTCGGAGTTTGTTCATAAAACCAGAGACCTCTTCAGGAATTTGTGTGTCAACAGTGGATCTAGTCATCATCTCTTACGAAGAATGTTCAGTAACGTGTAAAAAGAGACATGTGCATCACATATTGTAACATGGAGCAATGACGCTCGGCAAGTCTTTGCTGGTCATTACCTACTTTTGTAGTGAGACAACATCAAAACCAGGGAATTAACGGTTATAACAGAGAGAACAAGACAGATTCTAACGGCCAATGGCCGAGTTGCAGATTTAATTGAGTCATAGGAAACGCCATCCCTCCTAACTCCGCGTCGTGTTCCAAACATTGACACGAACAGTATGTTGTGTAATACTGGGAGCGGGATCCGCCACCACGCTAGAGACGCCCCAGCGAAAGTCGAAAGGAAACCCGGCCCCACCCCCAGAGGAATTTGGATTCCGTCTTTGGTGAAAAAAAGAGAGCTTGGCCATTTGGGGATTAATAATGGGCGCTTGTATGAGTTGCCGGCACGAAAACACATGCAAGCCCCCGTTGGCTGGAAAATAATGTTGGGCCTGTATGTCATCATGGCAAACTATGCGTGGGGTTTCCTCACCCCCCCGAGATAAGGGTGCCGTCGACTCTTTTACACTCGGCGTTGGTCATGAATGTTTCCCACGGAGCAGATGAGATTTGATCTACTCCACAGGGTTGATACAACCCTCTTTGGGTGAGCCCTGCATGCCCTATTCTGATTCGAACCCCTTGCTGCTAATGCTGGCGGACCGTCGCGGATTACAAATTTTCCTCCGTGGAGTGCATGTTGAGGACGCTAATCGCAACGTTGCCAGCCGGTGGGCTACATCATGCGGAGCCTACCTTACCTTAGCTTTAAAGGCTTGACATAATAGACAAGGTGCACTGAATAGTAGGTTTATTTGTATGCCAGCTGGTACACCTCAAAGCCTCCTGAGCTTGATGTCTAAACCTTCTGCCGTTGCTGCTATTGATCTCTTGCATTTTCCATCTCTCCCAGATTTCTTACCCAACCACATTGACCTATCTAATCTACTCGCGGCGTCATCAACTTGATCAATAGATTTTAATACTCACAGAGATAATCCTGTCTTTCTCGTTTTTCGATTTCGACAACAACATCATGGCGGCGGCCGCGAGACCAGAGGAAGATGGCCGCTGGGGAGAGAATGCGGCAGGGGAAATCTCAGTCAACGCTGCGCTGGAGGAGTATCACGATCTTGAGAAGGAGTTGAGCACTATTCAACATCGACATTCTACTGCATATCAACGGAAGCCTCCAGAACACCATGGCGATGCCGGAGGAGAGAGCGACTCGACAATCGCACCCAGTCTATCAGGCGATGACACGTTCGACCTGCCCGACTTTCTCAGAAGGGGTATCATGGACATGCGCACACCTAGCGGCGGACCGGCAAAGAGGCTAGGCGTTTCATTCAAAAGTTTGACAGTTAAAGGCATTGAGTCATCGACGAAGCAGGTCACGACGTTTCCCCGAGATCTAGTCAACACTTTCGGACCGGACTTTTACCGCTTCATCACTGGCATCTTCCCCAAGCTGAAGATTCACAAAGAGCCAACAGTTGACCTCATTAGGAGCATGACAGGAACGGTGCGGCACGGAGAGATTATGCTGGTTCTCGGGCGACCAGGCTCCGGATGTTCGACCTTTCTTAAGGCCATCGCCAACCACCGGGACGAATACGCCAAGGTCGAGGGAGAGGTACATTATGGCGTTATTCCGGCAGAAGATCAACTACAGCGATACCGAGGTGAAGTCGTGTACTGCGAAGAGGACGATCGGCATTTTCCATCTCTCACAGTCTGGCAGACTCTGTGGTTCGCCTTGAAGACGAAGACACGGAAAAGAGAGCAATGGACGATCCCACTGATTCTAGATTCACTTCTCCAAATGTTTGGAATTGATCACACCAAGAACACGTTGGTCGGTGATGAACACATTCGAGGTGAGCTGCTCGAACTTCTGACAACTTTGAAGCAACCTCTGCTGACGCTTGTCAGGTGTTTCTGGAGGAGAGCGAAAACGTGTGAGCCTGGCTGAGACGCTTGCCACACGAGCATCTGTTGTTTGCTGGGACAACTCTACCCGAGGACTTGATGCCAGCACAGCCCTCAGTTTCACCAAATCACTTCGTGTCTACACCGATGTCAGCGGGAGGACGACCCTCGTGACACTCTACCAAGCTGGAGAGTCAATCTACGAGTTGATGGACAAGGTTCTTGTCATAGATGACGGACGCATGCTGTTCCAGGGACCTGGTGATGAGGCAAAGAAATACTTTGAGGACTTGGGATACATGTGCCCTCCCAGACAGTGAGTGGCAGTGAGGCTGTTCTTGAAAAGTTGAGAAGCTAACAAAACTACCATTCAGAACCACCGCCGACTTCCTCACTTCCATTGCCGACAAGAATGCCCGCCACTTCCAACCAGGTCGAGAAGAGACAGCTCCCAAAACACCGGAGGAGCTCGAACAGGCATTCTTGGAGAGCGAACACTACCAACGCATCCTCCAAGATGTCGAGGACTACGAACGAGGCAGCAGATCGGCGAACAACGACAAGCACCGCATGTTCGCAGCCACCGTTAAGGATGCAAAGAGCAAGACCGTCATCGGCGATTCCATCTACACCGTCTCGTTTTTCAAGCAAGTGGCTGCCTGCACCAAGCGCCAGGCATGGCTTCTGTGGGGTGACCGGAGCTCATTCTACACCAAGCTCGCCATCATCATCGCCAACAGCCTCATCGTCTCATCGCTCTTCTACGGCTCCGGACAGGACACGTCCTCCGTTTTCGCGAGAGGCGGTGTGGCCTTCTTCTCGATTGCCTTTATCGGATGGCTTCAATTTGCGGAACTCGTCCCTGCGATTGATGGTAGAACGACAATTGAGAGGCAGCGAGTGTTTGCCTTTTACAGGCCGTCTGCTGTGGTCATTGCGAGGATGCTCTTGGACTTCCCGCTGATCCTGATCATGACGCTCCTGTTCTCCATACCAGTCTACTTTTTAGCGCAGTTCGATGTGGAAGCTTCCAAGTTCTGGATCTACACACTAATTGTGTACACGGCTACCTTTTGCCTTACGACCATGTATCGGATGTTCGCGTCACTGTCATCCACCATTGACGATTCTATCCGGTTTGTTGGCGTCGGTAAGTCGACTATTTCGGATCAGTAACCCTCTTGAAGATTATGCTAACTGTTATCCTCAGTTCTCAATATCATGTTTATCATGACGGGATATGTCATCCCCAAGCCAAATCTCCTCAGCGACGCCATCTGGTTCGGCTGGATTTATTACATCAATCCCGTGGCCTACGGATTTGAAGCCCTCCAAGCCAACGAGTTCTTTGGACGAGAAATGCAATGCAGCGAGTCTCAGCTCGTTCCACGCGGCCCCGGATCCGATCCCAACTATCAAGGCTGCAGTCTTCCTGGCTCAAGCATGGGTAGTACTGTTGTCAGCGGTCCTGATTATTTACAGGCTTCGTTTCAATAGTAAGACCCGCATGCCAGTTTCTCCCTCATAGGTTCACACTGACATTATGTAGCTCGAGAGCGAACCTATGGCGCAACTTTGGCATTATGATTGCCTTCACCGTCTTCTTCCTCGCCATGACAGTTCTGGCTGTCGACACGATTCGTTTCAAGGGATCCGGTGCCCAGTCCCTGATTTTCGCGAAGCCTCGGGATGAGAAGACGGTGGACCACGAGAAGAACGGACCTACTGAAGAGAGAGAAGAGGCATTTGAGCCCATCGGCGACGGCCAAAGTGTTTTCACATTCAAGGACATCAACTACACAGTCCCTTACGGCAAAGGCGAACGACAACTCTTGAACGGCGTCTGCGGATACGCCAAGCCTGGTAAGATGATCGCTCTCATGGGCAGCTCCGGCGCCGGAAAGACGACTCTTCTCAACACCATCGCCCAGAGACAGAAGATTGGTGTTGTTGCGGGAGATATGCTTGTGAACGGAGCTAGCCTGGGGCCCGAGTTCCAGAGAGGTACTGGTTTCTGTGAGCAGAGAGACATCCACGAAGGAACCGCTACGATCAGAGAGGCATTGGAGTTCTCTGCGTTACTTCGACAGGAACGCGCGATTCCTCGTGAGGAGAAGATTGCGTACGTGGATCGGATTATTCACCTCTTGGAACTGGGTGATTTGCAGCACGCCATCATATCTTCTTTGACAGTTGAGCAGAGGAAGAGAGTGACTATTGGAGTTGAACTCGGTAAGCATTCGGATTCCATCCAACGAAGTCCCCCACCTGAGAATTTCAGCTGACATACGAGTAGCTGCTA